GAGTATTCGCAGTGATTTCCTTTTGGCAGCCACCACAATGCCAGCGTGACTATGTTTGTCACAGGTTTTCTATGCTGCTGCAAGCAGGACTCAAATTAGGATTGGTGTGACCAAAGGACAATAGCTCTGCCAACAAGACAGACTTGTCTGATCTCATGAGCAGATGCTCTGCAAGCGTCTCTCACTTCTTGCCTCTCTTGCCTGGAGGACTGAAACCAGCCTGTCAGTGCGAGCGCACTTGCTGAGCTACAACTGTTTGTGTGAGATCTGAATTTTGTCTAATTCCTACCTTAATAGCTGTTCCCGACAGCTACTTGTGAAGCCTGGTGGTAAATTCCATTCCTTATCTCATAGTTTCAATAAGCAAAATTTTTTTTCCAGAAATGGTTGCTCTTTTTAGAGAGGTTATTTTGCACCCTAGCGGATTGTTTCAGATTGTAACAAATTGCTGCTGCATGTCCCCAGCCATTGCTCATATATGAGGGCAATACCTCAGGGGAGGAGGCTAGAGTGGGACCATGCCGTGATTCAAACCTCAGATTCACCTTTTTTCCCCCTCCCCATTACCTGACAGTAGTTTTGGGAGAAGAAAAAAATATTACTGGAAATTTTAAGGACCTGGCATAAAATATTGATGGGTTTTCCAGGTGTCACCAAGGGCCAGCAGACCTTGAGGTGTCTCTCAGTGCACGCTGAGGAGATCTTAACTGGCTACAGCTCCTCGAGCATGCCTGATGTCTCCTGGCTGCCAGTCATCCTGACAAGGTGATGACTAATGGGGACAATTAGCTCCCTCCCCTAACATGCTGTCTGCCGTGGCTATTTGAAAAGGAATTAGAACACGTTTCCCTAAGGAAACAGGTTGGCAAATGGGCTTGGGTCTGTTAAAGATTTAGGATAGCTTCATATTAACAAAATGTCAAAAAAATTGTTCCAGTGAGGGGTAGGCTCAAGTAATATCTGCTTTGTAAAATCTTAATTGATTCATGTTCGCATATAGAGAAATTCACTTTGCAGCCAACCTGCAATTCCATGGGAGTAAGCTGCAGAATTTTCATTAATGCCAAAGGGAGTACGATCCAGTTTTGTACTGTCCACCTGATAAAGAAACAAAAATAAAAGTTTATTTCCGAGTAGTAACTAATTAGGCTGTATAGGATGAGTTATGAAGAAGCAGCTGCCAGTAATTTAACTTGTTTTCATCTCTTTCAGAATCTTATTTCCAGTTTGCAGACAAATTGAGGCACATCTGGGTATTAATTGTTCATTATCACCATTATCCAGCTGCAAATTATTAAAGCAAGTTAAAATTCTTCCTCAATTGATGCCTGTAAATGAGCTAAAGGCAGCTGGCTGCATGGGCCTCAGCAGAATTTGCTTAAGAAATGGGAGAGGGCATGGAGCTGTAGGTGTCCCTGCTCATTGTGGGGGGTTCGACTAGGTGGCCTCTAAGGACTCAAAGCTCAAAGGACTCCATGGCCCTGTGATAATCAGACTGCTCCCTACACTGACCAAGATGCAGTCAGGCTGTGGCCCAAAAGCTGCCATTAAAAGTCCCACGGCTGATGTGTGAGGGCACTGTCTGAGTGCTGGGAGGAAGGGGAACAGCACAATAGCCAGCTTCTTGAAGAACAGTGTGGTCCTTGTAGGGCATTGCTCTGATCTCATTTGAATGACAGTGGAGCAGCCTGCTCTTGACTTCAGAAAACATGAGTCTTTCAGATTCCATATCTAATAATAAGATTTTACCAGTGACTTATTTGTTGACAGAAATTACTTAGAGTTAATATGTTCTCATTGCAGACCCTGGGGTCTCTTTGTTTATGCTGAACGTGAATGTATTCTAGCACAAGAATTACTATCTCCTGCTTGCTGCTTGGGCGCCTCCAGAATAAGTAATACGCTGGCATAACTTTGCCATTTGTCAGCCAGCAGTCTGGTAGCACATTTGCTTGTCAATCTAATTTTAACCTTTTCTCATATGAGCACTTGGTATTACATGTAAATCAACCAGGCAGTCTGTCATTTGGATAGGACACTATCTTCATGGTTTTCTAAACTATGTGCTTTATCATATGTATTCATGTTTAAGTAGCAGTGGAAAATTAAAACTAATGTATTACTTCTGGTTTCTCAATGCTAAAATGTCAGGAATCTCTTTATTACCACGATAGAGATAAATGATAAGTCTAGGAGGGTTGTTCTGACAGTGGGTGCGGCCATGCATTCTGTGCTTTCTGATATGGAAGGTCTGTCCTGAATGGTAAGTAATGCTAAATGTTGCATAGCGCATTGTCTACATCTGCTCCCATTATTGCTGTAATTTGCAGGTAGGAATAAAAGAACAATGCAACTGATTAATTAAATATATATATAAATAAATAATGACAATATGGTTCCAGTAAGTTGCTAGCTGAAATATTGATGCTGACTCTGAGAAAGAGAATGCAATTCATTCTGAAATATCAGTCAGTTCATGTCTTTTGATGATTTGTGTAAATCACATGAAAGGTTTCCTGGCGTGCCCTTCAATTTGCGAGGTGTTCCAGAGATTGATTTGGTTGTGAAAGCAGTACGTATGAAGTTACACATTAGCTGTTTCTCAGGGTTGTTGGAGCTATGCATCACTTCAACCTTCTTGACTTTATGTTTAAAAAATAAAAGATATTCCAGTCAATTTGTAAAGCCTGATCCCATTTTGGCATTTTCAGATATTTTACTGCATAAAGCATGATTTGAAAAATGCAATGGTTTGTGACATCTCCCAAAGCCTCAGTCCCACTCAACACCCATAGTCACTCACTGCAGGGCACAACAGATAGATGTCTGAACAATGATGAACATTTGGATAGATTTTGGATAATCTATATTTTCGTCTTTCATTCTTTGAGGCTATTAATGCTGCCTTCCATTTCACTGAGGATTATGATAAAGTAATGCCGGACATATTTAATACCAGATTCTGTTCTGATGATTGGTTGCAGTGTACTCAACCTGGGACAGATAGTGAAGGATGCTCTTTAACAAAGAGCAGAACTGAAACCCATTTACTCCTGTCAATCACACACGCTCCTCCTCTACCCACATAGCATTGTGCTGCTGTTCCTTTACAGGCATTAGGATCCTTTCAGCCCATCCCCACTACCATGCCTCATTTCTGGAAACTTCTGTGTGGGGTATACACCCCAAAATTTGCCTTTATTGCTGTGAATTTCTCTCATATGCTGTGTCTCTCTTCAATGAGTAGTGTCTAATTATGTTCACGTGATCCCTACCACAGAGATCTGTTTCTGATTGAGACAGTACCGTAATAAAAGTAATAACATACGAGCTGCTACCACCATCACCTCCAGCATCCTTTCTTATCTACAAATCGAGTGCCCATCGAGATCTAAAATTGTATGTGACTTCATTTAGCATGAATGTTGCCTGAAGTCTCAGCCACAGATTAGTTAAATATCTTTGGGAAGACAGGCCTGAGATATCTGGTCGTAACTTTGATCTCATATAAATATGTACAGCTCAGAAGAATTGGTCCCAGAAAAGATTCAGGTAACTCCGTAAGTTAATTTTGCATAGTAGATTTATATATAAAATTATCCTCTGTGCTCTGATGAAGTTCTCATGGGGGTTTGTTGGACCTCCAGCTGCAGGTATTCCAGGGATGCACCTGGACAAAGTCCTATGATTGGTGAAGGGAATGGCCACCAGTGGTGATGGCATTTGGTATCACTGAGTTTGTCCAAAGTAATTTCAGATGTAATTTGTTTGTTGCATATGAGAGCCTCTGCTTTACCACTGCTCTTGCAGCTGTGAGGCTCAGGGCAGCTTATAAAACGAATGAATGGTTGCTCTGAAGGAAAACAGTGCATTTCCAGGGATGGAGAGCCTGCTTTCTATTACAGTGAAAGTATTTTCAGGTCTTACTTATTGTTTGTCATTAGGACGTGTATTAACAAAATTCTTCTTCCCTTCCTATTTTCCATCATTGTTCATCTGCATGGATGCAGAAAAAAATGCTTTTTTCCCTGATGTACATATCTAAGGACAAACTCAGTTCTAGTTCTTAGCTGTAAATTCCTCCAGGAATCGAAGGCAAAATTCAGCTGTCTGTACTGGAAGGGCTCAGTCTTTCCCTGTCCCTTTCCCTGCGAATTCTTTTTTTAGTATCGTTAAAAAAACAAAACAAAACAAAACAACCTTAAATGCATTTTCATGTGCTGCTGGTGAGACAGCTCTAATGTTTACCCCCAGAGCCACTCACTGTCTTGATCCTGCTGATGACCATTGCGTTCTTCACCTTGTCTCAGCCCAGCCCTGGGAGACGGCAAGGCTCACTATTACTGTTTGCAGCAACCTCTGTATTAAATTGGTTTAATAATCATAAGTACCACAACAGGCACTGTCAAGCTGAGCTGCTTGTACTTGGGTGCTGTATGGAAACTAATGAGATGACATACATTCTGTCCCTGCATCTAGCATCCTGCTTTCTTGGCTTTTGTACCTCTCCTCCTGAAATCATTACACGAAAAAAGTAAAGCAAAAAAACCCATGCATCTTGATTGTTGTAGTGAAAGGAGGGTTTCAGGAGGTGCACCTAGGATGAGATTACACTGACTTCAGTAAATAAAAATGCTATGAACAGCAACAAACTCCATCAGTTGTAATGAATTATCTGATTCTAATGACCTACTGCAGCCTGGCATGTGGCAGATGCTGCTTGGTGGCACACCTTGCCAAAGCCACGACTGATGGGTATCTGACTGAAGGCTGCTGACAGGCAGGGGTGGGCAGGGAGTGCCCACCACAGCACGGTGGGTTTTCTTGCTGTGTCCCTCCACATCCATGGTCTTTGGATGCTTCTGGCCTTCAAGTCAGCTGTTGATGTAGAACTTCAGGCATCAGTTAGCTCCCCAGGGATGTATCAATAGAAAGCCTTAATGCAAAGCAGAAATGCTAAGCAGAAATGCTAAGAAGCAGTGATTGAGCACCTGGTGGGAAGGCAGGGCCAACCCAGGTAAGCTCAGGTGCATGCAGTGCATTGAGTGACCAGAAGGGATGGAGCCAGGAACCACCCCTTCCCAGACCTCATTTAAGGGTTGACAGTGGACAGGAGGGCATTTTGCTGGAGGTTCCTATTTATATGATCCCTTCTAAAAGTAAGTAGATTTTTTTCTTCTTTTGTTTTTCATTTGCTGTGGTGAAAGATTTTGCCATCCTGCTGTTACTGATGTACTTTCCATCACATCATAGCATTGCAGGTGGCAACAAGTGTTACTGCTCCTACTCCTCCTTAGTAAAATTTGCTCTCCACCACTTTTTTCCAGCCTGTCATAAGGGACTATTCTCTTACAATGCAACTTAGCAATCTGTTTTGATGTTACTTGACATTGCTTTTGGTCTATGTCTAGTTCCCCGAAGCTTTCCTGTCTCTTGTTCACTTGCCTTTTCCCTTCCCTTTGAACCACCTCAGCAGGTGTTGGTAGAGATGGCCTTCCACTCCCCTCACACCACACTACAAGCTGCACTTAAGAGAAAGCCATCTCAGGCCCAAAGAAATGTCTAATCAAAGACCAAATACAAGCATTGGTCATGCTACTATTAGAGTAACCCCAGCAGCCTCCAAAGCTTACAGCAAGGGGCTTCTTTCCTTCCCATCTTTGGATGTAATCCAGAACAGCTGTGCCCCAGGTACATGGGATGGCTGTTGAAGTCATGCTTGGGGCTGACAGAGATCAGGTTTAGCTTTATTTATTGCAGTAGGTCGTATTTATTGCAACAACACTGGTGGTGAGGGGTCTCTAACTGGTGCTGAGGTCTGTAGTGGAGCTCTGAAGCTTGCACTGGGGTCTGGACTGGATCCTGACCTCAGCCTGCCTGTTCTGTTTGCTTTTCCTTTCCTTACACTGCTTCCCCTGTCTCTTTGTCCCTGCCCAGGGAAATGAGATGCACACTGGGATGTTCCTGCTCCTACTGCCTGGTTTATAGGAAAGAAATACCTTGAGAAAACATATGTGAGCTGGCTGGAGAGAGAATGTTTGGGAAACAGAAACACTGACTTTCAGGAAGAGAGTAAAATAGAATTATGTGAACAAAAAAAGACCTTCTAAAAATCAGAATAGCTTCAACATTGCTCACTCTGCTGATGGATTCATTATTACAGAGAGATTGTGAACAGGACAATGGGACTTTTATTTCTTCCCTCGGGAGTGAGGCAAGAAAGTGGCTGCTTAAATCGCTATTGACATTCAGCATGTGAATTCCAGTTTTGATTTTATGAATGGCCTCTATCATCACATCTTGTGCGGACCGTCTCATGCTCATTGTGCTGTGGGGTTAGACACACTGTCACCATCCCTATAAATAGCTGCATTGGTTGCGAAGGGCTATCAGAGCCTCCTCTGAAAGAATAGGTCTTTTGACCAGTGGCATTTTAGGCCACTTTTCTTCAAACTTTCTAGACAAGATAGCATGTTTTCCACTCTGTGGAACCTAGAAAATGGACAGTAACCAAAGTATTGATCTGTGAAATTCAGGCACCCAGTGAGTGTGAAGAGCACAGGGGAAAACCAAAGTTAGGAGCAATAGGACAGAGCATGCTCTCCAGAAGAAGTCTCAGCTGCGGGGCTTGCAAGGAGTAACAAACTGCTATGCACAGAAAGAGAAGCTCCTTGTGATCCATCTGGAATCTGAGCTGCTGTGCACAACTGCTGCAGTGTTGGACAGGTCTGCTCTGCACCCAAAAATGCTCAAGTGTACCAGGGGATGGGCGGTAAGCAGACACTGTTTTCTGTATCTTTGGTTTTGGATAAAGTAGGAGGTGATTGTGTATAAAAAATGTTTTGGCTTCCAGCTGCTAGCTACTATTGTGATCTGTACAACATGACAACAGCCTTCGGGTAAATACTCAGCAACTTCGGGGTAGGCTTGGAAGGGATGAATACTTTTAAGGCAGCAAAGAGTGGGGGAGCTCTAAGGATAAATGTTGCCTGGTCTGTACAAGCCTTCTTCTGTGAAGAAATGTGCTGGAGATACAGAAATCACATGTTCTGCTGGCTGTGCAGGCAGGGAAGATTTACAGCATGGAAGAGGTCAGATGTAGCACAGCGCTGAATGATGGATTACGGGGTTTGCTGGGTGTCTTTGGCTATTAAAGGTAATAAATGCCTAGATATTTGGAGGGTTTCCTTACAATTAACAACCCATCTGGAATTCACACCCCACCTTCCACAACCTGGGAAGTTTCCAAGAGTGCATTTAGTCAGCAGAAGCACCCTTTGTGCAAACAGTGAGTGTGTACACAAAAAGATTGCTTTGCCAAAAGGAAAGAAATTTAAGCAGTAAATTTAGGGATGTGACTAACTCTTTCCGGATGGGGGGAAAGAACCACTTGCCAGTTATCTCTTCTGTGCCTTTCCTCAGCTGTGGCTGGGGACATCTGATGACTGTTTCCCTTTCACTCCCAGCACAGTGCAGTCTGTCTGCTGACAGAGTTAATGAAGTCACTCGCAAGCCTCCATTCCCCGGGGAAAAGCACTTCTATGAATAGACCTGTTACTTACATCTCTGGTTGTGATGCTCTCAGTGCTCCTTTTGCTGTGCCACCATCTCTAACAATTGTGTCATTTCTAAACAATGGCCTTTCACTGTAGAGCTTTGGCAGTGCAGGATGCCATGAAAGTTCTTGCTTCTGGCATAGCTGTAGAGCTCTGTGAATGCTTCTATGCTGTCCTCAGTGCTAGATGTAAGTTTTGAAGTACCACAGACTTAGCAAAAATGTGGAGGAAGAGGGACTGTTACCATGAGATGCTTCTTCAACATATATCGTACAATAAGGAGGAAATCAAACTTATTGTTTGTAAGAACAGAATATTTCTATCCTATGGAAATAGAAAGGGAAACTGTTGATCTGATGAGAAATGTTAGAGAACGTCACATATTTGCCCAGCTGAGCTTGCATGTCTGGTAATGATTGTTTGTTTTTGTAAGGAATTGCACTGGTCTAGACAGAGGTGACTTGTGAAGGAAATATAACCAGTAGATATAATGACAATAGAGAGAAATAACCATGAATCATGATAACACATTGTTCAAAGTACAGAAATATAAGACCTTGTTAATACTTATTACAGTTTGTAGGGTCTTTGATTAGTGTCAGTGAAGGCAAGCAGAGTGTGTTTCTGCTTTGTGTTTTCATGACTGAGTGGTGTAGTTGAGATCTAAATCAAAATGATTTTACAGTTGGACACTCCATGAGAAAATCTAGCTAAGGAAGTCAGTAGGTGGTCAAAAAGAGAGCAACTTGGTAAAGTAGCATGCCATTAGAACATTACCTATTCTTTGTTTAAATGGCATTTTTACATTCAATTTGTCCATTAATACAAACTTCATGTTCTTAACAGACTCTTCCTATATCAAATTGTCAGACTTTTAGTTCTCATAGAGCTACAATGAGGTTTCCAATAAAATGCAACTGTCAGTTTCTTTTCACCGTGATCTAAATGTCTGCACCATTCCTACATGAGCAGAGTCAGTTTGGTCTGATCTGAACATTTATTCGTACTCCTCATCCTCTTGCCTATATAAAACCAAAACAACATTAACAGAAACCTCACCAAACTTGTTACTCATACTTCTCATTTCATATTAATTCTGGATGGTTGAATAAGTTTGAGTGATTCATGACCTACGTTAAAATTTAACATCAGCCTTTAATGTGTTTGGCCTGACACATGGTGTGCCTTATAATACTGATATATCTCACCGACCCAGCACTCTGCATCAGCTTGTAGAAACATGCCATGGGAGGAAAATGACATGGTAGTCCTGATTTACTTCTCTGTCAAAGCCTTAATTAAAGCATTCACACTGTCTGCTAAGGGCTTTGGGGGAATCTCAAAAGATGCCTGTACTGTTGTTCACAGCATTTTGTTTTGAAAGATTAGGAGGATAGGAATATGTCTCATAAATCAGACTTCTGTGACATGGTCAGCTTTTCAACAGCATTCAGAACTCCTGTCTGAGTTGCTCTCTGGTATCTCATACATTAAGAAATCCTACAAATTAATGCATCAGATTATCCCTAATGCATTTTTAAGTGCTTTCTTCCAGCACCCAGCAGAGTAGCTGCGGGGAGTTCAGCAGACCTGCAGGAACAGGGCAACGTTTCTCTCACAGTGGCTCTCATTCCTTTCTCAGAAATACAGAGGTGCAAACCTGAGGACAGATTTCTCCTTTAGGGCTTGTTTCCATTGCTGACACCAACTGCCTGAAGGCTGTGACAAGGCAGTGCTCTGCCATCTGCAAGCTTGTCAGCTGGGAGGTAGAGCTTGAACATAGCGGGGTTTCCTTTAGCACAAGCTGCTACTGAAATGAGCCCCTGCCAGAGTGCCCAGGAACAGCAGTGCTGTGAGAGAATCTCCTGGCTACCTCTGCAGAGGAGTCTTGTTAAGGTCATACAGGCATTGCTTTTCCTTAATAAAACAAAGGGCTTTTTCCCCTAATTTTTCCTAAGGAAAAGCTTTTAGCTTAGCAGAACCATCTAAAGTGTAGGAGTGCAGATGCTGCTGTCCCCCTCTCTCCCCTAGGGCAGGAAAGCTACTTGTAGCAGCAATCTTTAGCAGCACCAGGGGGTGTTTCCTGCCCTCTTCAATCCCCACAGTGCCATAATTGCATCAATTCCTCAGATTCAGTAGCAATGGATGATAAAACTACTGCCAATACCTCAGCTGGCTGTTTATAATCTGCTCCAGCAAGCTTTGCTTCCCCTCTGACTGCTTCCTGGCTTCTGCATCCCTTGTGCTTGACTGTTCTCTGCTCAGGCATTCAGGCTTGTACTTGGAAATCCCCTGTTCCAAATACTGAACTGTTGTGTTATGGCAGCATTTACCTGTTGCTCTTGTAGAAATGAGGGCTCTGTGACGCTTGTGCTGTTATTCAGAGTATTAATAGAAAACATAAGCTGAAAGATTCTTAGCCACAGGCTACCCAGACGGGAGCTCGTGGTACTTCATCTGAGCCTGGGCTGGTTTGGGATGCAAGATAGGAGCAGTCTGCCCTGACCAATCCTCATCTGTACAGTGGTAGAACGAGCACAGTACTGGGATCATGAATAAAATAATCTGCTATGAAGAATGTAAGCCAAAGGTCAAGTCTTGAAAGATTAATTAATATGTAAATTCAGAAGCACTAGCTAAATCAGACTGTTGTTGCTTGACATTTAAACATAACAAATAAAACTGAGAGGAAGAAGCAGAGGAGAAGAGAAAAATACCACAGCAAGAATGGTAAGAATAAATCAGTAACATAAGAGAACTTACACAGTGAGTTGAGAATGAAGGAAAAAAATAGGTTTTTTACTTCACGTGGGCAAACTGAAGTTGAAGAAGACCTTGTAAAAATGAATGCTTTACCAGTGATATGGTGTTACATGGATATCAAGAAGAGTGAGCAACAGGTTCTAGGAACTCAATTGTTGTAGTCAGAATAAAAAGCTTGCAGTGACCTTGCTTTTCTGTAGGTTTTAAATCATAAATATTGATTAGCTTTTTAAAAATGAGAGAGAAAATGATGGCATCACAGGAACAAAAACCCATACTTTCTACAAGCTGTTCCTAGCACATTTGTTCTGTTGCTGGCTATTCATTGTCTAATCTTGCTTGAAATTATTAACAGGTTTTTGGCTTGTAGGTCATCTGCTGTCCCATTTTTTTTCTTCAGCTTAACATGAAACAGACAGAATTGGGATTTGTGGTTTTCCTGTGTGCAAGAAAGGTGACGCACTACAGAACAAGATTGGAATAGCCATAACTTTGAATTTTGCCAAATTAATTGAGATATACAACTTAGCCACTGTACTAAGCTGTGTCTAACTTTGAAGTCTCTTTCCTCTTGATGGTGTCTATAAAAAGCACAGAGAAAGGTGTTCCCCCTGAGCATGAGAAAAAGAGCTGCATTCCCTGCCCCCTGCAGGTTTGCCAATAGCACACAGATGGCTCGGCACGTTCTCTGGGCTCAGCCGTAGCACCAGAATTTAACCTGCCTGAGTTCTTCCTTGACCTCTCCTGTTCTTCTTGAATGTTACTGAGCATAGTGACTGATCTGCAATTTAAAATGGCATTCAGATGCCTCTTCCAAATTGCATTCAGCATGCTTTGTACAGGCATCAATCTTATTAGTCAGGAGTGCAAACTGATCTTGAATTAGTTCTGAACCAGTTCTTCAGATGCTAAAGCTACCAGTGTAGTCATTTCTAAAGCTTTCACTCTTCATTAATGAATGCTGGAAGACTTCTCTTCTTCTCTGGAAGAAATTGCATAATTGACTGTCAGGTTTTGTCTGTAACGTTTCTGAGCCATTTTGCAATCCATGCAGAGATTTTCATTTCTTTCTCTCATATCTCACATGGTAATTGTCAGGTTGATTAACATGTTTCGTAAAGTGACCCTGAGGTAGACTCCCCAGTGCCTCACATGGTTGTGGTGGTCAGGGTGCTGACTTTGCTGACTTAAAGAGGTCCTGGTCCTTCACCAGGTCAGTGACATATGGGAAATCAAAAGAAAGAGTAAAGCTGGAAAAAACAGCATCATAACTGACTGCTGTGTAATGAATAACTTGCAGCCATGACTCAGTGTCTGCATTCCTTCCCTAACACAACAATGTCTTGTAGGCTGGCTTTGAATGTTTTTGTTCGCATAGTTTCAGGTAATGGATAACTCCAAATGACTAAAAGCCCTCCAGGAGAATTGATGAGACTTCTTACTGTTAACATTACTCATTGTTAAACCGTTGAACTCAAGTTCAGAAGTGTATTAAAGTTTTCACTCTGTCTCATTCATTCAAAAATATTTTTCTCTTATCTGAAGCTGTTTTAAAACTGCCCCATATACATGAAGTCATTAGCACTACTATGATGTAATTTTGAGCTAAAATAATGTTATTCCAGTCAAATGCATACACAGTGTGTGTATGCAGGCTGTTTTGTTTGTTTTCATTTTTAAAACAGCCGTGTTGTCTTCTGTGACAACGCTGTCATTTCTGGAATGAAAGAACCTTACATCACCTCACGCTGTAGTATGAAGGGGGAAAGGAGAGAGCACTGAGAAGAACATAAAATGGGAATATATGTCTGAATAGGTTTGTCCTGAAGGAAAATCCACCACAGAGTTCCGTTCCTGAAGAGGGTGTGTTAAAGCATGTGGGATAATAAAGAGTAGCAGATGTCTTAAGAATTGATGTTATGGGGAGCGTTGTGAAGCATTTCTCTTTTGAGAGGAAAGAAGATTTTACACAGAAAGCAGTTGAACTCCATCTGCGCATGCATGGTATTCTTTTTCTGCAATTAGGATTGCTGAAATTGATAGCAATATATTGCAAGGAGTTGGGCTGGGTGACCTTTAAGATCCCTTCCAATTCAAATGATTCTGTGATTCTGTAACATAATTGAATCATGTAACAGTACTACAGAATAATATGTGGAAACAATATACCTTTATATATGCGTATAATAATAAAAAGATTGGAAGCAAAGCAAATAGGACAGAAGCTTGGGGGCTGCTTGTAAATAAATTCCATGGCTGGATCTGAAAAGCAGGAAATGGTGTGGGAAGAAAGAAATGTCAAATGGAAGCAATGTGGGCAGGAAAAATAAGCATTAATGTGGGTGAGAACGTGAGGCAAATGTCCTGGATGTCAGGAGTAAAAGGAATGTGAGGAATGACATTTAAAATAAAAAAGGAAGCACAGTGTCATAACCACCAAGCTGAGATATTTGTATACAAAAACTGTGTGCAAGGAGACACAGGCTAGGAGTGCAGGGCCCTGCATCTCTCAAGGACAGCAAAACATGGCAGATGAATAATCCGTGACTGGTATGCTTTTAAACTGATGTGTAGGCTATTAGAGAGGCTAGAAACAAAAGCAGAGACACAAAGGCATCACTTGGGCACAGTGCAGAGACTATGAGGGCAGGACAAAAGCTGTAGAAGTTCTGGGGTAACATAAGGCAAATAAGGGTCTTCTGAAGGACTGCTGAAGAATGATTATGCATATCTGTAACAGAGATGACTAAACTTCAGCTTCCAAGCATTGTGTCGTTATGGAAAATTTTAATGGCACAGAAAAAAAGAAAATGTTACTGATAACAGCAGTCAGTTATTCCAGGGTGTGATATCTGGCAGATTGCATCACTGAGCAATCACTGGACGGGTATGGTGCTATTCTAGGTGGTCTTTGTTAGGTACTGATGACATAGAGCAGCTGGTTGTAGAAAATAGCCTCACTAAAGTTAAACTCAATTGAAAATATTTGAAAGAATAAACAAAAATAGTCATGTTAAATACAGTACTTCAGAAGGACAAATTTTGAGAAACTAGAGAAACTGCTAGTGATGTCGCATGGATGGAAGTTCCAAACCTGAGCATCAGGATTTATTTAAATTAAATGTGAATTATAACAAATCTGCACTTCCCACCGTAAGTAAAGAATAAAAGATATTAGCATTTTGCTGGATGAATAAATCCCCAGTAAAAGGTAATAGAAGTTAGCAAAAAGAGTAAAAGCTATAGGGGAAGAAACTGTCTCAGGAAAAGAGAAGTGCAATTGTATATGCTAATACTTACCTTCTGTAACCTGAATTTGAAAATTAAAATTTTCATGTACCAAAAAGATAAAAAAGAGGTCTGGTATGTGATAAGGATGGAGTGGGGATCAAAAATAATGTAGATACTGCCAAAAATAAAGAATTTTCTTTTCCTTTTTTTTTTTTTTTCTTTTCTGTGAAGAGAATGGTATACATCATGTAGAAAAATGGAATCAAGATGGGAAGCATCTGTAGAAGTAATAACAAACATTTCAAATTTGAAAATTAAATCCAAAGAGCAAGGTAGGCTCAGAGTGGGATGAAGTCCATAACCCATCCTGAAATGATGCAAGAAGCAGCAAATTAAATTGTAAGTACAGAAGTAAGTTCTACTTAGAAGATCTGCTAAAACAAAGGAGAGAAGAGTAGAGAAGAGGCAACCTCACACCTATAGATTCATTAATTAACCTTAATTAATGTTATATACATTCTGCAAAAAAGAATAAATAAAGATGTGTGGATAAAACAGAGTAGAATGGGATGAAAACAATAATTGATAAAATGTATAAGAGCTGAGAATATGTATGTAGGATACCATCTGTTCTGAAAAGGGAATTGTTGGGCTACCTAGAGGTTACAGACAGAATTTCAAGCATCCTTGTTTCAGCTAACCTCTGAAATTATTAATGCTTTTGTTGCTGATAAAAGTGGCGAGCTCAAAAACAAGCACCAAAAACATCCATACGTTTACAAAGATGGAGTGGGAGAACTGGAGAGCTGGAGGTATGGGATTGGATTTAACATAAAATGAAATGGTTTCTGTTACAAACTGTGCTCAGCAAGGGGATGGGAGAAGGGGCATAACGTCTTGGTCAGCCATGGAAGGATGTTCAGAGAGCTGCAACGGTGCCGTGGAAGTGTCAAAAATGATTCTCCTTAGATAGGCTGTAGGTGGCTTAGTGAAGAGTACGCAAGGACAGACACCAGTGTAGGAGGCAGTGGTCAGAGCTCTTCTGGAATCCTGGAAGAGTCTGCCCCTATAATTCAGAAGGAACATTGGAAGAAACATGGAGAAGTACCGCTGGACAAAACAAAGAATGAGAGCTATACAATTGCTTTCTATTAATACATCCAGGGGAGGGGAATGAAGGGCAGGGCAAATGCTAGGAAGGGCAAGAAGTTATTTGAGTTACCAGACAATGTTGTCACTAGAACAAATGGATATAAATTGAAAGTTAGTCGATCTGGAGTTTAGAGGGTCTCCATCCATGAGAAGAGTGAAGTCTCTGAAACACTCTTCCAGTGAGAGTAACAGGAACAAACCTGTGTGAGTCAAAGTATTGCAGCAAAATGGAACTCACTTGCCTGAAAACTGGATAATACAGAATTCGCTGATTTCTTGCACATAGCATAAAGGTGAGTGGAGCCACTTTCTCTTTGCCTCTGTGCCAGGGAGACAGTCTGAGCAATCTTATGATGTTACTATAACAGCAGTATTTTTTGAAATTTCTGTTATTGTTTGTAATTCCTATTACTCTGTAATAGTACTCTGTTATTATTCTGTATTGTTTGAAATTTCTATTAATCTAATTCTAATTCTATTAGAATTAGAATCTAATTCTAATCTATTAGAATCTTAACAGAATCTAATTAAGATTTTGTTAATCTATTTAATCTATTGGTTCATAAAGAAAACGTGACTCTATGGCCTCCTGTGATGTGCTGGCATGCTGCAAAATATTAAGGATGAAGAATGTTTAATTGTTTTACATTACAGTCATTCCAGTCTTGTAAAATTTTCAGCCAAAGCAAGGCAGTGCTGTCATATATACCTGGAGCAAGAAGAAGATATCAATCAAATATAACTGATAGGATTTGTATCTGATCCAGTACTTGACCTAGTGGTTGGTGACACTGCCTGTGGCAGGGGCTTTGGAGTCTGAGGATCCTTGTGTTCCCTTCCAACCCAAGCCATTCCATGATTCATTTGGAATTCCTGGAAAGCATTGTTAGGGAAACATGCTGTGCCTTATAATTTTTGTGTTACTCAGGGCAATTAAACTGAGTTAGTTGATTTTATTTTTATCTAGTGATGGTTTTATTTGCATGTTCTTGGTCTGGTGTGGTTTTTGTTCAAGTGTTTAATATTATGCTAACAAAAAAAATTATAACCTTAAGATAATAACATAAACGACCAAATTGTTTTAAAAAAAGGTATAACTGTTTCCAAAAGTTCTAAAACACAGAGTGAGACAAAATATTGCCCATGGGCAGTAGTGGAGTTAGTACTGATCATCTTTATGCCCACAGGATTACCAGGTAATCCTTCTCTGCTCCAGAGCAGCAGAGCAGCCATTAGATGGCAGCACTCTGCACGAAGAGCTCCTGAAACCCCAAATCCATCTCTTTCCACCAAGAGCCCGGGCCCTCAGGCAGGAGGAGAGTGCCGAATTCAGCATGCCTGCGAATAGAAACCATGCTTCCAAAGTTCAGAAAAACTCTTTGAAAGTTTCATAAATCCAGTTCGTTTCAGTCAACCCATTTTCTCCATTTGTAGCAGCTGTCTGAGAGCCGACTTGAACTATCTATTCTGGCTATTCTAGATTAATGTTTTTCAGTCCCCGTGTTTCAGCAAAACACTGGAGTTCTGTACCCCTAAGTATACAAGGTCAGTTATAGTATAAATACATTTTCTCTGTATGAGATCCTAGTGGAAAAAAAAAAGTACTTTTAAACAGTGATTGAATCCCAGCCTGGTACTTTTGAATTTACATCTAGATAAGTCAGATCTGAATACATCGTAGTTACTATTTCCTACTGGCTTTTTCCAAAGCAGAGCACTGTCACCAAGCTCATCTTGCTCACCCTTAGCACTTCTTGCTATGCAGTTGAAGTTGCGTGTCTCAGGACTGCCTTTGTAACAGGGACAGGAGGCAGAGTTTGCTTTCAGTGTACATCTGAAAGAGGGCATTTGCAGAGAGCTCTCTAGTTCATGTGCAGAGATCTGACATCATGCACAGTTAATAGTCACAGATTGACAGAATTGCAGGGGTTGGTAGGGACCTCGAGAGATCATTGAGTCCAACCCCCCTGCTAACCCAGGTACTCTACAGGAGGTCGCAAAGGTAAGGCATCCAGACAGGTCTTGAATACTGCTGTCGAAGGAGACTCCACAACCTCTCTGGGCAGCCTGTCCCAGTGCTCTGTCACCCTTACTGTCAAGTTAAATGTTGTGGAGCTGATGCTCAGGGCCATCCCAACCACCAGCACAGCACTGAATGTTGCTCTGGGGTCCCACGAGCATTGCTTTTAAAACACAGAGAAATAGATGTGTAGTGCAATTGTGAAAATCAAACAGAAGCTCAGAACAGATTCAGTAGGCCATGTGGAAATTCCTGGTGTGTTCTGAATGCTGTGGATTGGGTGAAGATCCCAGCTGGAAACCACATGGTTTTCTACCAGTTCCATTTGAGCCCTGGTGCAATTTGGAGGTTTGACTATTTGGGTTTGAGTGAGAATTTATTCAAATCTGAAAATCAAACAAATCTTTCAGACTGTTAAATCACGCAAAGAAAACTGAAGACAAAGGTTTGCTCACAGCCTTGGCTGTGACAAGCTTGGTCAGAGCTGTGAGTAAGGTAAACACAGATTGAAAACACTCTGGGTTGTCTGCCTGCTGTTTGCTGCACAGTTGGTGAACAATCCCTCCTATTTCCTCCCTGTTCACTAAGAGGTGGCTTGCTGACTTCAGTCTGCCCTTGTGTAGCAGCAGTGCGCTGCGCCGGAAACAAGAGGAGGTAGAAGCATGAGTCATGGCCTGAGTCACAGGGCTGCAGGGAAACCTTCCTGCCCAACCTGCAGCCATTCAGTTCTTGCAGCCCACTAGAAGTCAAACCATGGGAACTCAGTTACTGGGCACTCATATCTCCACTTACCACACCCTGTGTCGTTTCTGCAGGGCTCAAATACTGACAGTGGTTTCTTTGGACTGGGGCTGTTTTCTGTCGCAGCTACACCCAGCTATCCTGGCGCAGATTAACAACAGTGGGTAACTACAGAAGCTGTATCTACTTTGTATCACTTCTTTGGTAGACTTTTGCACATCCTTCAGTTACAATCTCTCTGGTCAAAAAAGTTTGACCTGTACTCTGATCTCCATCTCACTGCTTCCATTTCTACAGGGCTGGGCAGGAAAACACCAGAAGTTTTCTGAAGGGCAGGAAGCACTTCCCCCATCTTTGTAAATATCCACACAACTGTTTCATCCTGCGAAACATCCAGATTTTAGATTACTCAGTTTTACTCTAGGCTCTCAGAGTGAGAGTGCATATGAGATGAACATTGCAAATTAAGAGCCATGAGTCTGAGAGATTGTCTACAGGAATTTCTCCTCCGTATGCATCTCTTCTAATTCAAGAGATTTTCCTTGGTCCAATGAGGTTGGGACATTACGTTGACCATTAAACATTCTTTGGACCTAATGTGCCTCCTCTTGCAGGTTTTGTCTGGTATAGCATGAGAAAATTGTTGCTGTCTCTTGATCTGGTCTCCCTGTCTGTGCAATCACACTACCTCAGTTTATACGCTATTTGCAGGAGATATTTTTTTCTGAAATGAAGTAACTTTTAGATCTGAATGAAAGTAAACACCTCCCATTGTGAAACATTTAGAGACCCATCACCAGACTCACCAGTGAATTCAGCTCAGTTTGTCAGAAACGTTACACGTTGCTTTTAGAGGAAAGAACACTTATTAATGAAATACAACTTGAGGCTAATATTGTTTTAATTTCTTATCCCCTATCCACAACATTTTCTTTTTTTTCTTTCTTCCTCTCTCTCTCTCTCTCTCTCTCTCTCTCTCTCTCTCTCTCTCTCTCTCTCTCTCTCTCTCTCTCTCTTCAATGTTGATTTCTCCTTGGTCAACGTACTAAGGGTTGACTGGATGACCAGAATATCTTTCTGTGCTATCTTCATGTATTATAAATGCCAGGTATGGGGAAAAATATGCAGTAAAGATTTTATCCTATAGAAATTTTATTACCTTTTAAAGAAGCACAGACCTGCATTGTTCAGTATTGCTCATACTGAAGATACAAGATAACAGCTGTATTCTGCTGCAATCTGTCATTATAAAACCGTAACTCTGATTTAAGCAAGATCAGAACTTGCTCCAAAATGAACATGTAGCGGAGAATAAAAACAGCAATAGTTGCACTGTCTGTAATGTAATCTCCCTCATTGGGCTGATCCCTCTAATTTGGGTTAACAGAACAAGACTGTATTACATAACTTCTTAAAGAAGGGAAATTTTGCTGTCAAATCAAGCAATACCAGGATCCCAGAGATTTTACACATCCTAACTTGATCAGCATGACTACTCCAGATTACATTTTTTCTGGCACGTGTAGCGGCTCAAGCCATTAAAACAATATATTAGTAGAGGAACTTCCTAGCTGAATTATCTTTAGATAACACATCGGATATTTAGTGACATTGCGAAACAAGTTGCATCTGCTTCACACTCAGTTGTCTTTGTTTTGTTTTGTTTTTTGCCTTGCCCAAGACTTCTCTTATCATCTTGTGCCTCTGTCAGTGCCCAGTCCTATGATCTTCTCACTGTGTGAGTTTTTAAAAGCCAAAATGAAACTTGGTTCTTCTCTCTTTTTTGTGTGTTTGTTTTTGTTGTTACTTGTTTTGCCATGTCCTTTTATTTCTCTGCTCTACAGACAATCTGGAGAGGTCTGTCTTCAATAAATTGGTGAAACTTATTTGTTTTACTGAAGACAAGACTAATTCAGATTTGGCAGCCATCCCACTCAGAGGCAGGCATTTAGCCCCCAGCTGTGCTGTCCTTGCCAGGACCTATGTAAAATGTTACTACACAAACAGAAAACCAATAATGTCAAACAGTATTTGTAAGTTTTATGTAGGTTGTGTAATTCTTTCTTTAAAATTTTGGTATTTTGAATCTGAAAACTTTTTCTAACTGCCAGCTATTCAGCTGGCTGGTCCTTACCCTTGTAGACTGCTGGTGTCTGGTATCTGGTAGTTGAAGGACTGCCACGTAGTACTTTGAGCACACTCTTTGAGGTGTTGTCATATTGCCGGAGGCTAGTAAGAGCTGCAAAGTGAACTCCAACATTGGAAGGGCAGGCACTAGCTTTTTGGAGCTGTGAGAGGCTGTAGGCATAGCAACAATATTATAGGACACGCACACAAATGCAAATTAAAGACAGGGAAATAAAATGTGTTGGATGGCAGTTACAGTAGGATTTTGTCTTCATATGAGCAAACATTTTCAGTCGACTCCATTTCTTTTTGACCTCATGTACTACAGACATTGTCCTCCATAGACTTGCATCCTCACCACCTAAGAGAACATAATTTAATCGATGCTTTTTTCATGCCACAAGAAATTGTCGTAGGTGAGCAAGACACTCCTAAGTATAGAAAGAAATTGAAGGAGACTTTGGAATGTTGTTGTAAATAGAAATGTTAAGGTGTGGTTCCACAACAGTCTAAGATGAGCTGTAGCCAAACTGCCATATTCCCACCTCTCTGCCAGCTCTGTCTGCCTCCTTCTCCCTTCAAACTGGTGCTCACACTGGGGTGGGCAGCGACTGAGGGTAGGGAACTCAGCCAGGTAAAGATCAGCCCGCCTACAGAAGGTGTGTGGATTTTTATTGGATGAGGTTGAATCAGCTCACTGTTTGTTTGGACACCAGTAAGAGCCAAGGGGTGTGAGCATGAGGACAGGGCAAAGGTAGGCTTGACGTAATCTAGTTGGAGCTGCTATGAAACTACCTGTGGACTGTGTAAATATTAGTAAAATCGGATGTGCCTGGGAATGTTTCCAGGCACTAGAATGAGATTCTCTGTGCTATGAAACTGTTAAAATGCTTCCCTGGCAGGAATTTGACCTCTTCCAATTAACACTCTCTGCAAACAATTTCTGGGCACAATTTGGTTGCTAGAACGGTCCCAATAGGCAATTTGCAAGCATAAACGTGGTTCTTTCCGTGCCAGCTGGCCTTCATACCCAGGAATTCTTCCAGGCATGTTGGGTTTACTAGTATAGACCTATCCCTACTGTCACATCCTGCCCCAAAATTGCAGCTACAACCAGGTTTGAAAAGAGAGGTCTGATCCTGTCAGTTTTCACAATGAGTGCAGCTCAGTTTCACAAGCTAGCTTTGCTGCTTTGGTGGGATTTCTGATGGTGGAAAAACAGGTTATATGTTTTTAGGACACATCAGCAATACAACTATGAAATTGCAATTTTGCACTGCAGTGTGTAGACCAGTTGCAGATCCTCACAATGAGAAAGGAGTTGCCCTGAACCAATCGTTTTCAAAACCAAGAGTAGCATAACATAAAAGCTAGATGAAATCTAGGAAAAATACATTTAATTTTGTTTAATGATGTTGTAAGGACTGTATATTTTGCCTCCATTTCTAGTTGGGTTGGAGGGGGAAGAGATAGCAATATCTTTATATTTTTTTTTATCTGGGCTATAGTGCTACTGAATGTTTGGGCACTTTTGTGGGGCTGAAGCTGAAGTGATTTTTTTCAAGTCAGTTTCAGAACTGGGAATGCAGTTATTCCTTCCTCTGCATATTAAGAAAAAGCCACAATTGCAGCATTTCCTTTCCAGTTTGCAATGTTAATAAAATCAATGTGTTCTGTATCTTGAATAACCAAAGCCAGGTTATTCAAGATCCAGCCCTCAGCTGTGACAACTGAATAATTTCTGTTCCTTTTTTTTTTTTTTTTTTTTTTTTTTTTTTTTAACAGCTGCCTTTACAAGCTTCCCTCCACACCAGGGAATCTGAAAAAATGGGATTTTTACATCTCTCCAGGTATATTCACTTAGCAACCTTACGACCTCTTACTTAACGTATTCTCTCAGGGAACAATTAAAGGAATTGTTTTAGAGTGGCTCAATACACACACGCAGACATGCACAAAAAAAAAAAAAAAATGTTCTCAGATGGGTTGCTTTAGGACCCAGAGTAACTGGAATTGACAGAAGTCTTCACCTGAATGAATTTTCCTTCTGATTGTATACCTTATAAGGAGTACAGGAAAACAAGGAAGTGATAACCATGTTCAGGTTACTTCTATGTACAGCCTGCCGTCTTTACCTGCCCAGGTAGCTGTTGTTTTCATTTTCATTCATGCTCTGTGCTGATAGGTTTGAAGTTTCCTTGCGGTCCATTGTAGGTGACATCTGAAAACATACACTTTGGGAATGTATGATGATTTTTACAACATTCTGCCTTTCCGTGGACTATAATTAACACGCTAACACTTTTTGTCACACAGCCAGCACTGAAAACGAATGGGGATTGAATTGCTTTGCCTCTTTTTCCTATTTCTGCAAAGAAATAATTATGTGCAAGGTAAGACTCAGGGGCAGTGAGATGCATTTCAAAACCATTTTTGCTTTGTTTCTTGCTTTAAGTTGATATGAAATAGTTTTTTGTCTCCTGTATTTAATTGTTGCTTTCTGTTTGACGACTGTTTTCTTGACATGCTGCTGAAGGGCAGCCCTGTGAATTTGTCTATGATTTATGTGGGCATTGCATAGCACGATATGTATGAAACAGGTAGGCAGCCGAGTAGTTATGGTTATACTAATCACTGTTTGATCCACTGAGAAACTTAATACCGTACAAGGTCTCAATGTTTCACCAGTACTTTCACAAAAAATTAAAATAATATCAAGAATTTACAGACCTGGGTGAAGCAATTTTAGGTATAGAGAGTGAGCATGTGTACATCTGTGGTTTGGTGTCTCTGTTGGTGTTTTGGCTATGCTGGCAATGTTTTGCCCCGTACCACAAACAAACACAAAGCTTTATCAAGTGCACTGGAACAAACACAGTAGCACATTCCTATATTCTCAGTGAATGTGTACCTATAAAGCATGCAGAAGTATATTAATTATCAGCAATTGTGTTGCTGCTGTTTTCTTTGTTTTGTTTTGTTTTTCCCAGAGAGTTAATGTTCTACCAATAGAAATATTATCTTTAGGGAAGGGCTTTATCAGTAACACTACGTATGGCTAAATGTTTATAGCTTTTGCTTCCTATGTTCTCAATGTGAGCAGATTCATCACGGACTGAATGATTAAACACATTATTAATAGCCTTTTGTCTTCTTGGATTTAAACTTAGGGATCTGTTCTCAGGAAAGTGGAGTGACTTGTGAAGATTGTTTGCTTTCCGGACCGCACTGTGCTTGGTGCTTCCAAGAGGTAGATGATACCAAAAATTTCAAAGTAAAACTTGAAATGTTTGTAGTGGCTCTGAGTGACAAAGTATTGACTTAACTGGGTTAGCCCATGATTTTGTAACGCATGCAGTGCTTAGTGAAGCCTTCCTAGGAATCAAAAGGGAAATTCAAATACAGACTTTAAGCTGTATTAATATCTGTAGTATCAGTTCTGGCTGATTTCAAATATGACAGTAGTGTCAGTTTTCTAATTAATTATGACATAGGTGCGAGTATTTTGGCTAAAACATAGGGCTTTAACATAAATATTTGGATTTGTTTCCTACAGAACTCTTACAGGCTTTCTGTGTAACTCTGAGCAAGCCAATTACCATCTCTGCTTTTAAAATTTTCCCCCGTGAAAGGTGATAAATACCTCCATAATTCCTAGCAAGTCTTCTGGGTCTTAGTTAATTAATTCTGGCAAGAAAGTTAGCTATTGTAATTTAAAAATTGCCAGAAATAGTGAGAAATTGAATATTTTTCATGATAGCAGCAGAATTGTGAATCAGAAAATATTCCCACCTTTTAAAAATAGCAGAATAACATAGATGAGGAATACTGTATTGCTGTATGAAGTAACTCACAAAGATCAAAGAATACTTTTTTTTAAGGAGATTGCTAAATATAATTCAGCAATTTGTATATAATGTTACCATGGGAGGAAAACACACAAAACAACACACTCCAAAAATAAAAAAAGAAACCCACCCAATTTACAACAACAAAACATTGGAAACTCCTGTGTTTTCAGGAATTTCTGTTTGCAGTCAGCCACAAAAACAGGATTTTCTTGAAATTTGATCAGGATTTGAAATACTGCCACATACATTGAGAAAATGAAAAACAACGTGTTGACTTAAAAAATCCTCTATAGGAGAAAAATGTGCCTTCTAGGTATATCTGAAACATGAGTTTGCCTCTGCATGCACGTTTCAAAAAGCCAGCAATTAAAAGTGTGTAACTACAGAAGGTGGTATAGTTCTCCCTGTGAAAGCTCTGTAACACTGATCTTTGTGCAGTGAAGAAGGTGTTGGTGAGAGTCTTCTCTGAGCAAGGTTGTCAGATTTGGTCTGAAGCACGATAAATTGCTGTTCTCACCTGTGTCGCTTCCACAAAAATACATGAGCTCTCTGACAAGTGTCAGCCATGAGTGATGAAGTCTTGATTACAAGGAGAGGCTGAATTCTGTTCTTAATAAGTTTTCTGTTCTTAATAAGTTTAAAGTGAATATGTTTTGCTTTGGGTAGAAAGTTCCTCAGTGACTGAAATGAGATATTATTTGTGGTGTAATGGGCAAGCAATCTCAGTTCAGCCAAACCAGGGAGAAAAGAGCTGTCCCATGCCATAGGCCACGGCCATCAATGAGGCAGGAGGTGTTCTGATGTTAGTTCTGCCAGGCACTTCCCAGCTTTTGTCAAAAAGTCTGGTTGACCATAACAGTTTTCAATTCAGGAGATAACTGACTGGCCTGCAGGTCTAAATTCTAGACATAGCTCTAGGAAATGGTAATAAGCATCAAAGCCTCTTCATGAAACAAACCACTAACCTCACTGCTATGTGGGATAATGCCCATGTTGTATTTGAAATGTGAGTTTGCGTTGCAGGGAGAATTGTATGTCAAGTGCTTTGAAATGAGGAACCAGAACCAACTGCAAGATATCCAGGTGATATCGATAGACTTGCAGTTCCCTCTATGGGGGAGGGAGGTGGAGGAGGATGCTGAGCCAGATGTGAGTGGGCATATCAGAGCAGTGGGAACCCCATCAGTTCTGGAGAAAGAGGGGAGCTGTGGTGTTTGCTGGTTCAATGAATTAGTAAAATAAGGGCTGAGGAGAAAGAGTAGATCAAAGGAAAACAAGGAGTCCGGAGAATTATGTGCACCGCGCCTCCATTTTCTCACAGAATCTGTAGGAATTTATTATTTGCTCTCCTGTTATTAAATGATGTTCCACCAGCAGTTCAAAACTGCTTAGGAAAGGCTGGTGAATTTGTGAGATAGACCTGTAAGTGTTTTGCTTACAACAGGCTCAGAAGGGCTTTGTGTTCCCATTCCCAGAGCTGCAAGAAGCCAAGTGAGAGTGGCATAATTCCCATTCCCCAATAGTAGAGTAGTTTTTCCCAGGACACTAAAGTGGTGTAAGTTACATTAATTATACACCTGTGGGACATGACCCACGAAGGGCAAATTGAGATTTCGGTGCCCTCTAGATCTCCTTCTGAATTAGTTTGCACTCATTGTATAATCTGCACCTTTGTTTCTAGTTCTTTGGCATTCGATTGACCTTTTGTCAGCTGCTGCTGGTGGCTGGTCAGTAAATATATTTAACTCATCCATCTCTTTTCCTGTTTGCTTTAGAATTACACAGACTCAGCTGGAATTCATGGGAGGTGTGATACCCCAGAAAACCTTTTGTCAAAAGGATGCCAGTTGAATTTGATTGAATTTCCCATTTCAGAAGTGGAAATTCACAGAAACAAACCTCTAACTATAGCAACCCAGAAGGACAATTATGATGTCACACAGATTTCTCCCCAGAAATTAACACTCAGGCTGCGACCAGGTAAGTCACTCAGGTCATAAATGCAGATTTTTTTTAATTTTATTTTCCTGTTCGTGATGTATACTGAGATACTGTTATACACTCAGACTAGTGGGGAAAAAAAAAAAAGACAAAGATAAAATACTGATGTTCAATCTGAAATTATCTGTTGTTTGACTCATCGGATAATTGTTAAGTTTGGAAGGAATACTTTCAGAAGTGCTGGATCCATCATCAAAACTAAGGATTTAATGTTCAGTTCTTGCATTCTCTGGGAAATAAGTTGGCTGTGAAAGAATGGAAAGCCCCCATGTCTCTCCAGCCCTGTCTCTCAGCCTCTCCCTCTGCAGATCTGGCAGACAGCGTATCTCAGAGGCAGTATAAAAATCTTGCTTTGAGGATTTACAAGGTAGCAGTGACATTTATGGAAGCATTCTATACCTACTCTGGGGTCTTTGAGATGTGATTCTTTTCCTGTGTAATGCTTGGACTAAGAAAACATAAGAAACACCCAGTTAGGTCATACTGCAGTACTACAACTGAGAGTAAAACTTGGTACACACTCTGATTTTTTAATGTGTGTGGCGTATCCCATAAGTGCTTCCTTTAGCTTTAATGATCTTCATATCTAAATTTTCTGAAGGTGCATACTGCTGAAAGGATGTTCTCATATCTTTAAATCACAGCCATCAGTTCCGAGTCTACAACTAGGGCCTTACTGAGGAATTGTTTAGAAAATACACCAGAATTGCTTTTAATTTTCTAGACAGCCAGTTTGAGATTTTTGTTGCCTGAGAGTTTGTAAAGTTATTACAGAATCATAGAGTATCCCAAGTTGAAAGGGACCCACAAGGATTGCTAAGTCCAAGTCCTGGTTCCATACAGGGCCACCCAAAATTTAGACCATATGGCTGAGAGTGCTGTTCAAATGCTTCTTAGACTCCAGCAGCTTGGGTTTGTGAGCACTGCCCTGGGAAGCTGCTCCAGTGCCTGACCAGTTATTTGTTAATTGCACAGGTGGCTTAAAGTGCTAAATAATTCTTGCCATATATAAGTTTATGAACTAAGCACCATTGCTTATTACTTCTTATAAGTACTAAGATGTATCCCATCTTCCCGTGACTTTCACAGGACATGAAGAAACAATCCAGATCAAGGTTCGGCAAAGTGAAGATTATCCAATTGACCTCTATTACCTCATGGATCTTTCAGCTTCCATGGATGATGACCTGAATACAATAAAAGAATTAGGCTCAACTCTTTCCAAAGAAATGTCAAAACTGACAAGCAACTTCAGACTGGGTTTTGGATCTTTTGTTGAAAAACCAGTTTCACCATTTATCAAAACTACATCTGAAGAAATAAACAACCCTTGCAGGTAGGCAGGGAAAGTACCTGTTTTTGTTTGCATGCCAACATTTAGTCATAATATTAATCCTTCTGGTAAAATCCAATTTTGCAACCCCATTGGAATCCCTTCCTTATTCCAGTAGTAACTGAGTCAGTTTGGGAAATAAGATTTGTTTGAGCTTTACACTGCTCATTAATTTGTTGCATAGAATCATAGAATGGCTTGGGTTGGATGGGATCCCAAGGATTGTCAAGATCCAACCTTACCTTACACTGCTACATTACTTGAAGAGAGGAATTTGAGAGTGATTCTGCTCTATAGTTTTGCTGCTTATTACAAATGTGCTTAACAGAGTAGCAAAGAGATATTTAGAATAACTATGTATTTATTTTTATTTGCTAGAATATACACGTATACATTTATATAGAGACAGAAATTTTATGATGCTGTGATGCTAAAGGGGTTCAAACTGAAACCCAACACAGAACGGCAGTTTCATTTACTCTCGGGCACAGAAGAGAGATGCAAAACCAAAAACTAATCCAGCAAGGCCTGCCATGTAGCCACTGTAGGGATTCTCTCTCTGCACTGTCCATGAGTTGTCTCACTCCTTTTGCAGAAGTGTGCCATATGAGTGCTTGCCCACCTTTGGATACAAGCATGTTTTGTCACTGACAAATGATGCTGAAAGATTCAATGAAATTGTAAAAGGACAGCGAATCTCTGCTAACATAGATACTCCAGAGGGAGGATTTGATGCAATTATGCAGGCAGCTGTTTGCAAGGTAATTGAAAATTCTAGATATGATACAAGTTACTCTGTATATATCCACTTCCAGTATTATATGGTTATAATTCAAAGGAGTAGATCATTATTTTCATTTGTTTGTTGTTGTTGTTTTTTTAATGTGATCCAAGAGCCTCATTAGGTTTATGTGAAAATACTTTTGGCTGTAACATGTTAAACATACATGAATATTGCCATATTTTATTGTTTCTACTTAATTGCCAGGAATAAAATAAAATATGAACTGCATAACTACTGGGTCTGTTCCCTTAATAATTTTTTTATCTAAGAATGTTGGGTGAACTATGCTTAGAGTATTAAGCAGACTGAATTGAACAGAGCCAACACTTTTTCATAAACACAAAAATGAGAATAGAAAATTTAGCCAAAGACATCAGAATGAAAACTATAGCCTCTTTCAAACTGATGATGCTCATTCTTAGAATAGGTGATGTGATGTTTTTGATGCACTCTTTAAGATTTGTTTTGAGATGCCATTCTCCAAGTATTTTGATGCTTTCCTGCTTGTGAATGTAATACAGTCTACTGAACTAATGTATTTTAAATGACAGGAAAAGATCGGATGGAGGAATGACTCTCTGCATTTGCTGGTGTTTGTGAGTGATGCTGATTCCCATTTTGGGATGGACAGCAAGCTAGCAGGAATTGTTATTCCTAATGATGGGAACTGTCATTTGGACCACAATAATGAATATTCCATGTCAACTATTCTGGTAATTCACTCTAAATTTTGTTCAACTCAAAGAAGCAAATAAGAAACCTAGTGGAAGTGTACCTTAATCACTGAAATGCATGGAAGCTGCAGAAGCTAAGCATTTTCTATTATCTGCTTTACTTTTAGTTGCAAATGTTAGTTACAAGAGAACAGTTTGTTTATGTGGAATTGTGACAAATTGTAACTAAAAGTTTAAAAAAAAAAAATAATTGTATCTCTTATTCCTGCTAACCTAGAAAACATGTGGAACCAGACTGACTAGTACTACCTTATGCAGGGGTAACAAAATTTGCATTAACCTACTTCCCTGGAAGGGAGGATGTGAATTCAGCAGAAATTCAGAAATGTTAAGGCCGCTGCTCAAAGAATAAAAACTTTCAGCTTAAGATTCAGGGACCAAACTAGTGCACATACCCTGTTCTGCTGGCAGAATGCTACTAAAGTGTGGAAAGTAACACCATGCTTCCCTCTAAGGGACATCCATAAAACAAGGCAAGGAAATTACACACACTTTTTTTTTTTTTAATATATAACCTGATGACTAATGATAGTTCATTTTATGCAGCAGAATATCAATTATGGTCACTTAACTATGTTTTATTGGTGATAATTAGCATCTGGACATACCTGGAGAAACTAATGTAGGCTTTCTTCTGTTTGCCTTCAGGAGTACCCCACAATTGGACAATTAATTGACAAACTTGTGCAAAACAATGTTTTGGTAATTTTTGCTGTCACGAATGAACAAGTTCACACATACGAGGTGAGTAAACTAAAATCTTCAGTTCTCCAGTATTTGCTAATAGGTTCACTATTTTTCATAGCTGATACACTCCAGTATTTAGGAGCCAATTCTGCAAGACACTTATGTAATAAAAGTATCTAGGAAATTATATATCGGAGTCACAGAAAGACTCTTTTACTTAAAGAATACTGCTTCCTGTATTGATTTTGATGTCCTTACGTTACTTTAAATTGGATTTCAAGGTGAATCATACTGTAATTTTCAAGTCAATCAACAAGGACTGACAAATGAGGCATTTCTACACTATTTGGAACCATCTCTGTGATTAGCCTTTTGTATTTGTGAGGGTAGATAAGGAGCCTATTATTCCTTTAATAAAACAAGAATGCATTCTGACAAATATATGTCTTTATGCTCAACAGTGAAATAATGTAGGTTCTTCTTTATTTATTTATTTATTTATTTATTTATTTAACTGATCTGGGAATTTTATTTACTTTTCTTTCAGTACTCATCAGTACTGTTTTCTATTTCTAATTTCTGTTCTCTCTGTGGCCCAAGGAATACTTTCCAGTGATTCTTTGACTGGATCTAGTTGTAGAGCTGTCTGAGAAAAGATAGTACTCCAACTGTTGGACAAAAGTTGCATGAGTGAAATCTTTCAGAAACTGATTCTCAGATGACAGCATTAGCAATGAAAGAAAGCACTCTTCGCCTTCAAGCACTTTTAGAATGTATATTGAATTCTGAGCTGAAGAGCGAAAATTAAAATCCAGAGTAGAAGAAAGCAATCATTTACTAATGAATGCAGTGGGAACCTGCATAGATGAATTAAATTTTTTTGCATTAAGTAACGTTAGTTAAATCTCATTATTTCTCATCCATTAATAGAGGCCCGCTTCATAACAATGAGATATTTTCACCAATGTCAATAGGAGCTGCAGAAATAGGGGCTGTTCTAGGAGGTTCTTTGGAAGTACCTCTCATTTACAGAGCTATATTTTGTCCCAAAAAACCTTTTCTCTTACTGATGGCATTATATTTTCCTTTAGAAATTGCAGGTGGTCACCCTCAGAGTTGGCCAACAGTGCTCTTATCAGCAGTTTTCTATTTCAGTTTCCTGTGTCAGTGTTATACCAATATCAAAGTTATCAAGTGGCACCCTTTGTTCACTGGGAACACTAAACGGAGATTTATAGCTAAAGAAAAATGCAGGCTATTGTTCAACCAACTGTAGAATTTTTGTTCTTGTTACTTTCTTAGTTAGAAAAGAAAAATAGCTGTTATCTTCTATCTTGTAGGGTATAGAGAATTCCCACCGAATATATTCTCTCTGCTTCTTTCATCTTTTCAATACTGCTTTCCGTCACTTATTTGGATTTCTATAGTTGTTCTGCTCTGCTTTCCATTCTGTAGGTGACACAGAAAATCAGACAAAGCAAACACAAAAATTTATATGTCGTTCTCAGAGTACAGGTTTTTTCCTTTCATGATTGATGTAGGACATACAAACAGGATTCTAGTTTATAATACAAATGTAGACATGCACTTATCCACATTTAAGAGTTCAAAAAGAACAAAGCAAGGCAGAGATGTCTATTCTTGAGTTAAGGTCAGTGTTGATGGAGCTTGGAAGAGCTGGGTGAGGAGGCTGAATTGGCACTTTGTCATCGCCATTAAACCACACTTGTTCTGGCATTTTCTAAAAGCCTCAGTGGATGGACTCTCCTTATTAGAGAACCTCCTAAACTTGATTATCCTTTAATATATATCCATATGGCTCATCTAAAATCTTCTTGTACGCAGTATCTAATTATATCAGATCCCAAAATGGACCATTATTATTTATAATTCAGTTCTTAAGGACCAGCATGCATTAAAATGACTATGAGGACTCAGTCAGCATCTCTTTAAATAAACTTGATGGATTCCAGTGTTCTTAAGTTCAGTGTTCAGACTGGCAAAAGCCTATTCAATATTTCTAGCCCTATATAATCCCCAACAACTTAGCTCAAAATAATTCATCTGTTTTGATCCTCTTGAACTGAATTTTCATTTAATTTCCACTGAAATGTATGTATACCACTGAATATAGGTTGTACACACACAGAATATATGCACCTGTAACATAGCAGGTTCTAGTTTTTGATCCTCCGTGCATGCATGCATCCACTGGATAGAGATAACCAGAGGATGAAGGTTGAGGTCTGATGCTCTCCTTGCCAGGTTGGCCATGTTTTAAAGCAGTCACATGGAAACGCACATAAGCTCACTCAGAATTAAATGCAAGAGAGCAGAAGTTCTTACACTGAACCCTGATCATTTGAGATTTGATTTTTAAAAAGAATTTTTTTTAAAAGAAAAGTTATTTTAAAATATATTCACTTGTCTAATGTTTTGCATTATTAGTCTCTGCTGATCCTTACCAAAGCAGCAGGGAGTGTATTTATTCTCTAAATCTATTCAGTTAGAAAATATTTGTGAATATTTCTGTGACATTTTTATGAACTTTAAATCCCATTTTGGTATAAAAGAAAACACTCCAAGATTCCCTCAAGTAATTATCATTAGTGCTGTTATCATTTGATTTCAAACAGAATTCTTTTAAAATTTATTCAAACTAGATGAGGGGGAAAAAATCCCTCTTTAGCCTTTCCTCGGTGTAATAATGGCAAAAATTATTCTTTTTTGAATACATATTGATAAATACATCACAAGAAATTACAGCTTGAAAATTGAGTTTTTTTCAAACTGTGTTTCACTGCTGAAAATTGGACTAAAAATACTCCAATCTTCAAACTTGTTCAGAATTTCAAATGATTATTCATTAAATTTAGCACAACTTATTATGTATGCTGAAAATTCTTCTGTCATTTGCACTGCTGGAAGTTAAATTTAATCCCGCTGAGCTCAAATATATAATTCTCAAATTTCACTAATGGTGAATGAGAGAATTGCTAGAAAAATGCAGTTCATTTTTTAATGAATATTTGCTAAAAGACTGAACTCAGTGGCATTCTCTGGATAATTTTATGGTGGTAGCATATAATAGCTATCACATATATCACAATATCACATTGCCTCCATTAATGGTTAAACAGAAATATGTGCTGAGAGGTGGGGTTTAACTAGGGAACTGAAGGGTCACACTTGCACTGGGCGTGCTCCATCATCCTTGCATCAGTATGCAGTGAAGTTGTCTTCTATGAGGAGAAAGTCTTCAGAACAGAATACCTCTGCTGTTTGTTTTGCATGCCGCAGATTAGAAGGGTGCTAGACTTTAAATTCCAGGTTTATCGTCTCCCTCCCAATATATAATCAGCTCATGGGAGGTCCGCATCTACAAAACGCAGTGTTTCAGTATTCTGAGAATCCTTGAGAGAGCACTAAGCACAAGAGGAGTCAGGAATGCGAAGTCACCAGCTGGAACACAAAATGCAGTTAATCCCCCTGATTTACAACAGCACTTCAGAACTGCAACGAATGACAAGTATTCCATACATAATGTATAAAGTAATCACAGTGCTTTGGGAGATGTGAAGCATAGGAGGGATATAAGGCTATCAGATTATCCATATTTATTAATAGTTCTCTGGATTTTTTTCGATTAAAATAACAGCACTGATACAATGAATTGTAGAAGAAAAATGAATGCTACAAAGTGTATTTGTAGCTGTGGTTGTTTGCTATTTTCAAAAGGCATAGGTACAAGCAGCTGAAATTCATGTAGTTAACAATCAGCCAAGATAAATTTTAACCAAGTAAATTTAAAATCTATCTGCTGGATGTTATTTTAGCATCACAGTGAATTTAATGAAAAAGGAAAGGAGAGCAGAAAGGAAAGAAGAAACTTTCCACTGGAATCAATTATTAAATTGGTATTATCTTATTAACATAAAGTCAACATACAGTCAACTACAGCCCCTGATCACTGGGAGATGTGTGGGGTGTTACAGCAATTGGAAACTAGCAGCAGATTTTTAAGCATCTTTGTTCAAAGTTCTTGTAGTCCTTAGTAGAAATCTCTTAACTAAGAGGTTTTCTGTTAAGAGATTTCTGTGTCCTCCTATATTAAAATTCAAGATGTTCAGTTGCACGGAAAGGCAAAAAAAAAAAAAAAAAGGTGGCTGTCATTACTGAATGTTGTGTCTAAGGCACTTGAATATTACAGCAACAGTTGAGCAGCTGAATCTATTTTTTGTTTTTTGTTTGTTTGTTCTGTTTTTTTAAAGTAAAACACAACTGTTGCATATTCATTCTAAGTTAAAGAAAAAAAAGCTAGAAAATACTTCGGTGTCAAACTCGTAAGCACACTTAGCAACTTATTTCCCACTAATTGTCAGTGAAACTAATGCTTCTCCTTAAGACCTCTTCCAATATGACAAGTGTGCCATTGGATCAGCCAGAGTCCTTGAAAACGTCACTATCATTTATTTCAGTTGGCTCCACTGTAGTTCATTCATTTCCAGACTACAGGTCCTTGTCACCTACTCTGTCAACTAGTCTTTTTTTTTTTCTTCTTTTTTTCACTGTTTTCAGAACTATGCAAAGCTTATTCCTGGAGCTACTGTTGGACGACTGCAGGAGGATTCCGGAAATATTCTCCAGCTGATCATTGCTGCGTATCAGGTAAGGTTACAATAATCTGTTTTCTTTCTATGTGCTTCCATTTTCAAAGTTAGAGTGCAATTTGCTAAATCCAAGCACCTTTGATTCTTTTTCAGTACTGATGACAAGAACAATTTTGTATGTTTAGTTGCTGACCTCTACAGGGGAACTTTTGTTTGCTCCAAGGATGGATTGAGCGCAGAACCAGTACTTTTACTGACAATATATTACTCTCTACTGAAATGCTCAGTTAGCAGAATGCTCTGGCAAGAATCACTCTGTAGATTAGGAAGTAAAAATTGCCATTTGAAAATTGTTAACTATCAAGATTTAGACTCACAGCAATGAGACACCCCCATTAGTCACACAATTCACAATTAACTTATGTTATCCACTAGTGATCATAGTACTGTTGAGCAAATGAATAGGGCACTCTGTTACTAGCACTTGGCTTTGCTCTGCAGTGAAGTACAGAGAGTGACAGAGCTGATGTTAGGTACCATGGCACAGGCAGCTTTTTCGCAGCACTTTGCTGAAAAGCATTTTTTGTGCATCCATCCTATATTCTGCATGCATTATGCATGTATTTTCAAAGTATGTTACATCTGCATTCATTGAGATTGCAGTGAATGCTTGAGGTTGACTGCTTTGTTATTTAAAGCTATATGTTTCATGGTTTTCCAAACAAAATTCCTGTGTGCTTCTGTCTCTCTTTACTTGTGCTGGAATGCAGAATTCACATCTGCATGTCTTCTATCTTGTAGTCCTCTATTTCACACTTGTTTCAAAGCTTTCTTTAATACAGGAATTCGTGTCTTCCTGCTCAAAACTTCTGCAGGGCAATAATTCCCATCCTATCAGTAACTGCCCCTGGAGAATGCTCCAACATTTCCACAGGAATGTCTGGGGAAAAGCACTACCCTGTCATCAGTGCTGTTTTCTGATTTAGCAATTTGATGCTGCCCCTGTGAGGCTGTTTTGAGGTTTTTGAAGAGCAAAACACAAGAGGCAAGAGAAGTCTCAAATGGGTTGTTTTTGGTAATACTGAGAAAGACTGTGAATATGACAGAAAGGTAAATACAGAGCTGCTCTTCAGAACTTCGTTTGTAAAATGCATTCCTGCTACCTGGTCCCTTTCCTTCAGGGGAATGTTTTTAGACAGTTTGACACAGGTATATACATACACACATGCACACACATACATATATATGTACATCTTCTTATATGTCAATATGTCACAGAGTTTTCTCTTTACTCCTTTTTATCCTCCTTTTTATTAGAAACTTGCTCTAACTTTTGGCTACAATGAAAAATAATGCTTTGCGAAGGGCATTTTCTATTTCTTTCTGGGTTGGCTGGTTGATTTGTTTTTCTGATCTTCCTCTTACCTGCAGCATAATATAGTTATTATTATGCCCCCAAATTATTTTGGACATAATAATGGAAAAGCAAAACAAATTTTTCAAGTCTACTAAGTGCAGCATAATTGATTGCGATTTTAAAATGAAATACAAAATATCATTCTTTCCTATTGAAAATTTAGATGAGCAAAGAACTGTAAGGCTTTTTTTTGGTGGGGTCAATGCATTATAACGATTAAGGAGAAACAATTGTCAGAAGTACAGTTAGCCCTAAATGGGCAGTGGTGTCAGGATTTCACCTCTGGAGTTTGACCTGTCAGTTGTCACATCTGGATTTCTTGAGGATGGGGCTCTGACAGAAAGACAGATGTTACTGCCTTTAACAGCTGAAACACCAGATTTTGTCCAACAAATATGGGGAAAATGTAAAATAATTGTCCCAGTGACATGTCCTGGTGATTTTACAGTAATGTTATATTATGTGCTTAACAGTATTTCCTCCTCATTTCCTCTAGTTGCATTGTTATGGCAACTTCGGTCTTGTTAGATGCTGGGAAGGTTTTTACTTTTTTACATTCTCACCGTTCATATTTGCCAGTTAGAATGAGAGCATTTCTCCTTTCTATCTCAGAACAACAATAAGCCTATCCTTCCTAAGAAATACGAGCAGAAGACATGACCTGCATGATCCATCCAGCACAGCGCTGTTTTTTCTCCAATGGCAATAGGAAATGGTGATGAGGGACAGAATGCTAGCCTGGCTTCTTCCTTTTCTTTGCTTTTTTTTTTTTTTTTTTCTACTCCTCTTTTTGAACATGCTGATATTTTCTGTCTCCTGCAGTACAAAGTTCACTTGCACCATCCCAGGTTCAGCCAGCTGTGGGCAGGATCTGGAGGAAGCAAGGAGCTCAGTGCTTAGTCTGTCTTGGAGCAGCTGGAAGGAGGCTACTGGAGCTGGGCTCCTGCCTCTGGGCCACAGCTCATCCTGTCCTAGCGCAGGTACAGCATGTCTGGGCCATCCACCAGTTGCTCATAGGTTCTTAAGAGCTCATGTATGTTTTGCACCGTACAAACTGTACGAGTAGCAACATGTCACAATTTCAGAATTTCCCAGAGCCCATTTTATTACGCTTAGCCTTGAAGGTTAACAACCTTATTGCCTCATGATTGAATCCTTTCCAAGCAGGAAACACTGAAAAACACCTTATTTGACATATTCCAGTTTTGTTGTAAACCTTTTACACTACTCTTCGCAGTGCAGTTCAACACTCAGAGTTTATGGTTTTTCACCTACAAAAACAGAGTTAATAACTATTTTCCCAGATGAATAGTGTTAGGCTCTATCTTTTAACACTTTTAAAGTACACTACAGCCTTTGCTGTACAAACACAAGGTTTGTTGATAACGTTTACCATGCACCATTATCGAAAAGCTTCAGAGAAGAAGTAAACAAGTCAAGAAAGTCTGAGCTGTCAAAATGTTTGTTACAAGGCGTTCTCATGTTAAGTATGATTCATTTTCTCCTGAAAGCGTATTTCTGCCTGCTTTATTCTGTTTGGCTTTGTGTTGCAGAGTTGCACTCTAACTTGCACTGGGACAGGTATCAGGCATTTTGATTGAGGTTATTTCAAGATTTTACCATTTTAGAAATATTTAACTTTTTTTTTTTCAGTGCATTGCTCCTTTTTAACTTACACAATAATAACACAAAGAAATAATATGTTTAAATGGGAGGGGAATCATAAGTGAACTGGTACAGACACCACGACTCAATCAATGTATTACACTTTTGTGTTCAGCAGCATTTAAGTTTCTCTCATGGATGTATTGCGCTTGGGTGTAGTAATTTTGCAGCTGAGAGAACATTCAGTGATATAACATTAATACATGCAAAGTCTCACAGTTTTACCTTAAAGTTCGCTATATTTGGTCCTTTGGTGGGAGTCCAAACAAACCATTATCTAAGAATCTCTACATTGGCCCAATAGCAGCATAAGCAACTCCAGGACAAATGAAGGGGAAAAACTGAACTCATCCAGAGCTACCAAAATGAACAGCATGATGGCCAGTGCATGGATTGCATGGTGGAAAGAGCACTGGATGTTATGCAAACACACCCTGCAGGATGTGTTGCTATCCTTTTTTAAAGTGCTTTGGTTTACTGACCAGGTTTTCCAAAAGACATTTAGAAAAAGAACCCAGTCTCAACCCTGAGAAAAATTCCAGAGAATCCAGGATGTGTACAAGGACAGGGAGATGCTGTCTGTGAAGGCCTGTAACTAGTCTCCTTTAGTTTCAGTCAACATCACTTTTTTAACCTTCCCAGACCTTTACTCCAGTGAATCATCCTGATGCCTTTACTGAATGACTCACTGAAGGAAGATCAGCAAGATCCTCATGCCCTGATTGAAGTACAGTGGGTGTTCTGTAAAGCAATTAAGCTTGCAAGAGCACAAAGCTAAGTCAGTAAGACTTCTGCTCTGTGATTGCTAAGGTGCTTTTGAAAAATTTCCATTTACTGGATTGATGAGTTGATGAAGTCATAGGGAATTTCCCCATGTCCTGCTACAGGCTTTGGATTAAGGCTAAGTTGTGTAACCTAAGTTGCTATAAAAATATTTTGAAGTTAAATATATATTAAAATAGAGGATATGGGAGTATTCAGGAGGTGAGCTGAAGAGCCTTTTTCATTTAAGAAATGAAAGTTTGATTTAACAAATTTACTTAAGAAATGACAACACTATTGACCACAGCTTGAAACATCGCCGACAACTCAGGAAACCAAAATTTCTATTGGGTGAGAAAGGAGAACAGAATGAGCTACTAGGCTAGGTGAGCTAATTGTGGGGATAGGCTCTGGCTCTTGTCCTGCAAACATCAGGTAAAGGTACAGAGGCCCACAATGAGGCAAAACTGAGCTTGGAGCTTGCCAAACTGGAAGGGAGATTGTGAGGTTTGATTCTAAGAGCAGAGATAACAAGGAAGAAATATTGATTGCTGGTTAATCAAGAAAAGCCTGGTGCTAGCAAAGCAAACAGAGGCACAAATCCATTCCTCAGTAAGACCAGAGTTAAAGAAAGCCTGTATTAGTCAATGGAGTACTTAATAATGAAAGATGATTTAATAAAATGTTGATTTGTTCTTCTACAAGAGCAGGAAATAAGCACCATGATACCGGATATTAAACTGATAGGACTCTGTAGCTTTGAGCTGAAAGCCGCCTCTGTCGGCACTTGCTTTGTCTCACTCATTCTCCATTTTTCTTGCAATTGAGTATGTAAATAAAGTGCCTAAACCAAACACATTTACTCCTGTGTAGCTGTGATAAGTTACAGTCCACATCACACAGACACAGGACATCAGCTGTGTGTGGCAGTGTTATCTCTTCATTCATCACACTCCTTTTCTCTGAAGGAGCTGAGGTCCGAAGTAGAGCTGGAGGTCTTGGGGGACACAGAAGGACTCGATCTCTCTTTCACTGCCGTCTGTAACAATGGGACCTTTTTTCCACATCAGAGGAAATGCTCTCACGTGAAAGTGGGAGACACAGTAAGTAAGGAACAGATTCCCAAAAATATTAATTCATAGGAATTTAAAGCACCTGTATAAAAAGTTTGGGGTTTTTGTTCTTTGTTTTTTTTTAATAATCTTCCTTCAAGCAGAGAAACTCTTGTACCATGTTATGCATATATTTTCAGAATACCCTGCACTCTATGTATGCAGACACCATTTTCTCTTCCAGGTCTCTTTCAATGTGACTATAAGTCTGCCCACTTGTGATAAAACCACCAGGTATGTTGTGATAAAACCAGTGGGTCTCAGTGACATGCTGGAAATGGAAATCCTCCCTCAGTGCAGCTGCAGCTGCCAGGCCAAGGCTGAGAGGAACAGCTCGAAATGCAACAAGGGGAAAGGCACTTTTGAGTGCGGAGTGTGCGTCTGCCACCCCGGGTACATGGGTCCACACTGCGAGTGTGATGAGAATGCTCTCAGCACTGGATCCTGCAAGGGCTCTGTGGAGCAGAGCTCCTGCAGCGGGAGAGGCAGCTGCTATTGCGGGCAGTGTGTTTGCCACCCATCCATGTATGGAAGAGTTTACGGAGCGCATTGTGAGTGTGATGACTTCTCGTGTGTGAGACACAGAGGGCTTCAGTGTGGAGGTAAGCTCCCTGTGGGTTGTGTCTAGTGTCTGTGATTTAAGAGTGCTGTTGTATCCCTCTTACTTATGAGCCTGCGAAGTTCTTTTTTTGTAATATATTTGATTACAATCAGTATGCGTAAAAGTAGCATGATCCTTAGATTTAAAATATATTTTTTACCCTATTTTGAAAATTTTTAATGGAACATCTTTAGCCACACCACAGCTCATAGAAGCTGGTATCGCTTTATTGGACTGTACCCACCTCCATCACAATGGGTTTGAGTTTTAGCGGTTGTAATGGCTGTAGCTTTAAAGAAGTTTAATGAAGTTTATTGACATACACTGATGTGAAGCAATGTACAACTTCACTCTGACATTCCTAACCATTTTGGGACACATTCTGACTTACATATATTGTATGTAATATAATTTAACCCAGTAACCCAGATGATTCCAGCTGTTCTGGCTTCTGTTAGTATGATACAATCAGAATGTGAGGAGTTGTGTTTGTCATTTTTTCCTGAGCTCTACAATCATCAATCAGTAGTGATCCTACTGAAACAATGGGAATAGTATTGAATAGGCAGGAACCAGCAGTGAGATTGTGCTGAATAGATAGGCTGCATTCATGCTGCTGGAAATGAAACTGGATTTATCCATTAAGTTGTGCACTGCTGGGAGATAACAATCTTTGTGGAAGACGCCAGTGAAGAGAACAGAGTTGTGCTGGCTTGCAGCCAGCCTAAGTGAAAATTTGATCCACTAGCTTAAAACTGAAATGCAGAGGAGAGGAAGAAAGAGGTTTAAGAGTGAGAAGTGTTGGAATAGAGAAAATATCTGTTATTAAGAATGATTTTAAAGGCTGCCATTCCAATTCATATTGAAAGACTGAGCTGCAATAATAAATAATAAATGGTTTTCCAGGCAATGGAGACTGTGACTGTGGCGAATGCGTGTGCCACAGTGGGTGGACTGGTGAATACTGTAATTGCACAACTGACACCAGCTCCTGCATTTCTGAGGATGGAATGCTGTGCAGCGGGAGAGGTGAATGCATCTGCGGGTCGTGTGTGTGCATTCATCCAGGGGCCTCAGGCCAAACATGTGAAAAATGCCCACTGTGTGGTGATCCTTGCAGTTCCAGAAGGTAAGCTGCTGGTTTTATGTCTCTGATTTTGATGTCATTGAGCTATTTCCCAAAATGCCTCAGCAATGTGTTTATTGCCACAACAACAGGTTGGATTTACAGACTGGAACCCAAGAGCCTCTTGTCTGTTGAGAGGAGTAATCATAACTCATACATGAACAAGAGTATGATTCTTGTAAAAACAAAAACAAAAAAAAAGTGGAGGAAAACAATTTAATCACCTTCAAGCAGCACAAGTAAAGCACTTCCAGTACTGTCCCTGGCTATACTAAGAATCAGAATCTGATTCTTAGTCTGATTATCTGATAACTTCAGACAAATACAGATCAGTTTCCTTCTAGTCCACGATGCAGAATGAAACCATCCCAACAGAGTCACTTGGGCAAATTAATGAGGACTCGCAGGGAAGAAACTCATAAATTTTTGGAATTTGCATTTGTTCACAAACACATGAACTAATAAGGTGATGTTGTCTGCTCAAGCTTTGCACATGCATATTTACAAATTGAGTTAATCTTGATTGAATTAAGGAGGCCCAACTATCTTGTTTTGTGACTATGTCATGTCTAGTTGCTTAAAGTGGAGGCCCATTCCTCCTCCACACTAGCTCTACACCACTGCATTTTCATGCCTGTCTTTCCAGTCCACCCTATAGCTGAGCTAAGAAACCCTTCTGTGGCACACGATATAATCACCATTTATGCTAGCACTACATTTGACACACAAAAGCAAGCTAGCCATTTTGTTCAAAGCTCATGCACATTGGCCGTAGTGAGCACAGTTTAAGTAAAGAAAGTTCTGCATGCAGGTGCTTGAAACACAAAGTACAATGCTGCTGCCTTGCTCTGCCCAGTTTAGCAGAGAATAATAAGTATTGAATTACATGGTGAGCATTGCATTAGCCTATTTAAACATACACACTCTGTGCAGTGTCAGATCTTTTGTCTCCATGGCAGTTACTTCCATTGCTGAGATGTGGGGCAGGAGCAGCCAGTGTAACACTTGGCAGACTGGGGTAGGGTAACCAAGAGTGCCAGGAGGACAGCTCAGAGGGGACTGAGATTAATGGCTGTGAAAAGGAGAGTGGTAGCATGAGGAAACATGGAAAACATGGCAAAAATACCAACAACACTCAATTTGTCTCGATGAGATAGAGGCTATCCCATTACCTACTCACCTTGACTATTCAGCATCTCCAGAGTAAGTGTTAAGGTCATCTCCATCATGAGAAGATAATCTCAGCAGCCTCAGCATATTCTCATGGATATATGTAACTCAGTGCAACAGCAGATGGCCAGGTTTTCCTGAGATGTTTTGTTGCTGTTATTCTCTTTTCCTTTCTCTAAGCTGAGAAAGGAAAATCTTTCTTACTTTCCCTAAGTACTTCAGGGCTGTTCTTAGAGTCTCAACTCCTGAACTTGACCAAAGCTAATTGTGCAGAATCACCAAGATATATTCTTCATCAAAATTTTTCATTTATGAATTCTGTTACATTTTTGCCCTTTTCTCCCCATGAATGAACTCTGAATTTATGAAAGTTCACGTTGCATTCCTGGGAAGATTTTTACAGACTTGGTTTACAGAATTGGTTTAGACTCCGTAGTTTAAAATATTTTAGCCATCACTCTGTTAAATGAAGTAAATGATTTGAAAATTCTTTTCCAATAAATGCATTAGTATAATTAGCATCTAAGTAATTCCTGAGACAAGCAATCACATTAGAGAGACATCTGTCGAGACACCTGAACTGTGTTTAAATACATTATTCAGTAGACTTTCAACAAAGGAAGACTTATAGTAGGTGCCCCAGCTTGATCTCACTGAAGTCAATTTCAAATATTTTTCATCTGATAGACATTCCTTGGGCTGGTATTTAGTGTAAGCTTACTTCAGAATATTTATATTTGAAAATGAATGTTATGTCTGAGTAACCTCATGTCTTTGATAGTCCTACATGAATAATGTTGCCTGGGGTTCTGTCTGGTAGCTAATAAGCTGGGAGAGAAAGAGGACAAGAGAGAGCTTATTCACAATACCTTTATTCAGGTAGTGCTGGTTTTTTTTGGGTGGCCTTTTTTTTTTTTTTTTTTTTTTTTTAGTGGCAATGCCTATCTGATTTCTGAGAACCACTGTATCCGTAGCACAAGACCTTTTGTTTAGCTTCTTTTTAAAATGCAGATGTGTACGTAGTTGCTTTTATATCAGTACTTTGGGACAGACAGAGATGGATGAGCTGCTGAATTATTTTCTACAGGAGCTGTGTGGAATGTCATTTGGCTTCTGATGACAAGCTGCAGGGAGAATGCAATGAAAAATGCAAATCAGTTGATGCAACTGTCAGCACTGCAGAGGGTTTGTATACTCAATCTCTTTTTGGTGTATGGGTGAACAGTGATAGCTTCCACTTTTGGTAATTTTACCTTTGAAAGTAGCTTTGTTTTTCTGCTGTAGAATTATATTAGGGCTCATAAAGCGAGCTGTCTGCGGTTGTTCTGCTGTAAGTAGGGAATGCAGATCAGGACTGGCATTAACCCTCCAGGTTAATTAACTCATTGGATTGCACCTACTTGCTAAGCAGCTTATGTAAGAAAGAACAGAATTTAAGTACCAGTTCCTGCAAATCAGTGGCTGATGAAAGTCCCTGTGGTTGTCACACCTGTACCGTAGGTTCCAGTGGGGCTTCTTTTGCCATACAAATTCAAAACCTGAATCCAGTCCTTATGCAGATGGTTGATTACCATTTGCAATCAGACACAATCCTTTAGCCTGTCACAAATATGTTCTTCTTGTCAGGCTTTTTTGAGACATTTCTGGTGTCCTAAGGGCTAAGCATATCTTTCAGTTACTCGCAGTAATTTAGAGTTGCACTCCATCAACAGGAATTCCTGCAGCAGGAACTGACCTGGAATGAAGTATTATATTTGGTAAAAAACATAACTTTACATGGAAGAGTGCATCAGGGCATTTTTCTGTCCTACAAAGGAGAGTGCTTGCCTGTAGTGCAGGTAGGCTCTATTTATTCTGAATAAAGCAAACACAGCCCTATGGCAAAAAGCAATTGGTAGCTGAGGTAGGACATACATGCACTATACACAGCATTTAGTGTTAGCATTAAATTATATAGCAAGCGTGATACTTATGATGGTAACACAGAATATTATATGCATAAATAAAGAACAAAACTTATAAACTGTTGGAAACCCATCTGCATATTTGCAAACATTTCATGGATGCATATCTTTCCAACAAATCTCCAGCTTTTTTTTTTTTTTTTTTTTTTTTTTTTTTTTTATGGTATTCCTCTGTAATACAGAGTTTGAAAGTGGCAAGTATTTCCCTTGTAAGGAAGGTGTTTCATCTTAAATACATGTCAAATACTTCAGAGGATTAGTTTCGGTAATGAGGTAGCCTCATTAAGATGTCCCGAAGGTGGAAAAAAAAAAAAAATATATGCAATTACAAATCTTGAAATCAAAACCATATTCCCTAAACAAAAATATTTTGAAAATAGTTTATGTAGATCATAACAGTATTTAAGACATATTTTTATCATGATTTTATATGGTAGCATAATGCTTCTTTCTACTTTATATTTCAGCTTCTTTAATTTGTCGTAGCATTTTGAAAAAACATAAATAACCCTAGGCTAGATAAAAAGGTTTACTCTTTCTTTTGCACACATATGTTGCAACACAGTGACAAGAGCTGGGGAGCCACAAAGAAAAGTTTACCTATCTGAGTGAATTTTTGCACCTAGGAATTGTCCATTCTTTGGTCTTCACTCAGTATCTTGTCCTAGAAATAACATCAGAGGAGTAAAAATACTAAGCATAAGTTGGATTCTGAATAGCCCAAACTGGCATCTTTGCATTCAATTCTGTGCCCATGAACATACTCAGATTTCTACATCCCATGGTCTCCAATTATGACATTGAACTAAACTAAACTTGTAATAAAAAACATCTTCCTTATATCCAATCTAAAAAATCTCCCCTCATTGGATTCTTTGGATCTGCTTGCTTAAAGGAGTTGGGAAACAACAAATATTGCAAAACCTGTGATAGTATTACTGGAACTGTGACCTGGCAGAGAGTGTCATTAATTGAGTGCACTCAGTCAACAAAAGCAAATCTTGACAAATCAGCATGTCTTGTCCAACTGTCTCCTTAACACATTGCTCTGACATCAAGGACAGGCAACAGATTAAGTACAAAATTATCACAGATCAAGACCAAGTTTCCAGTAACATTCCAACTACATACGGTTCTCACTTTATAAAAAGGCTCTCAACTGATTGTGCTTTCATACTCCTTCTACTCTTTGCTATAAAACTCTGTTTACGCTTTACTTATGATAAAAAGTGAGCATTTATTTCTCACTAAGCATGATAGATTCTTTAAAATCTATTATCCTTGTCAGGTTCCTACTTTATATTTCATTACTCTTCCTTGCTATTAAAGTCCGAGAACTAAAGTCTTTCAACACAGTTGCTTATGAAATTTCGGTAGGAGTTTTGACTGGGTAAGAAACATTACAAGGATTGTATAGACGTAATATATTTCTTTCTAAATAAATGTTTGAGAACTTTACTGTTTTTTCTTCCCTCTACAAGTAGAAATCTAAGAAGTTTTTTTCTAAAAATGTATTGAAAGCATACTTAGCTTTCCAATGGTCCTTAAATAATGGGTTTTATGGAAACTTAATAAGCATTCAGCCACAGCACTTGTGGACCTGCAGTCTGAATTTTCAGTCCTCTTCTTTGCTTTATACTGTCCTTTGTTTATACTGCCTGTCACAGCCAGTTTCTCCTGCCTCCCTCTTGCTTTTGAGAGAAGGAAGAAATAAATGGCAGTCCTTTTATCCACGTCCATTTCTGGTCAACATATGCACATCTTCTTCTGAAATAGAAGAAATAGAAGAAATGAAAATTCTAGGCATGTGAGAAGTAGTTCTAAACCAAAGAGAACATACTGCCTACTTCGTCCTATAACTGGGGACGTTTCCTAAGCAGCTGACTCTTAAGCATCTTGGAAACACTTCCACTGAAATTCTGAGGGTACTTCTGTTTTCTTCTTTTACTCTTTGCTTTACACAGAGGTTATGATAAACATTATGCCAGCAATCTCTCTTGTTATTGCATGCTGAAGTTCGTTTGATCTAATGGATGATTTTTTTCCCTCCTTTGCAGATCTTTCCGAGGATAAATCCATTCCTTGCTCTTTGCAGGGGGAAAATGAATGTATAACCACTTTTCTTCTGGCTGAGGATGAGCAGGGCAAGACAGTCATACACAGCATAAAGCAAAAAGGTAAGCAATTATGTTACCTTTTCTACATGACATCTAATTTGAAAACACAGATGGGAAAAACAACCAGTTCCTGCAACACAAGAAGCTGAGCTTTTCTAAACAGCACTGCACCTCCTTGTGTTTGCAGCTCTGCCTGCCCAGGCAAAAGAGCACCTCCTAAACCACTTATTCAATGCTACTACAGTAAAATAAATGCTTGGCCTGTCATGGAAAATGGGCAGAATGATCCATTGGATTAATCAGACTTTGCTGAACTCTGCACTCAGGCTCTCTAGATGGCATGAAACAAGCCACTTCACCTCTCCTCTCAAGTTTCCTACCAATAAGTCCTTTATCACCCTCAGAGCTGCAAGAGTTTGTTAACTTTTCTAAAGTCCTGTGCAGATGATGATAACAAATGTCCTTTGATTATATGAGAAAAAGATAACCCATTTTGAAATAACATACGCTTTACAGATTGAGTGGCAAACACTCTAAAGACAGTATCTGACTGCATCACCTACCTGATGAAATGCTGGAATATCTTTGTAACTATCTTTAATGTTGCATTATTCAATTTTGAATGCACTGCCCATATAACAGATATTCAATAGATCTTTATACATTTTTTTTTTTCTTTTCTATCTTTCTTTCTTTATTTATTTTTTTTTAACTACTATTTCACTACTTTTACTATTTCACTAAAGCTCCTCACCTTGTGGGACAGAAGAGAACACAGGCACTGCTTCTCAGCTGCCAAAAAATTTGGTCTCCAGGCAAAAAAATGCATTTTTTTTCTGACATCCACAGTGTCTCAGAGCCAAATATTGATAATATTTTATGGAAAGCCATGCAGATTTTTAATTTAGTTTAGTTGGTACAAGTGTCATATATTTTGTTAATCCTGTGTGTAGCTTTATTCTAGCATACATGTGATAATGATGGTGATTTCACTGCACAAAAAAAACTGCTTTTATAGTCTGGTTTTATATAGGTTATGATTGAAGAAAAGAAGTTATAACAAACATTTAAATTACAGAAACACATTCATTTGTAAACTATACTTCTAATAAATAAGGGTAAGCTACTGAAAGATTCTGTCTTTATGAAATCCATTCACTACTTTCTTTTTACATTTAGTTTAGCTCTCTCTTTGCCCCTTGTCATCTGTGATATTTAGAAGCCTAACTCAGGCTATCTTTGTTTGGTATCTTTGTTTGAAATCATGCTTCCTGTTTAAAACCATATTTACCTATTAAGCACTTCGTTTGGCACCCATTCTAACACAACTCATCAAATTCAAGTCGCCGGTTCACCTCTTCAGCTAGATGAACACAACTCCCTCCAGCCTCCCTCTGCATCACTGAAGCAGATGACAGTCTTCCTATGTGCTATTTTAATTAACTTTTTTTTTTTTTTTTTTTTTTTTTGTCTTTGGAATGCTGTATGATAAAACTTACTGGAAAACTTGAAATGTGAAATTCCTTCAAACTGAAGAACTGAACATGTCACTCTGGCAGTGTTACAGAACAAAGTTCTTTTTCCCTACTGTTACCTTGACACTGAATTTCTACAAGACTGTCACAGATGAACTAAGCATTTCAGATGCAGTAGAACCATGTGCTTCTGAACACGGTAGTTCAAGACTTCTGCTTAGCTGCTGTGAGATTCAACAGAATTTAGTGAAGTTCTGTACTTTTTGCTTTTCAGCAAATCTGATGTTTTTCCTCCTTGTTTTTGTGACTGAAATGCAGTTTCCTCCTTTTTCTCAATATCCCTGGTACCTTTACACTAATACATATATACCTGGGACTGTCTCCTCTACGACAGTCTGAATATGAGTCAGATGAAGTAAAACTTCAGCTGTATGTTTAAAAATTCATGATTTTGTCAAAATAGTCCTATTTTTTAGAATTATGATGACATAAATTTGAAAACGATGTTCTAACTTTCCTCCTCAAAATCTGAGTCTGCATTCAGATACGACAGCTAAACATGCCAAAATAGCAGTGGAAGTAGTTAGCAAGAAATTTTTTTTTACATTACAAGGCAATATTGTTCAGCTATTTAGCAAGCTGATAAGAGTAAAATAACGTGGACTTGAAAGAAAAGACATGCTCAGTTTCCAGCAAATGAGAACAGAATGCTTTTTGGCTGTCTTTAATTGCCTAAAACTTATTGTTTGGATATCCACACTCATAACTGTTTGTCTTTCCACAGATTGCCCAGAGCTTCCAAATATCCCAATGATAATGGTGGGCGTCACCCTTGCTATCCTTCTGATTGGCATTGTGCTACTTTGTATATGGAAATTGATGGTTTCAGTTCAAGATCGAAAAGAAGTGGCCAAGTTTGAAGCAGAAAAATCAAAAGTTAAATGGCAAACGGTATGTTAAATGTACTAATTTTACACAAGGCTCTTCATTTTTGTTTCATGAGGCACAAGTGCCCTTAAAAATCTTTGTTGCGTTCTTTTAAATGGATTGATTTTACTGGTAGATTTTCATTACTTTTAATTTAGAGATGAAAAATAGCCAGAGTTCTATCTCCTGGTTTAATTTCATCCATGTGTAAGTTAAGGAGATAACATTTTATTAGTTGGTTCATTTTTTGTTTGTTTCTTTGTTTCTTTATTTAATTAGTATCTCACTTTTGATTAATCTGAGCATAGTTGGTCACTGTCTATGCAATTGTGAGAAGCATGCTTCTCAGAAGCAAAGCCTGCTGTACAAAAGAGAGGTTACCAGTGCCCTCTGTAACAGCTTACACAGCAGTGTACACTGCCCAAAATGTATATAAAGGACAGAATGATCTACCCTTAGCTTCTATCTATAGCTTGCATAGGTCTAATGCAAGTACCATGTTCCTTTTTCCTATTTCCCCTTTGTCCTTGGCTTTCTTGTTCTTCAGTAATATTTCTACAACTTTTCAGATTTTCTGAAGAAAAAAAAAAAAAAAAATGTTGAGAAAGCATTTCTGATGGTGCCAGGAGGATATGCAATAAGCTACAGTTTACTTTGTTGCACTCCTCTACAAAACCAAGGATTGCAACATTTCTGCAAGAAGGGACACTGCCTGCCTTTCAGTTTCTTTGACAAGAAAAATTAGTTTGTTACAGGCAAGGCCTCTTGAGAACGTTTTCCTAATCCTTTAGGAGGGTCGGGGTAAGAGGAAAGGGAAGGCAACAGTAGACAGAAATATTTCATTTTCTGACACAGAAAGAAATGATACAAAGAGAATGGTGAGAAGCCAGTAGAAGGAGCCCAGGTGGGACTTGCCCTTCTCCCAACATGCAGTAGTTGGCGTGGCTCACACAAGAAGGCTGTGACAAGTTGCACCTTCCATCTCACAGCTGTTTTCTCAATGTTTGTGTATTCTTTGTATTTTTAGAATGGTTGAGTCATGTTTAGTACGCAAAGATCAGATCTATTTGGTAAGGCATTGTTTGAGTGTGTGCATTACTTTAATCTGGGAAGCAGACTAGGGCCTTCATGCCCATACGCTGACTTGCACTGCCTTAGGGTGGGCTCATTTTTAGTGGCTTGGAATATCAGAACACCAATAAAGTCTATACTGAAATGATGAAAAGTACAAAATAACTTCTGTACAAAGAAAGACCAGAACACTTTGCAATGGGGAAGTAACAGTGGGAGGAGGATGTGATACTATAATGGGGCATTGATTGTAGGATGTTTTTCCACTGCACAAAACGGTAAGATAGCAGGCTTCAGAGAAACAAAAGACATTGTTATACAATGCCTTTTTGAGGCCACACCATTTATTTCCAAAGGTATTTCAGATGATAAAACTTTGCATAGATACAAAACAGAGAAACCTGCACAAGGAAGGCATCCTCTCTGCTCTTGCAAAATTAAAGATGGTGGTTTGCAACAATACAAGCTTGCAGCCAAAGACAGTTAAACTCTGAATGATTTTCCTTTCTTTTCTTTTTTTTTTTTCTTTTCTTTTTTTTTTTTTTTCTTTTCTTTTTTTAGGAAACAAACCCACTGTACAAAGGTTCAACAAGCACTTTCAAAAATGTAACTTACAAGAACCAAGAAAAGCAAAAAGGGGCCATGGCTGCAGATTTCTATTAGCACTTTGAACCCTACAAACTTAGTTTTACTGTCGAGAAATCTAAAAACACTAATTTTTGTCTCTTCTCAGTTGATTATGTGCAATCTTTGTTTGCACACTGCAGTGTAATCATTCTGTTAGATAAAATGTATCTTGTGGTGGGAGAGCTATAGATAATAATAGTAGTAAAGGTTAAAGAAATATATTTTTTACAAACTTTATTATTAAACAACTTCCATCTCAGAAAAAATGGTATCACCTAACATTTTAAATTAGCTCATTAATACTGAGCTATATATGACTTTGTTCATCCACTGAATCTGATATGTTTGTGTTTAGGAATGTATTTATACCAGTCTGTTTGGTGGGCTGGCTTACATTTAACAAGGTAAATTTTTCATAAATGCTGCTTAAACTGTGGAGGTCGGTGGTTTCTCATATTGACTCTGTAACTGAACAGGTTTTCATCAGAAACAAACGATGTGTGTTACGGCATAACTTCCATGTATCTAAGGTATATAAAAATACTCCTCTGAAGTTCTTCCTTTTTCTCCTACTTCCCTCTTTCCTTGAATTGGTTCTGTTTGATGTGGTTTAAGAATCAAACCCCTAAGATTATCTCAGGGAAAGATAAACCAAGCCCTAATTGACTCACATAAATGCTCTCTGTTTATGTATGAGACTTTCCCCCTCTTTCCTTTAAGTTTCAGTATAGAGGATCAATAGCGAAAGAGAAATATTTGCAAATTAGAGACAGCAATAGAGAAGTTTTAGATCAGAGGATTTTTACCATTCACTTCCTGATTAGGCACTCAAAATAAACTTCTCGTGCTGGACTATTACATGAACTCCTGCATGGGCTCTTTACATGCATGGAAAGCTGAAGCACAAAGGTTTTGTATCACAAAGACAGTAGTTTTTTGTTGAGAAACCCTAAACTGAGGGGTTCTTTCAATGCCCAGCAGCCAAACCATGTATTGATGTGTGAAATAATATATATTCTCCTCTTTGGGGCTTTTTTTTTTCAAACTAAGCAATAGATAGATCAGTGAATTCCACCTGCTATTAATTTCCATGCCACTACTGAGGATTTTTAAATCTCACTTTTAACTCGGTACTAATGACTCACCATAACTTCTTAAATTGTAATGCTGGTATCTTGACATCAAGAAAAGAAGCCTCAACAACATCAGCTAACCCAATGGATTAAAAAGTTACAGTTCTGGGCTATTTTAGGCTAACAATAGTGTAGTTTACTTTTTAATATCATTTTTTTTAATGCTCTGGAATAGATGGTCAAAATGTATGTACTCAGAAGACTTAGAAAACAAAGATACACTGGCACAGTCACAGATGGTGATGTACATTCCCTGTGGTAAATTATGCATCTGATCTAAAAACTTGTTGTCCATTTTGTAATGAATACTTACAACGTCTGTGCAACTTCAGTCTCTGTATCATCTACAACCACTGGATGTGAGACTGATACTATCATGCCTGTTTTAGGGCCTGATCCAAATCCTATTGGAATCAGTGGCTACAGATGAGGATCTAGTTTCAGTGAAACTATTACTTTTGGTTTACAATGATTGTTTAGTTTAAACAAACCAGTTAATACTGTCTATTAGTTGGTTAGAACTTATGGAACCTATGTTTCTGTGCGAAGAGAAATAAACAGTATCTGATGCCTTTGGGAAGAAGGTGCTGTGATGAGCACGTAAGAAATACAAAATGATTGCAGTATGAAGGGAATGATGACTGTCATTAAACTGGAACAGATTAATTACAGATTACATCTTTATTCTTCAGTACTCTTGTGTATCTCAAAATGAAAATGTACATAGACAAATTTTCCCTTGTTTTCTGCTTATTACCTCTGTTTTCCCTTATTATCTCCTGTTTCCAAACACTAAACTGCCAAAGATATTAGTGCAAGTTGCTAAATACTGCTTCCCTGATACAAAGATAAACCCCTGAAGGCAAAGCTGGCCCCTGGGCTGTCTCAGATTCTACTTGGGCCAGGATTGCCCAAAGGAATAGGGAAATCCAGATTTAGCCCGTGTGAATAATCTGTTACTCTTCTGTTTTTTAAGTAAAGACATTGAATGTCAATATTTTTCTGAAAGAAACTGACCTAGTATTTTGTTGTCGTTGTTGTTGTTGTTTTTACTTTTTAAAGTATAACAAAATCTTCACTGTTTATTGAATATCTTTTAATTTCTGTTTCTGATAAAGTTCATTCTGCAGCTCAGTGTGAGTGTTGAAAGCTCTTCTTCTGTAGGTCACCCATTTCAACACTGAACTACTTTTCCATATTCAAACACTGTTATCAAAGTAGTGTTCACATTCCACACAAAATGTCTGTTGGTCTGCATTCTGTGTTTCTATAAGAGATTTCATTTCTCTAAACTGCGCAGTCTGTTCACATCACTTACATCTTCTGATTGTCAGCAAAGATCCAATTTGGGAGGGAGACAACATTTACACTCCAGTTAAACCTCCTAGTAATGTCTCTGCAAATTATACAGAAATTGGGCAGCGTCTTCTGCAGTTTCCCTGCTGTGACCAAGAGTAGTACAAATGTGCTGTGCCACTTTCAAAGCTGTCAGGAAGAAAATAACTACAATTAGAAGAGAGTAAATAGAACGGCTTGGTGAGAAAGCCCTCTGCTACTGAGGAATGAACCAAGCTTTTAACAGCGTTAATTTAGATCATACATTTTTACCAAAAAAAAAAAACAAAAAAAATCCCCACAAACATAACTGTATCTCAAGACTGTAATTGGCATTCACTGTAGAAATATAGTGGTGTTCATGTCTTTTTATTAATTATATTACTTTCATCTTGTAGTATGTGTATAAAAGTTCACTTTTCTTTTTCTCCTTTTTAACTCCACCAAATTACCAGTGGGTTGGTGTGTGGTGAGTGGGATGAAAATGTCTTTCTGCTGTTTTTACAAATACTGTTTTGACCTGGGGGCTGGACCTTGAGAGTGGCCAAAACATTTTTAATAGGAATTTTATTAACTGAAGACTTAAACTAAATAATAATAATAACAATAATAATAATAAAAATCATTAGTAATTTTATGGTATTTGTGTGTCTTTTACATCTTGTAGAATGGTATTTTCATTAATGTGTATTGAACTGATGATTTTTCATTTGATTTATATGTTAATCTGTGTTGTATCTGCCCAGACTGCATTTAACCTTGGTCTATAATTATAGCCAGTGGATAATGAGCCTGGCATACAAGTGTGAGGTGTTAGCATGTGGTACACTCTGTGCTGTCCACCATCGTGCGGCAGTCCAAGTTTCTTTTGCAGTGGCCATAAGGAAGTTACTGTCTGACAAAACATAGCATGCACCATCTGAAAGTAAAAAGGAGATAATTCTTATCTTGGTCTGTTTGCAAGAAGCAGGTAAATACCTCAACTTTCTGTAAAAGAAGGATTACTGAACCTTCAATAAAGATTGTAAAAATGAATGCATATTTTAATACACTTTTTGTTTAATTCGTTTTTCATTTTCCATGTCAGCACGTCTGTCTGTTTGTTTGTTTTTCTTCACATGATTTGATTAAACTCCGCAAATTTCTCACGTTTTGGTATACTGTAGCAGCTAATTTTATAAATCCTCCTCCACCTTTCTTGAGATGGTATGTGAGAAAGAAGATGTCAGGACATTCTTTTATCTGTGATTCTTTCACTTTTCAAGGAAGTGAGTTAATGGGTGAATCACGTAAACAACTCATTTCTGGAAGTCCAATTGATTACATATGGCATTCTTTACATACAATGACACCTAGAGCACACAGCTTGTTTAAAGCTGAAGATTCATTAATTTTTTAAGTGTAACAGTAGTATCTTTGGAACCACATGGCAAAGTGAATAATTTCTGTTCTGTACGAATATTACCTCTCCTTCTCTCTTTTTCTTCCTTTTTTTTTTTTAATCTCTAATGAGGAGTGATTTATTTTGATGTCTGCTAGTTTCCTGCTCTGGGTGGAGGGCATTCCTCTGCATCTTTGATAGAGCAGCATTTTAAAACCTATTGTATTCTACAGACACACATTAAGATCATGTTCTTCTGAATTTCACAGTGCATTGTATCTATTGACATCGATACAATTGCATAATGTATACTTGTGGGATGTAGTTTAGAAGGCATCATACCCTGAAGGCGTATATACATTTTTATTTTGTTTGGTTCCTACAAATCATTCATGCTTTGAAACTTTTCTTCTGTTTTCACTGAGGTACTTATCAGCCAACACTGACAGCCACAAAAGCACAACAATTACACACTGGAAGGCTAAATGACAAAGGTTTGGCTATTAGAAGATACTGGTAGAACCTTGTTTCTTTGTTTCTAATTCAGGCACTTTGTTCTGCCTATCACTGTGTGAACAGCAGAGAGGACCAAAAGCTGATTTTCACTGCAACATCTTCCTGCTCCTATTACTCACACTGCAGCGTAGCCTTCTTTTTTAATCATAATATATAATAGTTTCAGGACATTCTTGTATTTAGATAGATAAAGTTCTCAAGTTATTATATATATTTTAAATGCTATTTTTCCATAGGCCAACTTCACTCAACAGTGGCTTTTTCATTACTGCTTCCACATTTAGATGAGGTAGGAGTGTAAATAAAAACAAGCTCCTTATGTATGAAGAAACAGGAAATTTCTATTCAGTGTTCAGTAGTTGGAAGTTAACCGTGTTTGGAAACTTCAGGCTTCAAAATTCTGGTTGCTGTTGGTCCTCTTATGTGAGAGGTTAAGGCATACTTCCTCCAAAACTAAATTAAAAATCAAACCTATAATTATAATATAGTTACCATGTAACAAACTCTTAGTGGCTTCTATTTTAGGCTATGGTAAATTTGAAAAAAAAAAAAAAAAAAAAAAAACATGTAAAAAACAAAACAAACAAACAAACAAAAAAAAACCAAAAAAAACACAAAGAACTCAAATCAAACAGAAGAAAAAAAATATAAAATCCCCACAGTGTTAAAAGTGCAAGAGAAATGAATCCTGAGAATATATCAAATGAGGAAAAATAGCTGTTCAAATTAAGGATCTTCAAAAAACAGATCATCACGTTGGTTTTACAAACCCGTATGCCCACAATGATCTTTTATTACTGTAACACAGAATAGCTCAGCTAGAAATACCCTGAGCAGTGCAACTGCAGCAGCTGCTCTAGTAGGAATTTACTGGTTTAGTAAGAACAGAACAGTTCCTAGATGGTACGGTTTTGGGGTGGTTTTTTTTTTTTGTTTGTTTGTTTTTTTCCCCAGGAAGGAAAACCTGAAAAATGAAGAAAAAGAAAAAAGGAAGTAAAGCTGCTCAGAATGAGCAAGTTGCTAATTTGTCATTAACACAAATATATTTGGTCTAGATAGGAAAATCCCTCCGTGCTGGTGCTCCCATAGCCCAGAGCAGCCCTGGTTTTGCCCAGTGGCATCTCTGCCTTCACAGGCAGGAAAGTAAATCTGCTGTGTGTTCTGGAGCCTGTAAGCCTGCTTGAAGCTCTGGATTCAAAGCAGTCACCAAATACTCCTGAAGAGACTGAGACAGGCCAGAGGGGCCAAATTCTCAAAACCTGCTTGCTAATGAGCTTCTCTCCTAAAATTTGAGCTCCTCTGAAAGCTGCTGCTTCTCAGAGGCCCATTGCAGCAGCTAAGGGCTGGCAGCTTCCTGCCTTCTGAAGGCAGGATACCTGTTACACGGGGAGCAAACCCTCCTGCCCTCGAGCTGCTTTGAGTTGCTCAGCTCCTTCTCACACACCACCCAAGCCCAGAGGTTGGAGTCCCACACCATGACTGAGCTGAGCATGGAGGGACCGAGGCCATGGGAGATGCAGGTGTCCCAGCGGAGTATGTTTGTGCTTACGCATCGATGTATATGTTTCTATACCAATTTGTCTACTGTGAATGCAGAACCACGCAGAAACCAGCCTGTGCTGATGACAGCTGAGTTGTGAGCAGATTCCAGTAAAGCCATCTTCAGCCCTGAGCTTCTGCTTTCGCCTTTCCCCCACTGCTCATAGTTTCTGTAAGACTGAACCTTTCCTGAAGTAGGGGAGTTCCCAAGAGCGTTCCACTCAAGGACAGCTGTGTAGAAAATGGAATTAGGAAATTACTTTTCCCCACGTCAAAAATGCCTTCAGTTGACAAGCTGGCCGAGCTGAAACCAAGCCTGAGTAAATTTTGCATCCATGGAGATGTGCTGCAGCAGAGTGGCGCGCTGATGAAGGCAAACTGTGCTCTCAGCGGTTTCTCTTCCCAGTGTCCTGGTGCCACATGGCTCCCTCAAGTATAAGTGAACTGGAGAGTGGGGAGCGAACGCTCTGACAGCCTGCAAGAGGGACACGCGCGGCTCTGCCGTGTGCGACCCGGTGCTTTCGGCCGTCCCTCCCTCTCCCCCCCCGAGCCGGCCCCAGCGACCCGAGGCGGCAGTGCCCCGCGGCCCCTCCGCGCACCCCCGCCCCGCACCTCTCCCGCCTTCCGCGGGGTGGGATCGCTGCTCTGCCCTCCCCGGGGCAGGGCTCTGCGGGGCCGGTCGCCCGGCGCGGAGTGGAGCGGTTGAGCGTCGCGCCGCACCGGGCCGGGCCGGGCCGAGCCGAGCCGTGCCGTGACCAAGCCTCGGCGATGCTGGGCGTGCTGCTCCTGGCGTGCTGCCTGCTGCTGGGCGGCCGCAGCCTGTCGCGGGGCGATGCCGCCCTCGACCGAGACGAGCTGCCCTCCCTTCGGAGTGAGTGACGGCCACGGGGCGACGCTTCGGGAGGGGCGGCCGGTTCTCCGGCCAGCGGCCGTGCGTGGGGTGCGCGTCACTGCTCGGGAATGGGGGCGGCCAGGCTTTCTGCGTGGGATCCTACGGGTCTAGCCGCGGGGGTTCGGCAGGGAGAGGGGCCGAGGGGGCCCCGTGCCGTGCCGCCAGGTGCTCGGCAGCGGTGCCGCTGCTCGCTGGTTTCCCTGCACCTGGTCCAGAAGCTCACGCGGTTACCGTTTTCCGCACTCCCAATAAATTCCCCTTGTTTTTCTTATTGCCACACCAGCAATTCTCTCTGCTTTTTGGGGTGGAAGGATGTGGGAGGTGAGGAGGAAGGAAGCAGAGATAACTTGTGCTCCTAGCTCTATTATGTATTATTCGTGGTAGTAAACACCAGTACTTGGAACTTGGAGATGCATGCTCAGCTCCCAGCTCAGTGTTCACAGATTCTGGCACACAGCACTTGTGTACTATCACCTGGTCTTCATATGGATTGTAGGAGGAAGTTGTTTCCAAAGGGAAATGTCATGTGCTGAAGTGCAGGATTCTCTCCTTGGGCCCTATGGGTGTTGCAACCTCACCTCCTGATCCCTAGCCACAGGGTTGCTCCAGTTGTCTCCTTGCTGTTCTTCAGTTGGTTTTTTTTTGCGAGGTCTGTATAAAATTTATCTTCTGTCAGCAGCCGCTGCAGTTCTTGAGAATCTTGCTGATAAGGGCATGCAGATGTTTTCTTGAGGGTTCTCAAATTGTCATAGAATCATAGAATGCTTTCGATTGTAAGGGACCTCAGCGAACATTCACTTCAAACTGCCCCTGCCATGGGCTTGTTGCAACCCAGCAGATCAGGCTGTCCAGGGCCCCATCCAGCCTGGCCTTGAGTGCTCCCAGGGATGGAGCATCTGCAGCTTCTTGGTGCCACCTGCGCCAGTGCCTCGCCACATTCTGAGTAAATTCCCTCCTAACATCTAACCCTAAAGTACCATTCTTTTTGTTCCCCTCTCCCTTTGTTCTATCACCATATGATTGTTGAAAAAGTTGTTTTCTCTCCTGTTCAAAAGCTCCCCTCAGTACTGGAAGACTGCAGTGAGTTTTCCCCAGAGCCTTCACTTCTCCAAACTGATCATGCCCTGCTCCCTCAGCCTTTCTTCATAGGAGGAGGTGCTCCAGCCTTCTGATCATCTTCATGGCCCTCCTCTGGACCTGCCTGAGCAGATCTGTGTCTCTTATCCTGGGGGTCCCAGGTCTGGCTGCAGTACCACAGGTGGGACTCATGAGAGCAGAGCAGAGAGGGGCAATCACCTCCCTTGCCCTGCTGCCAGCCCTCTGTTGATGCAGCCCAGGCTACTGTTGGCTTTCAGAGCTGTGAGGGAACATTGCTGGCTCTTGTCCAGCTTTTTGTCCGCCAGGACACCCAAGTCCTCTGCAGGGCTGCTCTCAATGAGTTCTTCTACCAGTCTGTGCACATATCTGGGATTGTCCAGACTCCAATGCAACACCCTGCACTTAGCATTGCTGAACCTCATTAGGTTCACATAAGCATACTTTTCAACTTGTCCAAGTCCTTCTAGATGACACCCCCTCCTTCTGTTGTATCAACTGCACCACTCAGCTTGGTATCATCAGCAAACTTGCTGAGGATGTAGCTGATCCCAGTGTGTATACAATTGGTAATGAAGTTGAAGAGCACTGGTCCCAAAATAGACTCCCAGTGGGCACCACTTGTCAGTGGCCTCCACCTGGACATAGAACTGTTGACCACAGCTCTCTGGCTGCAGCTGTCCGGCCAGCTCCTTATATGCTAAGTAGGCCACCAACCTTCAAATCTACCTCTTTCCAATTTAGAGATTAGGTTGTGGTGTGGAACCATGACAGAGACCATACAGAAATATAAATAAATGACATCAGCTAGTTTTCTTTTGTCATCTGATGCTGTCACTCCATTATGGGAGGCCACCAAATTGGTTAGATACAATCTGCTCTTGTTGAAGCCACACTAGCTGTCTTGGATCACTTCAGTTGTAGACTTTTCATCTTTGGATTGTTTGTTGTTGTTGTTCCTCACACACTCAGGCTGCTGTTACATGGGAATTTGTGTAAGATCTTTTTTTATATGTGAATTCCAGTATCATGATGAGTTAACCTCACTGATCAGTGTTTACTGGTGTTAATGACTTTCACTTACCTGGCAAATTAACAGTGTCATTTTCTTGGCTGGTGAAAATAAGGCTGCTGTAGGAACTCATCATGAGAAACAGTACCCCTATCTGATGTTGTTTTCTGTGTTTGTGGTTAGAGGCTGTGTCACCTGCGTGGCCTGTGGAGGATTGGGTTGGACAAGAAGTATGAAGCACAATCTGTACAATGTCACTGAAAACACAAAAGCAAAGGCATACCTTGGGTATATGTCACAGTGTCACTGATATCAGTGACAGCTGGCAGAATGACCTGTCCTCTCTGTATGTCTGAGTGCTCATGAGCTCTGTGCAGAATCCGCAACCAAACACGAGCTGTAACCTATATCCTGCTTGTTGCATGTACTGTATGCTGGTGTCTGTCTCTTCTGTCTGTCATACTGCACTGTCCTGCTGCTGGCTGAGGCCTTTGTTTTGGTGAGCTGCACCCAAACTATAGGGGCTGAAACCAGGCACAGCATCTGGGTGGGCTTCTTCTTCTCATGCTCCAGATGTGGAATATCTTTTGTTGTTATTACTGCTTCAGGACATTAGGGGTAGTAAATTATAGAAGATTGAAAGCACATATGGTAGAAATAATTATAGCAAAATTTCATGGCAAAATGGAAATGCTACTCAGATATTCAAGGCATAATCTTCCGAAGCATAAAATCTCTCCTGTAATGGGAGAGGAACTCCATGAGTTAACTGTCATTGGATTTCAGTACAAATCAAATCGCTGAGCTGTTACAGAGTTGTATTTTGCTGATTTCCAGTTCCTCAGTTCTTCTCCTTTTCAGTCTATATGCTCAGCTAGGCATTTCTTCAGAAGACCTTAAATAGCTGACTCTTCACATGCTTACAACATGATGTCACCGAGTTCAGTGAGTTTCTGTTTGATTCCAAGAAAGCTGAGATGTCAGGCTAACCCTGCATGTGTGCTGTGGTCCCAAGCGGTCACGTGCAGATGAACAACGTGCACGGGCTGTTGTGATTGAGATAAATCCTGCCTTTTCTATATCACATTTACAATGCAGCATATGTTTTATGCCTCTGTTGTTGCAAACAGTGAGGAATTAGCACAGCAATTTATACTTAAATTTTTTAACCTTTACCTTAATTGGAATCTCAAGTCCACCACAGAGAACTATTTTGCAGCTCACAGCATGACTTACTGTGATACTTAAACCTATGCTGCATTACTGGCTGTTTCTTGGCAAATGGCATTTTAATTCCTCAAATGTGACTGATGTTTTAAGAACCATGTATTTTCAGATGACCAACTTGAGATATATTGTCCTAAGCCCACACTTGTGATCCAGCAAATGGTCCACATATTTGTAAATGGCAGTAAATTTAGATCAGTATTGTTATTTTTTTGAAGTGTTGGTCATTCTGGTGGATATTTTCTGCTTTCTTCATAAATAATATAAGGATTTGTCTTCCAGTACTGTTTGATCATCTGCAGCATTCTACAGACTGAGATATTTTTGCTTTTTTTTTTTTTTTTTTTTTTTCCCTGTACAGATAAAGGGATATTTATTATCCAAAGATCAGACTCTAACTTGTGTATCAAAGTGGACACAGATGGCCTGGTTCTGGAAGACTGCAGTCAGCTCTCCAAAAACATGCTGTGGAAATGGGTATCCAATCGTCGTCTTTTCAACATAGGCAGAAGTACCTGTCTAGGACTGAACATCAGTAGACCAGAACAGCCATTGACTATGCTTGAATGTGATTCAAATCAGTACTCATTATGGTGGAATTGTGATGGCAGAGCACTGGTTGGTGTATCAGAGTACAAATTAGCTGTTGAAAACAGCAAACATATTATAGCAAAAAAAAAATCTAATCATCAGTGGATCCAGTACATGTCCTATGATGAAGACATTTGTGAACATCCTTTCCAAGGTAAAAATAAAATATCATCATATAAATGTGTACAGGAAAATTTTCAGAAGTAATTCTGAAGGAACATTGTGTTAATATGCAATATTGTATTGAATTAATTTTTCTTCTCTTCTATGACATGATTCCTCCCAATCCTCCCCAAAGCACTCATACCTTTGCAAACCTATTTCAGATGCTCAAGCTAAACTAAGGATTTTCTGTTCGTTAGCTCTCATTATCAATTAAACCCAAAGAGAGATACGGGGTTTGGAATTCAGATCTCTGATGGTCACCTGCGGTTGCAGTGTGCATTAATCAAAGGTTTGCGACACTCAGCACCTGGACTCTGAACATGTCAAACTCTGCAGAACAGAACAGAAATCAGGCATGTGATGAATCATCTTGTACAGCTAGTGAAGGCACAGAACTGTAAGTCAGGATCCAGATTTGCAGACCTTAGCAGTGTTCCAGGAACAAGGACTAAGATAAGCTCATTTTCCGTGAATTGCCTCAGACTGGCACACTCTGGCTCCTTCCTCAACTTCTCCTACAGCATTTCTTCAGAAGAATGACCTAGTGTTTGCATGGCATGTCTCCGACTGGAACTGTTGATACTTAGCACTTGAACATGGCTTTGGGACTGTGGAGCTCTGGGTCTCGGTGGTTTCCCCTTCAGGTGCAGCTGGGCTTGGCTGCTGATCCCTGCCAGGCAGCTCCTTTGGGAGCTGTGATGCCTATGGAAGCATGGTAGCATCCAACTTCTCTAAAACCTAACAGAGTCTATGCTTAAGATCAGATAGAAAACATTTGAAACCATAAAGAGTCCTACACATTTGCTATGTACACTCAGCAAGATGGAAGTAGATCTGGTCTAGTCCTAGGTCTGCAACATCCAGGAGTTTCAGGATCAAAATAAAGGAGAGCCTTGGCAAAGCCTCTCTCACTTCCATTTTCTGTTTTCTTCCTTCCATTTCAGCACATACAGATAAGTACAAGGCAGCCTGTTAGTCCACCAGGCTGAGGTGATCCCTGCCTTCAAAACACAATGCATTAACTATGGTGAAAGGACTGGAGCTGGCAAATTTACTTTCTTGCCAGGAAGGAGATAATTTCTTGCAGTTAGCAGAGTGATAGCAGGCAGAGGTGCAAGCCTCATTTCTTGTAATCCATTTTCTTTGTATCACCTGTTATATCAGAAGGCTTTGAAGGAGATTTACAATCCATAAACTGCATTTTTCGTGTGTGTGCAGCCAGCCATTAACTCTGGAAACCTCTGGAAAGCTGGGAGCATGTCCATCTTCTGTAGTCAGAGGACTTCGATCTTTAGCATATCAGCATGGAATCTTTGGCAAACAATTTTGTTCCAAGTGTGGCTGTGGTCTTCTGACCTTTCCTAGAAGCACATGCTCTGGGGTTAAGGAGATACAGAGGTGATGCTGTTACAGCTTGCAGTTGCACTTGATTCTCTCAGTACTAAAAATGCAGTAGGGCAATGTTTAAAATAGTTAATAAGGCATTAACTGATGTGACAACAAAAGTGCATAAGATTAGTGCTTTAGTTAGGTTATCTTTCTCCCTGGTATAATGATTTATTTTAAATGGTTTATTTAATATTCCTTTGTCTTTCAGATTTTCTTTCCCATAGGATGACAATAAGAATGGAGAAAACATTAGAAATCCATTTAAGTAAGAGTGGGAGAAGCAGGGGAAATTATACTAGATTGTTTATCTGTCATATACTAGGAAATAAAAAACAGAGGTTGCATCCAAGCATGTCCAGATTATGGTACCTACACATTTAAATGCAGATTTTATATGATAAGTGCTCTGTTTTTGTTGTTCTTTAATTGCAGTAAGTTATGAGAATGTGCTCTGTTTCATGGTGATAAATTTAATAAACTTAACATTTCCAAATTCTGCTTACCGAAGTTATGCTGCTCATACTTGTAATAATGTTGTGGTATCGTTTATAAATTCAAATTAGAAAATAACCTAAGATATTTACATTTAATTATTGCTGTTATAAACAGAAATAATGAAATACGGGAGAGAAGACATTTCTGTGGATGTGTTATTTTAATCTCTACATTTCATTTATTACAGAAACATATACCTTGCTGGGAAATTCCTTCGGTTTCCCATGTGTTTTTCCATTTAAGTATAACAACAAGTGGTATTATGAATGTACCAGAGATGGAAAGGAATTTGAGTGGTGTGCCACAACAAGTCACTACGAACAAGATGAAAAATGGGGGTTTTGTCCTGGTGCTGGTAAGGCATTGCTTGTTTTCACTTTTATCTTTTTTTTATTTTTTTTATTTTTTACTCCTATAGTATTTGTGATCTGTTTTAATAAACGTAGGACATGCTTTTTTTGTGGATTACAAGGTTCCTTCCTTTCTGTTAGGGGGGAATGAATGTCTCTTTTAAAAAACAAAGGGGAGACTGTAGCAGACTATCATGATTTGCCTTGTTTGGCCTTTGGAGACCCAAGTCCTTGTCCCAAAAGCACAGTTCCAAGGGAAAGCAAAAAGATGTCAGGTGCTCATTGCTTTGTGCTGTCCACTGGCTGTGCCCTGCTGCTGTGCTGCATTTCTCTCCAACATCACTATGCAAAGGAAGGATTGCTCCTGCAAAAGGACATTCTGCTTTTGACTGCATCACATCTTTTACCTTCCTGTTAATCCATGCACTCTATGGATACTTATATTTTGGGGCCTAAAACACTTGGAAGAAGATTTTTGAAGATATTTGCTGTATGAAAAATTTTGGATGTGTAGTGTTCATGAATATTAAATATTACGCATAGCAGCTTGTAGATTATTTCATAAATAATTTCATAAAATATTATCTTCTGTCAATAGAGTGGTTTGGAAAAGCCCTCCCAGGTCAGCCTTTGTCTCAGATCTCTGTTCCAAAGCATGCTGTAAACATCTGGAAATGTGATTTTATAATGGGAATTTCCAGGGAATTGTTGTATCAGAGGGTATTTTCAGACCTGCTTATGTTTTGTAATTATAGTAGCTTTAATCTCTTGAGTACCAGATAGAAGGAAACTGCTTCATCACAAGTTGGGTGAGGCACTCATTGTTTATTGCATGTCAGCTCAAGGAAGCAAGGATCAGCTGGTGTGAATTAAAATGTGGCTCTGCTGGCATCATGGGAGATGTGAAAATTGCCACCAGCTGCAGAGCAGCTCCCAAGGATTTGTCAACCACCTGGGCAATGGAGTGGTATTTTATTCAGTTAATGCCCCTCTTCTTCTGCATGTACTGCATGTTACAAAGGGATACTGGGGGGGGTTGACTGTCATGCTTCTGTTGTGATGCTACTGTTATTAATTAAGTAAATTGCTGACAGCGCCATACTTCTTATAGTCTTGTTGCTATGGATGATGAGCCTGTTTCTTAGCAGAGCGTGGCTGCGGCACATTTTGGAAGGAGAACCCGGTCACACACGTGTGCTACCAGTTCAACCCATCAGCTGTGCTGTCATGGCATGAGGCACGGGCAGCCTGCCAGGCGCAGGGAGGAGACCTGCTCAGCATCACTAGCCCTGAGGAGCAGAGCTACGTCAGCAACTTGAGTCGTGAGTAGGCCCTGTGTGCTGCTAGTGCTAGGTGTGGGTGCGCGCTTAGGGTGCACAGATGGGACTGGCTGGCTGTTTAGTTTGGTAGCCTGGAAGTAAATCTATCTCTATGGGGGGAAAGAAAAGACAAAGTTGTTCTTATAATCAATTGGAGTTCCCTCTTGGATAAGATCTCTGTGTGGAATGAGTCTCAGGCTGGTTCTGGGCAGTCTTCTGATGCTGGTTCAGTGCTAGCAAAGAGGACCAAGTGAAGGAACAGGCAATTGAACTGTGCTGCGAAAGGTGGCTTTAGGTTCCTTCCTATTATTGCTGGTTTTCAATAGCAGGATGTAAGCTGACAGGAAGTTTTAAAAATCATTTTGTTAGCTTTTTGATATATATACAGGCTGCAGAGAGAGTGGAAATTGTTTGGTTTGTGTTTGAAGACAAGCCGAGTCAGGCTGGCATTTCTGCAGCTGTTTGTCGCAGATTTAACTTCTAAGGTCAGTAACAGCTTACACAGGATGGGCAGCTTTTGAAGGGATGCAGACCTTTGAGTTTATTCCTCCTCAGCTCTATGTTGAGTAACAAAGTGATAGGACAGAAAGAATAGCATGAGCGTTCTGGAAACCGATGTGAAATTTTGTTTTATTTCTACTGTAGCAAGAAGTGTATCTGTACCTGTAGATACTTAAAGATGGGGAATGTATGGAGTCTACTTTGTCTGTTCTAGGACAGTTAAACATCACAGATACTGTGCTGTGGACAGGCCTGAATCAGCTAGAGGAAGGTGCTGGCTGGCAGTGGTCGGATGGAGCACCACTGGTATTTGTCAACTGGAGAGCAGGTATGGATTTGTTTTAGCTGTGTCATTGTTGCTTTCTGTAATTGCAGCTGGGGAGTGCTGTTCCTACAGCTACATTTGAAAAGTGAAACAAGTGAATCTGTGTAACTTTCTGTTGAAATATTTGTTCAGCTCATGAACTAAAGCTTCTTCTAGGGATGGGGCATCCACTGAGATGCATCTGTTCAGTGTTAATGAACTAGGCCTTCTGTCACCTGCTTTAAGGGTGTTTTGAGATTCCAGCTGCATATTTAATAACTATGTTCTACCTTGTCACAAGGAGTTTTAGTTTGTTTATGGTAATGTGCAATTAAGGTGAGCTTTGCGACTTGGCTTGCTGCATTTTGAGGTCTGTCCTCCAGCACGTGTGATGTTGACACCACAACTTGTTTCAGACTCACATGTGACACCAGCACCCAACACTTGTGGAAAGATTGCCACATGTATAAGTGGTGGTTAATGTTAAGCTGTCCATAGCATTAGTTTAACACTGCTGGAAGTTCAAGTGTGCAGGGCTGCTTATACATTCATTCAATAAGAGAATAAGAGTACAGCACTGTTTTTCAACAATGGACTTTTTGTAATTGTGTGCTTCTCAAAAAATGTGTTTATAGATGTTTCTGAGGACCGTTCTAGTGAAAATCATTGTGCAGTGATGAGTTCAAAATTGAAATATGCCTGGAAAAGTTACTTATGTGAATCTGGATTTCCTTTTGTGTGCAAGAAATATTTAAATAAGACAGAGCACGAAACACTGGGTAAGTGTTTCAGTGTTACCGTGTCCTTTTTGTGAAGATGGAAAGAGAGCACGAGGAAGCTACCTGAATATAAAGTCATCAGAACAGAATGTTAGTTGCAGTAAATGTGTGGGTTTGCTAGTTTAAGTTGAATGCCATTTACCTTAACTGAAGTGGTAATGGTTTCTTCTGCTCAAATGCAGTCCTGGACAACACCTTGAGAGTTTGGAAACTGACACATAATTTCAATACATACAGCGTTTAATCGATTCCTTATACTATCAGAGGCTTACAAAATGCTCAGTCTCTTTGTATTTCAATACAGCCACAATTTTGAATTTAAAAGTAGCCTTAGAATGGAAGTTAAAAAATGGAAGCTGAAAGTTAAGCTTAGAATGGACTTAACCAATTGCCTGCAGAGGATAAAGTTGCATAAATTTGCAGTTATTTTTATGGCATGCCATGCTTTTCTTACACTGAAAAAGAATTGTGTGTGTATTTTTTAAATCATTAATATAACACTAGTGTATAGAATGCCCCAGGTTCCTGTTCTGTGGGAAACTTAAACAAAGAATTATGTTCCTTAGGATATTAAACACTGCTTTTATAAAACCAGATAAGTTCAACTTTTTCCTGATAAATCAGAAATTTCCCTGCCTGTTTTAGACAATGAAATGGGACTTACCCACACTCTTTACAGGTATTCTATCTGTAAGAGTTTCAGCTGGTTTTGGATCAAGCCCAAAGGTAATAAGGAAATGCAACAAGTTTTAAACTGAATAACAGTTCTATTAGTGTTTGTACTAGTCTAGCAACCTAAATGGTTGAGTCATAAAATGAGGTGGGAAAAATTCTGTAGCTGATGTTCCACAGAGCATGTGTTTTGTCCTCCTTGGAATGACTCTGTTTTCAGCATTTGAAGTTAAGAAAATAGTTCTGCATGGATTATAAACACAGTACAACCTTGGTAATTCTATTTAATATTCTAATATACTCTAACTTTGTATGGTTAATTAAAAGATACATGGAAGTATTATGCCACTCATTGTGATGCTGGCTGGTACCCGTACAATCGCAACTGCTACAGACTTCATAAAGAGGGGAAGAGTTGGAATGATGCTTTGATCTCATGCCAGAGTGACAGCAGTGGGCTCATTAGTATATCCTCCATGGCAGATGCAGAGTTGCTCCGTAACTTGCTTCAACGTGGTGAGTTTTAGGAGTTAAAGTGTGCAGTGTTTCTGCAATTGTTTTGTGATGCTCTTCCATGCAGCCGTAGAACATTGTTAGCCTACGTTATGTGACAAACCCAGATGTTGTTAACAGAAGAGGGAAGTGTGATATGTGCTCCTTCTAGGAGTCTTAAAAATGTAAAGCTTCACTTCCTCCAATAAACACAATAAAGTAATGAATAGACATACTGGAACACGGTGAGAAAACGTATGATGCCCTTGGTGTTTCAGGAGTGCATCACACCCAGACTTCTGTAAGATTGCTGCTTGCGCTTCATTTGACAGTGTGGCATTTGCACTGGACCACGCTGGGCAAATGGCAGGTAGTGGTTATAGCAGAAGTTAGTGGTTTCCCTCATGAAACCGGCTCAGTTTTCATTGATGTTACCACCCTAATCATGAACTTTCAGCAGTCCAGCTTTTGTCTTTTCCTGTTGTTGACTGGTTCTGTGCAAACTACTGCAAAGTACTCAAAAATTTTCCTTATGCAAGAATTGTGATTAAAAGTAACAACAATTCAGAGCATCTTTTTCTTTGCAGGTTGGCCTTGTTGGTGCTGCAAAGTTTTACTGTAGCTAATTGTTGGTAGATTCCTCTTTTTTTTTTTTTTGGGGGGGGGGGGGGGGGGGGGGGGGGGAGGAGGTGCCAGATGTACAAAAGTAGTTGATGGTCCCTGTTGTCTAAAGAATGCATAATTAGAGTAATTCTTACTGAAATCTGATGAGTAATTTTAGTAGTTGCGTTGATATTACAGGAACAATGGGCATATTTTCTTCCTCATTAAAATATATTTTATTCTTTTACAGAAAATGTAACTGAAACATGGATTGGATTATATAGTAGTAACATCTCAGTTGTTTTTGAGTGGTCAGATGGCACCCCAGTGAAGTTCTCATACTGGCACAGCCAAGAACCTACTACCTTCCAAAGAATAGGACAACTGTGTGTTTCAGCACAAGGACCTGTAAGTTTCCTTTTCTTGTTGAGAGAACATGATGGTCACTTTTATTTCAGTTGATAATAAATTACTTTCTCACTATGCATATTTTTGTAAATCACATTTTTGTAAATCTATTGTATGACTGTCTTTTTATTCCTTATATATTCAAGTTGTGATAAATGCAACATGGCTTTTAGGAGCTAGTACACTTTGCAGTGCTTATACACAGAAAAATTAATCATCAATTTTGAGCTTATATTCAGTAAAAACATTACATACATAAAGCTTGCCAAATGGAAGCTAACCAGTATTAGTAGGTATTTTGATAAAGACAAAGAAATGTAAAATCCAAGTAGCAACAAAAAACAAGTAAGTTTATGACTCATCAGTCCAAGTGTTTAGGTCTTCTAATTAATGTTTTGAAAAATAGTCAACTGTGTCAATTTCATGTTGCTGTTAGTATTTATAACTTCTGTGAGGCATCTTTCAAAACCAGACAGCAGTCTTGGCCTGCATAAAACTATGAAAGTTAACAGTAGTAAGACTGACCCCCAAATCAGTCAGGTGATGTAAGATTGGGAGTAATTTTCAGGTAAGCTTAGATTATGTCCTGTCAGTACGTAACTCACAGCACTGACAATTTTGTTTTCTTAATTTAGTCATAAACTTACTTTACTTTTAAACTTACAGTACTTAAATTTTCTAAGACCTGTCTTAGATTAAGGGGCAATATAATCTAGTTTTTCAATTAAGTAAATTTCACCCAAGTGTAGAAGCTGTATCAGAAAGTTTTTGTTGTCTCTTTTGTAGTGAGTTCAAGTTACAGTGGTATTCATGGTACAGTAGTGTTCATGGTAAAGATAAGACAACTACAGTTACCTGGAAAGGTCAGCTCCCATTGGAAGCACAAAATAGGTCTTCAGTAAAATCCTGGTTTCAGGTGTGCTAAACCATATTTGACTAATTTTGCAAATGTAAGCAAAAAATAAAAGTTAATAGGAAGTAGTGGAAAAGGAGATTCAAGATATAATGCTTCAAGCATTGTTTTCAGTACATGTCCAATACTGATAGAAGTCTAAGAATATTGTACAAACTCTGAAGTTTTTTTGAGTAAGGTCTGTTCAGACATAAAGATTAGTTTTATAAAATACTGCAGTAGATAGGAAGAAGGTTTGTTATGTGATTCTGAAAGGAAGCTTGCCCATGCTTTTAGTTAATTAAAATGCATTACATCTAAGGGAGTGATTTAAGAAGACAACCTCTTTCGTATGACTGTCAGCAGGACTTTTCAAATTAGTATTGTTAAAAACAAGTGATCCATATAAGGGTGAATAAAGGAATAAAGCAAGAAAAACTAGTCTGTTACTTGCTTTTATTGAAAAATTAAAAAGTAAGAGAAATTGTGCAATACCATTTGTGTGTGTGTGTATTTTTATACATAAATACTGATAGACACACAAACATATATATATATATATATATATACGCAGGAGAATATGATTATGTATAGAATATAATATTTCTTTTCTTTTCTCTCCCTCCCTCTCCCTGTCCTTTAGGATGGACATTGGAAAGTTAAACAATGTGAAGACAAATCTTTCTACATTTGTGAAAAAGCAGGAAAAATTAACAGTGTTTCTTTTGATGCAGAATCAAGTTGTCCAGAGGTAAGAGATTTTGTGGTTTTTTTTTGTTGTTGTTTGTTTCGGAACATTACTGATAAAATAATACTATATGGGTATTCTTTAAAAGTAGATGGAAAATGTGTGAATGTAAGTAGGTGGGTAGATAATTTATTTTTTTTTGTACTGAAGATGTGCCTGTTTTCCTAGGAAAATTTAATTGCCTTGAAAATATGTAAACAAAAATTTAAGGTAAGATTAAAAGCTTTCCCAAGATGCCTCTCATGGCTCGTTTTGTTGTCAGCAGTTGTGACCCATGTTCCTACTTCTTTCTAGATCAAAAGTAAAAACCCTTTTGTACGCCATCTGTGCAAATAATGGCTGTTATATGATGCCTCAACCCACACATGGTTTTCATACATTTAAAAGGAATGTCAGGGTGAAAGACAATCAGTTTCATTGACGCGGAGAATGAACTCTTCCACTCTACATTAGCATTCCTTTTACTTTCAATCAGAAATGAGGAGGAGCACAATTAACTAAATTAGGGCATTACAATAAGTTTTCAGGCTTCCAGGCTTTGCATTTCGCTGGTAATAAGTAAGATACTAAACTACGGTTTTATTTATCCTGATTCCTTTCCACTGTGTATAAACAACAATTTTGTGTTCTTTGATTTTTATTAGAAAATCTGGAGAAGCTTCAATTTTTCTATCACCAGAAATACATCCTATTTGGCTTGCTTATCCTTTTTTTACTATTTAGGTCCTTTTTCTCAGTTCAGTTGAATTGTAAGAAGTTGGAAACTGGCCATTTTGAAGCTGGATGCAGTTTTTCCCCAGAAATACAGTGATCAGGTCCAACATTACTGTTCTTATCCAGGTTAAAATTTCCAAAAATTTAGGATGATTTGGTTCATTTGGACCAATATATTTCATTGCTTGAGAATTCTGTGTGTTACAAGTGTGAAGAACAACTTGTAGTCCTGTCTACAAGAAAAATGTGCAGAGCATCAGGATTTTCAAGTGTAGTTAAGAGCTGACAGCACTTGAACTTTTAGTACCTTGCAGGAGTGAGAGTTAAAAGCCATTGGTCTTAAGTAGCTTGGTGAGCTCTGGCAAGCTTCCTATTCAGGATAAATTTCTGCTTGTTGATGTTCCACACCCGCTAAAAATATATGTTGAACCCTCTTGACATGCCATTGATTTCTATAAATTTCTTTCTAATGTGAAGAGTCATGTTCGTTTAATCAAAAGAGGTCAGTTCTAACCTTACTGACAGTTGTGTTTTATTTCAAATGTTTTGTCTTGACAACTGTCTTTTAATGTTCCGTTTGTATGTTGTTGTAAGTTATTGGCCTAATTTTCCAGATCAGCTCCAGCTCTTAATTTCATGAAGTTATTCATTCTTTTTTTCTTTTTTTTTTTTTTTCTTCTTTCTTGTTTCTCACAGTTGATCCTTTGCTTTGTTAGCCCCGTACTGTCATTCATATTTAAAGGCTGGTAGACTCAGGCCTCAGGCACAGTTGTTTATTTTTACAAAGCTTTATAGTCTTTTATCTCATGTTGGTTTTATAACTTGTGCATCACATGAACTAACTCTTAAAATTTTCTGTGATTCCACTGAGTGGAGTTTTTGCAGAATATCCATATCAAGTTACAGCAGAAACCTACACTTCTGTCTTTCAAAGACAAAAGGGTGCTAACCACTTTCTTTCCTTAGCAAATCAACTATTTTTTCTTAGCTGGCAGGATATTAGCGCCAATAAATATTTCATTGCAAAGGTCAGATTTTCTAGGCACTTCTAGGCATTCTGTTTAAACCAGCTTTTGATACAGACTGTGGAATTGTCATCTGCTTGACAATCAAGTTGGGAGCTTTTATGTATGGAGCTGATTGTATTGGTGCTGGTGACTTTATTTAATCTTCTGTACTTTAATTGGTGCATCAAAAAATAAATTTAGAACTAAATTGTACATCGGTCTTTATGGCTGTGGTAGACAAATGGAACTGAATTTTTAAGAGAATTCCTAATAATGCTATAAAGCCTTGTACAGAGCAGGACTGCTGCTTAGACTAAGAGTCCATCAGCCTCATGTTCTGCCTTCCACTAGTGGCCACAAATGATGTCAGGGGAAGAGCAGAACAGGGTAAATGTGAATAATGTTTCTTTCAATTTCCCTTGACCTACAGCTTTTGGGGATTTCCTGAGCCTTTCATGACTTGTGTATCTTACAGGATACACTGGATTTTCCCTCTGCAAATGCTTGTCCAACTTTCCCTTGAACTCATGGGAATTCTTTGCATTCACCACACTTGTGAAGAGGTCTATAAATTTGCTACCCTTCCACGTTCAATCCATCTCCTTCTTACTTAACTTCTTTTATTGTCCCCAGAATCTCATACTGGGGTAATAATCCACCCTCACAGCACTCTGGATTTTTTACTTTGCCCTAAGGCATCTCTTTTCGGCAGGCTGAAGGGTCAAAGCCTGCTCAGTTATTGTGTGGAAACAACTCCTTACATTTCATCATCCTTGCCCTTCCTTTCTAGTATGCTTTTTTAGCAATTGGGGGCTGCAACTCCAAAAAAAAAAAAAACCAAAAAAAAAAAACCAAAAAAAAAAAAACAACCCAGAAAAAGAACACGATTACTTTCTCTGTTCTCTCTGTCCTTTTAATTCTTCATGTTTAATTTTACTTATTCTCTAATCTGGTGCTTTCATGGAACATTACCTGCAGATCTCATTCCTGCAGTGTAGGAGCAAGCTAGTTTGTCCCTCAAGCTGCATGTGAAACAGTTCAGTGAGGGCAGAAGAGGTCTCCATAAGCATCACTTCCTGTTTATTTGCACTGAATGCAGTTTTAGTAACAGATTACTCAGCCTTTAAAGTTTGGAATTTCTCAACTTGTGCTTGCCCTGATTGCAAGCTTACCATCTTCCAGTCACTCCACAATTATGGTTATTATTTTTAATAAAGATTAGTGTCAAATTTCTTTTCTCCAGACTTGAGGCACCAAAAAAGCTTTTTGAGGAAGGTTATGCCGTTTGTTTCCAATTTAAATTTCCAGGAGATTAGGATGACTGTGTTTGCTTCATTTGATGCAATACACTTGTTCACTGGAGAACTTCAGTTAGAGGGAACAAAAGCTTGGCCATTTCTCACCTGCTCTCCTGCAGAGCACTTGGGTGGTGGCAGACTAAATGAGGTGGTTTGTCGTTCTGACTGTTTGTACCACAATCTCTCCCACAGCTAATTCAATTTCTGACCTCTCTACCCTGTCAAAAAGATCAGAGCACAGGTTAATGAGAAGGGGAAGCTTGTTCAAAGGCTAAGAATGTTGAGAGTTGAACCAGGAGGAAGTGTACTCAGGCCATGAGTAGGCTGTGCGCAGGAGGGGCTTTTTTTGTCAACGCTTGAACCTCTCCTTCCCTAGTACTCACTACCTTTACATCCCCATCAAAACACAAGCTGCTATGCTCTGTCTTGTCACCCACTATAGAATCCACCATGTGGAAGAGCCCTTCTCACCTGCAGGTGCCTCTCTCTGGCAGGGAAACTCCAGCTTGTTGCTGTACAGTCAGGGAAGATTTCCAACACAGGTTTGCTTATTTCTGTTGGCAAAATGAGCATCTGAGCATGCATATGTGGTGTTCTCAGATGAAGCCACAGGAGCTGGTATTACACTGAAGGAGGATGACAGTAAAGGGCAGCAGAGCTGTGTTCAGGCTCCCCAGCATGCTCTTGACAGCAATTAAGCATGTTGTTAAGCAAAAGTTGTTGTCTTCTGGTGCTGGTTCCCTGTTGCTCCTCTTTGCAAGCTCCCTCATGGGAGAAGCAAAGCAAGGCTAGCTGGTTGTCTTTTCTGTGTGGCTTCAAGATGAGCTGTACAGAGGTGGTTTCTTGTTCCCATAGTCTGCTGGTTATTTAAAATGTGCAAGCAGGAGCACCACGCAGCTATGTCATGGGCACTGGTGCAGGCAGAGCTCCCACTGGGCCTGGTGTGGTCTTCTGGACAACCATAGGTGGATGACAAGAGATTAATAATGAGAAGTGAGACAAACTGCACTCTGACAGTGTGTTCCAGCTCATTGGATGAGCCATGAGCATGCCTTATTTTAATTCTGTACTATCAGAACACAATGGTTGCTGCTTTCCTTTTAAAATTTTGAAAAGGAAGAAAATTGCTGAGAAGAAATGAATAACTGGGAGGAACTGCTGCATGAAAGGGCAGCATATTTCTGGAGTAAATATTTCCATTTTCATGTGAGGAGAAAGAGCAGCTGTAACTTTATTTTTTTTGTAACTTAACTGATTGCGATGGGGCAGTGTTTGATTTGTACTTCAGGTGTTCAATATCAGCAGTGAGTTAACACAGCTGTAAACTGTTGAGTGTTACTACATGCTTTGTGCCAAAGAGATGGCCTAGAGGCTTGGTATACCCCTAAGACAGCAAAGCAATGTTCAAAGTATAATATGCAAGAAAAAAAAAAAAGTGTGGAGGAAGTGCCTTAAAGTTGCCAACATCTTTGCTATACCTATTAAAGATACTGCTATGTGTATATTAAACTGTTTTGTTTTTTTTTGTTTTGTTTTGTTTCGGGGTGGTTTTTTTTTTTTTTAAATATATTTTAAGGATTTAAACTTCATTTTGTTAAGTTCACCTACCTCTTAGGGACCTTGAGGGGAGCTGCTCAGGAGCCATGGAAGAGGGCTGTAGGGTTATGAGTGATGAACAGACAGAAATGACAAATGGGGATCAAATTCTTAACATCTATATACTATATAATAATCTATAAAAAAATGTTCATTTCTTTTAAGGGATGGGAAAGACATGGTGGATATTGTTACAAAATCGACAGTACCCCTCGAAGTTTTGAACATGCTTCCAGTGGTTATTTCTGCCCATCTGCACTTGTATCAGTAACAAACAGGTAGTTAATCCTATCAGACAGCGTGAAGATGCTTCTAACAAGAGCTGTTCTAACTTCAGAGAGTGTTGCATGGCAAAAGATAATTACAGTTATGAAATAATATTTGTTTGAGAATTGAGTATAATTACTAACATTAGCTAGAAAAAAAGGTGTGTTTTACTTTATTTTTAATTGACAATGATTTCAATAAAAAGCAATTTTAAGTCTAATTTAGATTTATAGCAATGCCCACACATGAGCATGCAGGAATCTAAACAAAACACTTTATACAGAGGTATGTAACATCCTCAAGAAATTCAATTAGTGTACTTGAAAAACTATACTGAAAAATTATAGTATTTTTAACTTTTATAATCAAAATGCGTTAAATTTTAATTGAGATCAGGTAATGTTTTATGAATCTTTCTATTCAGTTTTGCATTTACGTGAATCTTCAGCAAATAGGAGGAGAGAATAAGTGTTTGAAAAGCATCTGATGTCTGTCTACACTTCCTCTTTTTCCTGTCTACCCGTATTCCAGCTTCAGCAAAGCTTTTCTTCTCTGTAAATGTCCAGACGCTTGAATTTTCTCTAACCTGTTTATGATTTACCCTATATATTGGATTCCCATCACAGGTAGACTATATACATACTTAAACATATGTGTATTCATTATTTAAAAAACAAAACAAACAATGCACTAAACAACAGGGAAAAAAAGAATGGTAATGCTAAGCCATGGCTTGAAGCAATGATTGAGCACCTGGTGGGAAAGCAGGGCCAACCCAGAGGAGCGCAGCTGCATGCAGTGCACTGAATGATCAGAAGGGGTGGGGCCAGGATCCACCCCTCCCCAGACCTCATTTAAGGGTTGGCAGTGGAGGTGAGGGGATCTCACTGGAGGTCTGTATGCACCTGAGGCTGAAGGTAAGCAGTTTCTTTCTTTTATTTCTGTGTCTATGGCTATTGCGTTTGAGCAAATCCTTTCTTGCTGCAGCCTGGGACCTTGCTGCTCTGCTGTCACTGTGCTTTCCATCACATTACACCCATCCATTTAAGAGAGAAGTACTGTAACTGCCACCAATCAGATGGTGATAGTTAAAAATTTTAGGGAAAGACAAGCTCCCCAGCATGAAGATTTAAAGTGGTGGGAATTTGGCCTGCTAGGTGGTTTCATGATTGTGCCCAATAAATGCAGTGGTATACTGTGCTGCAGCAACAGATGTTACAAGAAGGATGAAGAACAAATTCTGGGCAGCTGAGCATTTACAACTCAAAATTCACAGTGAGCTAAGGGCATACTGCACATCGCTGGAAGCATGTGTTCTGTATTTTTCTGTTTATTTGATTTTACTGTGTTTTTGATGGATGTAGCCAATGCTGTTTATTATGTTAGTTTCCACTTCTAATGTTGGAGCAGCAAAGGAAGCTTGTTGTTAGTTTCTTATTGTATTGTACCAATTACATCTGAATACTTTATATTAAAGTGAAGAAGAGATTACTGTGTGAGACACATGCTACTTAAGAAAACTCTAAATGTCTCATACAGCATTAATGAAGAAATTCGAGTGTGTAAAAGTGATTCCTTTTGCTGGTGCTTGGAGTTTTTCAGCTCTGTTTCCTTAATGTTGATTTTTTTGTGTCTAGTTCTAATAAGATACTTCTGCGCAAAGCTTTTGCTTTTCTGTATTCTGTACCTTATTATGACCCTGCCAACTTTTCTTCTTCATACAAAGATTTTCTAATTTATATCTGTTCATCATGAATATATTGTATTTTAGCATCTTGCAGCATTAGCATTGAGCTTAGGAGATCTCTATCTACTGTTCTTTGAACGTGCCCAAATGCAGAGGAGAAGAGGAAGAAGAAAAGGAAGGAAAAACTATGCTATATCATAAACTGATCTGTGAAATTTTCCACAGAGTTCTGTAAAGATGATTAAGTAACTTCTAGATAATTTTCTTGGATATTTTAAGTCGTTTCATGAGATCTACTAACCAAAATGACAGTTGACCTATTCTGTACTAATAAGCATTTTGTCTTTATTGTTTTATTAGGTTTGAGCAAGCTTTTATTACCAGCATGATCCATAGCGTGGTAAAATCTGAGAGAACTTATTTTTGGATAGGACTGCAAGACCTTAACAACACAGGAGAATACTTTTGGCTAACAACAGATGGGAAGAATCGTTCTGTAAGCTACACAAACTGGAACAAGCATCAGCCACGTGAGTCATGTGCTGAATTTAAAAAAAAAAAAAAAAAAAAAAAAGCCTGCAATGAAACATGCTCCCACTACAAGTGGTTTGCAGTTCTGCTTTTGTGAAGAAGAGGGCAGAGATTGTCTGAGATACATTTCTGGCAATAAGAACACTGTGTGTAGAGTTTTAATTCTTCCTCTTCACTTTGCTGGTACTTGGTGTGCCATTAGATTTTGTTTTATGGTAATCCGAAGAAAATTTTCATTTTTTCAATTCTTGGAAATAGCAAGTTAATATGTAGAATGTTTGAAAATTGATTCAAATGTGGCCAGTGATGTTGTGGCCAAACATTTGAATCTTTAGATGATTAGAACTTTTCTTCATCCTTTGAAACATGAACAACTTAAAGATATCTGAAGATGTAGACATAAATATAAAAAGATGCTGTTTTGCTAACTGCTTTTAAGTTTCTTTCTACATTTGTTGCTTTACTGCTGCAGTTCACTGAATTGCTGTTTTAAATTGCATTTTCCTTTCTGCATTTTCTGAAAGGAATCTTTTGTTGTTTCATTTTACATGCTCATGTCAGCCAAAACGTGTTTACAACCTGATTGCTGACCACAGAATTTGTTACCTTTGTAACCTCATCAAGATTTTACCTTGCACTCGATGCCATTGAAACAGTCACCAACTTCACCAAAAATTCACAAAATTCAAGTGCTTTGTTTGCTGCTTTCTTCCATGCTTTAGGTCATTCTGGAGGATGTGTGGCAATGCGGGGGCAGGACCCTGTTGGTTACTGGGAGGTAAAAAGCTGTAAGAACTTCAAAGCAATGTCACTGTGCAAGCAAAAAGTCAATTCTTATGAAGAACCTGAACTTACTTTTCAAAGACATTTGAGTTCCTGCTACTTTGGATGGGAGTCAGAAGGCAATTTACTCAACTGCTACAAGGTAATTGGTGAATGTGTTTTAAATTTTTCAGGTTCTATGTTGTTTTAGGAATATACTGTCTCTGAAGGATATATATATCCTTCACACATATATATATATATATGTATATATATATACATACTGTTTCTAAAGCACTGTTTTCTACTTAGCAAATAAAAAATGTTACCATCCTTTAATGGCATTTTAAAGTGAATAAATTCTTAAGTCTTGAATCAGAACTGTGCTTGAAACATAAACTTTATTGTAGGAAGAGCTCTGATATTTAGTTTTTATGGTCTTTTGAAACAATTGCTCTCTGAAATCAACCACACTTACAGCAGTGTTTATTCTATTGCAGATCTTTCACAGAGAGAAGGTTCTGATGAAAAGAACGTGGAGTGAAGCAGAAGAATTATGTCAAGATTTTGGAGCACATCTTGCTAGTTTTTCCCATGTCTATGAAGAGACTTTTTTAAACAATTTATTATATACAATTTTTGATAGGTAAATAGGCTTTACTAACATTTACGGATTAATGCGCTTAAGGTAACCCTTGTTAAAATAACCCACGATCTAAGGAATGTACTTTAATAGTGTCTGAAGAGGACTACTACTAACACAAACTTAGAAGTGGGTGAAAAGAAGTGTAATAGTACACTGTAAAGTGACTCTTTTTGAAGATGATCTTTGCAGTAGGCGTCAAATGACTCTTAATGTCAGTGATGTTCTTATGAGTTAACATTCCTTTGTTGAACTGGAGATTCTGCAATTTGAATCCTATTTTTTAAAAATTCCTCTTAAAAATATGACTTAACATTTTAGTAACAAAAGGAGTTTACTGCAAGGAAACTAAAATGTTAATAAATGCATTGCAGTATGATATAGAGTTAAAAAATGAATACGGGTTTTTGCACTACTTAAAAGTAATTTATGGAATAGCGAAGGAAAGTTTGTTTAAAATAGTTCTCTGCTTCTATCACAGGACAGAAGAAAGACAGTTCTGGATTGGATTTAATAAAAGAAACCCATTTTCTGTAGGGACGTGGCAGTGGTCCGACAAAACACCTGTAAGTACCTGCATACTGTGTATAAGTTCCCAAAAATAAGTCATGTGAACAGATACATGGTGGCTAGCAAAGCTCTGGTTTGTGGTGGTGGTTTTTTTTTTTTGTTTGTTTTTGTTTGTTTTTTTTTTCATATTCACATACTTGAGAGCAGCCCTATGGAGAAGGGTATGAGGGTCTTGACAGATGAAAAAGTTAATATGAGCCAGCAGTGTGCCCTTGCAGCTTGGAAGACAAATGCTATCCTGGGCTCCAGCAAAAGAGGGGTGGCCAGCAGGAACAGGGAGGTGATTGTCCCCCTCTACTCTGCTCTTGTGAGGCTCCATCTGGAATACTGCATCCAAGTGTGGACCCCCCAGTACAAGAAAGACAGGGAGCTGTTGGAGAGGGTCCAGAGGAGGGCCATAAAGATGGTCAGGGACTTGAGCACCTCCCTTATGAAGACAGGCTGAGGGAGCTGGGCTTGTTCAGCCTGTAGAAAAGAAGGCTGTGGGGTGACCTCATTGCAGCATTTCAAGACCTAAAGGGAGCATACAGAGGGGAGGGGAATCAACTCCTTGAAAAGGCTGATAACTGCAGGATGAGGGGAAATGGTTTTAAGTTGAGGGAGGGGAGATTTAGGTTGGATGTCGGGGAATTTCTTTACAGAGAGAGTGGTGAGGTGCTGGAACAGGCTGCCCAGAGAGGTTGTGGATGCCCCATCCCTGGAGGTGTTCAAGGCCAGGTTGGGTGGGGCCCTGGGCAGCCTGGTCTAGTATTAAATGGGGAGGTTGGTTGCCCTGCATGTGGCAGAGGGGTTGGAGATTCGTGATCCTTGAGATCCCTTCCACCCCTGGCCATTCTGTGATTCTTCAGTTAAATGAAATGATTGTTACAGTATTGTTACATTATTTTTAGAGCCACCTGTGCAGAAGAGTTGCAAAACAACAGAAGAAATTTGGTAGGATTATGAAGTTTTTTGAATTTGTGCTTTCCTGCAAAGCATGTTCTGATTAGTCCAAGATGTGTCACACTGCATTTAAAAACTTTTCTGCACAAGCATGTGGATTTTGGATTATGCAAAAGGATCAGTTTTTAAACTGTAATTGGTTTTCAGTCTTTACAAACAATGTCAGCTCTGCCATCATTATTTAAGTAATTGCAGAATGCGAGTGCAAAGTTCAGTCATGCAAAGTGCTGAAACAAAACAAAGGTTTGGACAACCACTGCTAATCATGTCCAAAAAAACTGTTAGATTTCATTGCAATGAATTTTATTTTTTATGAAGATGGAGTCTAATAGATGGGAAATTGAATAAGGCATTACGAAAACATGATTATCATTATTAGGGTTTTACCACCATAATTTAGGTGTTTCACTGGTTTCCTGGTCTGGAAATTACATTTCATGTTCTTATCATATATGCATCTTCATACACTTCTTTTTTCTCCGTAATAGGGTTTTGAAATGCTTAATCTTGAATTATTGGTGAAAGATTACAAGTATGCTATTTTCAGGTTGTAGCTTCATTTCTCGAGAGCAAGTATGTTGAAGATGACTCAAGAAACTGTGGTGTATTCAAAGTAAATAGAACAGTTTTTCCAGCACCCTGCAATGAAAAGCGTGAATGGATATGCAAAATACCAAAAGGTGAAACCTTAATTAACTTACACTGCTCTATCTTTAATTCAGAAGAGACAAGAAAAAATGTCTAAAAGGTTGCCAGTGGTCTTATGTGTGAAATCATGGCAAAGCTATGTGCTTCTGTTGGTTGTTTTTTTTTTTTTTGCCAGGTACCATGACTGATCTGTGCAGACAAGTTGCCATAGCATGGACAGCAATGATCAGCAACAAGCTAGAAGTTAACCTATGTTCTGATTTATAAAAGTTGCTAAAAATGTTATTTATTAAGTATGGCCATTTTTATTTTATTCTGTGTTAAACTTTCTTTTGCCTCTGGATGAAAATAGCTACGTTCTTCAAGATTTTGATTAAATTCTCACTGTGTCAGTAAAGCAATTTCAGAGCAATATCTCTTCTCAATTCTTGATCTAATATCTTTATTTTTGCAGGTGTTAAACCAAAGAATCCAGATTGGTACATAGCTGGTATGGAAATTTATTTTTCTGCATCTTGAGATATTATCAGTGGGAGGTGTAATTCGATGTATTGGTAAAAATAAAATAGCTAAACTATTTTAAGGTGCAAAATTTACATTATGTAATGCTGTCAAATCTTGGTGAACAAAATCTGCCACTCTTCTATAGAAACACTGAAATACTGCTTATGTTAGGTAAAAGAATTTTGTCAGTAGTAGGCACAGGAGTTCGATGTCCTCAGTTGCATTGAAACTTCCTTTGTATTTATAAAGTCCAGGCAACCCTGTTAATACAGTAACATGGGATATAATGTAGAGCTGAAATTTACTCAGTTCTCCGTTTGTTGTCATAATTTGATATCCCAAATATAGTTCTGCTACTAGTTGAGGGATATTGACCTGTGCCAAGTAGCTGGAAGTGGGCCGAGTTTGTTGTAAGGAATGTGAACTGCAGTGAGGTTTTACACCTGTGTGGATTTGACTCTTGTCTTCTAGAACTGCCATGGTCATACTATCAAGGAGCAGAGTATCTTTTTCACGTGAATCCTACAGACTGGGACACCTATGAGTTCATTTGTGTCTGGCTTCGTAGTGAAATGGCAACAATAACTTCTGCAGAAGAGCAAGCGTTTATTGAAAATAAAATTAAGAAGGTAACAAATTAGAATACTTCTTTAATGTCCTATTTACTAACAGGAGATATTTCAAAAGCAGCTTTGTAACTGAAGTAGTGGATATTGTAGCGTTTTATGATGAGAAAGCCAAGATTACTCCATTTGCATTTTATACTAAGTTAACTTCCTTTAAGTTTCCTCTCAGAGTATGAGATGCTGCCTTCCCCGGTTTAGCCAGGTGTGTCCCTAAATGTTTCTAAATGATTCCTGTGGAAATAGGGCTAAGGATAATCATCAGCAGTCTGGATGGAATTTGTATATGCCGTCAGGAAAATTTCGTAGAGATTTCTTCATGCAGAACTTAAAATCATATTTTTCACTATTTCTTTAAGAATTTTAATCCGTAGTCTGAGTGCTATGAGTAGAAAGCCAAATTCAGTTGGCATATACCACACCAGACAACATTTCTTAGGCTATTCCTCATCAGAAATGTATGTATTCTAAATTTGGTATTGCTTTGTATACTGCTAGCTGATAAAATCCTGACTGTAAGGACTGCATGGCTGCTTCAACGTATGCTACAATTCCACCCTTTCTGAAGGAAAAAAGAATACCTTTAAATGGTAGGGTAGCATTTATGATGTCCTGCACATTTGAAATTTTTTTTCCCTTTGTTGACTTTCCAAAAGACTCCCAAACTGTGGCTGTTGAGAGACTACTCTTGAAAGCAAAGTTCGTTCATGGTTTAAGTCGGTGTCATGTCACTGCAGCAGCAATAAGTGACTGTTTAAATGACAATATTTCTGTGAATTATCCATAACACATTGCCTTTTAGGACTGGAAGTCTAGGACTTTCATGATCATAACATTCCATCTGAATTGTATATCTGTTATACGAGCTGTAAGAATCAATATAAATTGCATAGAAAATGTTCTGGAAACATTAAAATCAGTAGCATTTCAATACTAAAAGAAAATATTTGTACTTCATAATTTTAATAATGTCTATTTTTCTTAGTTCTGGCTTAAGACTGCAGTCATTGCCAGGCCAGATATTCTAATTTTACAGAATGTGCATTAGTAATCCAGTGGAAAATGGAGGCTATATTGTGTTTTGCACACATGCTTGCTGAAGTCAGGAGGGAGTAGTCACAAACTAAGACAGGCAGGATTTAGCATGTGTTTTACACCGGAAACCAAAGGAGATGCTACTCATCTGACTCTGAGCAGGGCCTAATTTTTAGGAGTTGGTTAATGTTTAACTGTTGTTGCCCTCTTATCAAAACATATGGCAAAACATTTTTTTGTAGCTGTCGGATAGTGATGTTCACTGGTGGATTGGATTGCACGCAGAAAACATCAGCAATGAATTTCGGTAAGAGCTTCAGCTGCTCTGGTTTGTACTTGGCACATCTTGTTTACAAGTACCATTCAGTTTGATGGACCAAAACTGTTTGATGACTGAGTTGGATATTCAAAAGACAATTTTGGCTCTCATATAAATATTACTCAGAATATGTTACCCTTCATTTGTTTCTCTGAAAGGGGTACAAAAGATTTAAGCCAAAGACGAGACTATCAACATGTTTGTTGTAACAGTAAGTTGAAGAATGGGCACTTTCTAGCCTGTATCCGATTAAAAACACCTTTTAATAGGGTCTGTGTTGTTAGATCACAACAGGGAAAAATGTAACTACACTCTTAACATTTCTGTGCAGCTGGAAGGATGAATCACTAATAACATACCAGAATTGGAATGAAGGCAGAGATCGATATTTGCATAAACCGGGGAAAAGATGTGGCTTCATTTCATCACAAACAGGTTTATTTTATTTCTTTTTGTGGCAGGAGTTGTGAATTGGTTGTTATTGGCCAAAGGAGATTATATGTTTTCAATTGCTTTGAAGAAGTATACAGTCCTGTTACACAGTTACAGATTGCTTAACTACTTCTATGGTTAAGAAAAGAACATTAAGATATCATGAATTTGCTCAAAGAGTAAGACAATAGAACTTAGAAGTATATTAATAGTTTAGTATTTTAACATCAAAATATAAATATTCCAGTGGTACTGAATCTTTAGTCTTTCTTAAGACTCTATTCCTGGTTTTCATAGTCACTTTTCTTGTAACCAAATGAGCCATATGGACTGAGCAGCAAATTTTCCTCTGTTCAAGAACTGTTTTTATATTATTGAACAACTTTAAATACTTGGGTTTCTATCTTATTTTTAATCTCATAGCCAATATGCGGAGGGATTTTGAGTACCATGTTTTGTTATCTGATGGTGCTAGCCTCTACACCCTCACAAAGATTTCTCTTTTGCTACTGCAATTTAAAAATATATGTCAATATAGTGCTGCCAGCATCTGTGATTTTTTTTTTTTTTTTTTTTTTTTTTTGGTCATTTCTCAGTCTGTTTTCTGAAGATCTGTGATTCATATGATAAGGTGAACATGTCAGGTTTCTTGAAAAAATATGCAACTTTTTAAAAATCTCTCCTCACAAATACAGAGCTGCATTCTTGTAATGCCAGCATCAAAAGCTAAAAACTATTGTTGTTAACCCACGCATCACCTTGGGGTTTTGGTTCATAACTTTCAAAAGCTTGAGGCTTACAGATATTTTAGTTAGTCTCTGTTTTGCATGATACTTCCCCCTATCCCATCACCCACCAACAGAGGGCATCTGATCAGTAGTTTGAGTGCTTTCTGTTCTGCTGAATTATGTGTTTTCCTTCTAAGCAGGACAGCATTTGATGTCAGTACCTGGTGGTCTTGCCAACAATTTTCAATGAAAAAGGGTCAAACCACTTTATCTGGAATGTATGATTCCAGTACGTTTTCTTTTCAACTAATTTTTTTTAATATGTGTTGATAGGCAATGTATTATGTGACTTGTTGTGGAGGAATGTTTTTAGATTAATGAAACCAAACTGTCAGTAAAAATATGAGATTTGTGGGCCATCAAATGCACAGAAATGTGTTATGTCCAAATATATTTGCTGTAGAATCATGGCTTACTCAACTAATAAAGAGGATACTTTTCACAATAACTGAGCTAGATAAGAAAAAGTCCTTTTCTGTTCTCAGGTAAATATTTAAATGTGATTTTTTTTTTTTTTTTTTTTTTTTTTTTTTTATAACATAGGACTCTGGGATGATGAAAACTGTACTGTTTCTCTTCCCTGTATTTGTAAACGTAAAAATGCTTGGAAAATTGAGAAAGAGGTTCCAAAAGACCAGAACCCACAAGGAATGTGTCCCAAGGGCTGGCTGCACTTTGGATTTAAAGTAAAACACTTTTTCCTGCTGCTTAATTATTCAAAATGAATTCCATTGTTACAGAAAATTTGGACTTGATATTTGGTATTTGAAGGTTTTCTTCCTTTCTGAAAGCAGGGAACTCATTTTTATGAATAGTGATATTCATAAACATGAATGTGATAGAGAAGTGATAGAGAAGTTCATTAGCTTTGCACAGAGAAGTTGCCTTAAGCTGTCAATGTTTTACTTTAGTTCCAGGAAATGCATGCTCATTTATGCAAAAGCTACCTAGGCTTTTGGATAGCAAATGCATCAACATGCTTATTCTGTGCTGTCTCTCTCCTTTGATACTTCTACAGTTTTAAGTCTTGCTTGGCCTAAAAACAGAACTCTAACCATTTAGTGTACTCAGCAGTTCCCTAATTGCTGCCTAAAGATATGGTTTCAAATGTATAATTATCTTTGATTAATAACACCGAAGTCTATTTGTGATTGAAGGTTGAAAGGCAACTATTTCACCAGACTTCTCTTAAATACCTGCATTCCTTCATGGAAACGTTCCCTGAAGTGAGAAGCATTAAAATGCAGTCACTACAAGGATAAACTTAAACCAAGGGGCATTGCTTAAGGCTGTGGACCCAACATTCTTATTAATTGGTATAGCTTTTAAGTGGAAGAAAAAACAAAACAAGCCTTTTTTTTTTTTCTTTTTTTTTTTTTTTTTTTTTTTTTTTTTTCTCTTTTGAAACAGTGTTTTTTGATACAAATTCCAAAGGATCCAGAGCACCTGAGGAGCTGGTACTCTGCACAGACATTCTGCAGTAGGTACGACGGGTCCCTCGCTTCCCTTGAAGATGAACTGGAACAAGGTAGAATGCCAAAAATATTTTTAAATAAAATTTCATCCTTGAAGAAATGTTTAATAATAGATACAGATTTAGGAAAAAAAAATCATACAGTTCCACTCAGGGATTCAATGCTATAAATAAATCGGCAATTCTTAAGTTGTTCAAGCTACTGTTGCAATTTCTTGAAGACTTCTCTACTGGGCTAGATACTAACCCAACTGAAGTTAATCATTTTTACTGAATTTATAGCTGGATGATCATGAAATGCTTTTCACGTTCTTACTTTCTTGTAAGTAAATAAAGCCATTGGTTGGCAATTCATTTTTCAGTGCTTTAATGTGTTGGAAGAGACTTCAGCTTTATCCCTAACTGGCTACCAATTAAATATGCTTGATACTTCATTCTTGTTTCATTTTCCAGCTTTCATAACAATGAATCTATTTGGTCGCAAAACTAGTGTTTGGATAGCTTTCCAGGGTGATGATTATGAAAAATGGATGAATGAAAATCCTCCAAGGTATTCCAACTGGTCTCCAATTGAAGCAGTGCACGTAAGTATTTCTGGGGGCTTTAAGGACACTGAGAAATTGTTTTATCCATAATATTCATGCTTGCCATAAAGACAAGGCCTAACTTACTATACCAGCTTCTCTTAATTTTTGCAACTTCAAACAACTGTGGACACAACCTTATGGGTATAGTTAGTAGTTGCCAGAAAGACACTATCCAGACAATTATTTATGCAGTACATAGCTATAGTCACATCTTCTGAAATTCTCTTCAAGCACCACAGTTTAAGCTATATGGTTGACATCCTATACTACATTTGAGCAAAGTAATATTATGAATTTCACATTTTAGTCAAATTTTAGTATACTATATTTGACTTGGTATATTTGTCAGTATTTTAGTTAATGTTTTAGTTTCTTCATTGCACGTTTTTGACGTTTTTTTCTATGAGGCTACTATTCCAAGTGGTATTTATGGGAGCATTCATTGTTCTACCTAACAACTTATAACAGTGCCTTTCAGCTAACTATTATACTATGTTTAATGTAATAATTATGCCCTTGCTTTACATGGTATCTTCAACAATTAATGTAAGGTTCTGTGTTGATTGCAGAGACCGCGTTATAACAGTGTCTACGTCGAAGAACAAGTTCCACTTTGTACACTGGTATCAAATAACCCTAATTTTTATTTTACGGGAAAATGGTACTTAGAAAACTGTGAGAAAAATTATGGGTTTGTCTGCCAAAAAAGGCAGGGTAAGCATTTGGTCTGGTTTCCTTCTGTTCTCATTTGTTCTCTTGTTGAGTTCAGTTTATTTTTATCTAGAAGTAGCTTATTATAGGTGTCTATAAAACCAGGAGCTAAAAAGATCTTTATAGGCAATTTTACTTGCTATTTCAGCAGGCAAGCTTTACACAGTTTAATAAATCAATAGCTGTGATGTAAAAGTAATTTCTCAAAAAAATCTTTTGCCATTAAATTTGATTCTTAACTTTGAGCTTTCAATTGCATATCTCAGATCTAGAGATTACATTTCACATTGTCTATCCTCGCAAGCAAAGTAACAGCGTGAAATTACAAAAGGCAAAACTGGAGATGGTTCTGTTGAAAATATTCTATTGTTGGATTTGCAGTCTCAGATCAGACGAGACTTTGGAAGATGCATTTCTGTGAACAGCCGATTGGCCAATCAGGTGTAGGCTGGCTTTTCTTCTCATGTATTTTTCCTGTACTGGCATGGCAACGTGCTCAGCAGCACACATCAAAATGGACTGTATGGACACAGTGGTGGTCTTATGTGGTGCAGCTTTGTCTGCTACCTTGTAGTTAAGGTCTTTGTCAACGGAGGCAGTAGTTCCTGCTGTTCTCCACAAGAGGCTCAACAGAGTAAATAAGATGAACCAGCAAGCTTTGGCCTGCTCTTATGCGGCTCTTGCAAACCACAGCTATGTTTGACGTATTTATCACGAGGCAAAATTGTGGGGAAAAATGGGAGTAAACTTAACTGTGTGGAATAAATGTAGCTGGTTTTCAACTGTCTTTGAACTGTCTGTTTTAAAAAATAATATAATAATTTTAACAACCCTCTTTGTTTCCAACAGACACATCCAGACATATCGTCAATGCATCTGAAATGTACCCTGTGCCAGATACTTTACAGTATGCAAACAGAACATATACCCTAATACGTGGGAATTTGACATGGTCTGCAGCTTTAAAAACCTGCATGGCAAATGGAGCTGAGCTGGTCAGCATTGCAGATCAGTACCACCAGGCTTTCCTCACAATCATTGTGAATCGGCTGGGATACAACCACTGGATCGGGCTTTTCACCGCAGATGTGCGTAATGGGTTTACTGTCAGTGCATCCCTTATTCTAAATTAGGCTTTTACAGTAGCAAACTATGAGCTCTGTCATTCATTAGAAGTCACAGGAAGATCATGTTTAGAAATTAAACACCCACTTGAGCTTTTATCAGCCTCCTTGCCATATTTTGCAGCATGATACATAAATTTAATGAGTGCTACTTTGGTGCAGTACCGGAAAATGAAAGCCATAGAAAATACTAAAACACAACAACAACAAAAAACACTAAGAAAAAAAACTCTTCTAATGTCAGTATTGAATTTAAATTTCATTTTGAGCAGCTCTATGGCTCAAATAGTCACTTACACTCAATGAGCCAGACATTCAGCTACCATACAAAACAACAGTTTAGGTGTAGTTCTTGTTCTCCTAGAAAAAAGTTGAGAGAATCTTTGAAACTGCCCAGCACTAAGGAAGAGGTAAAAGGAATCCTGATTAAGATGTCTGTGGAAAGGAGTATGGCACCAAACAGAAATAATTTAAAATTTGTTTTGGCAGAATGGGCTTAATTTTGAGTGGTCAGATGGGACTAGATCCTTGTTTACCTTCTGGGAAGATGATGAGTCCCAGGCCTTGGGCAACTGTGTTTATATGGATGCCTCAGGGCACTGGAAGAGTACAAGCTGTGAACAACTTCTGCCAGGAGCAGTCTGCCATGTGCCGCCCAGTAAGTCAGTTAGGTTTTGTTTTACATCTGTGCAGCTGCAAATGTGTATAGTAATAGTGGCAATATATGAAAGGAAAACTAACATTTGAGATTAAACAATGATGATGCTTCCTTCAAAAGTGATTTTTTTTTTTTGCCCCCTTTCTGTATCTCCTATTTGCAAAGCCTTTTTATTTTTTCCCCATTAAGTATTGGCCATCAGGTCTAGGCTATGTGAAAATGGGAAGAACTTCTATAGTAGGAAAGAAACAGGTGCAAGGAAACTCTCTCTTCAGTGAATGCTATACTGTCTGTGAAAAATGCTGATTATTAACAAAGTAATGTGAAAGGAAGTAAATACTGTTTATTGCAGTTAACTGAGAAATAGGAAAAGAGAACCTTTTGGAACAAAGTGAAAAGTTAGTCACATCTTCATTGATTGCATAGGGAAGACTGCAACATTTTTTCTGAAGATGAGAATATTTTCCTGCATCTTGAGATACATTTTGTTTCTTGCAAAGCTCTTCATTACCTGAGCTTTTTTTTTTTTTGCTTTTTTTTTTTTTTTTTTTTTGAACACAGAACTCAGGTATACAGCTCTACTCAGCCCAGGACTGTAGAGTCCTTGTCAACATCCTGCTTTCATGATGGCAGTCACCCGAATCAGTGGGGCTCTTGGCACACTGCATTGCACAGTGGAGAGGTTGAGTGCTGAATTCTGATGGGAAGCTCTACTCTGCCTCTGTGCCCTGATATTTGGCATTCAGTTATCCTTGTGGCTTGGTGGAGAGAAGCTCTGCAGCCTCTGGAAATCCCCAGCCTCTGGGAGTTGCTGGGTAGCCCTGAGTGCCCATATGATGCTTCTCTCCCTGTTGTATGTCACTGTTAGATAAATATCTTTATAGCACTGTTGCAAGCCTGCAAGGTTTTTCATCTGAACTAAAACCAGCTTTGCAGTTCTAGTACAAGTATATGCAGCCACTAGATTTTCTCTTTGAAAAATAGAGACATAAATTAAATAGAGTGCTTATTAGCATTATTCCAAAACAACATGTGCAATGTTATATTAATGTGTATGTTGTTGTGCCAATAAAACTTTGCTGTTTCTTCTATGACAGAGAAGAAACTCATTGAGTATAAAGGCTTATGTTCAGAAAAACATGTTCCCTGGATCAAATTCAAAAACAGTTGCTACAGCTTTAACACCGTTCTGCAGGGCACAAGTTTTGATGCTGCATATGAAGTCTGCAGAAATCAAGGTAAGTGACTATTTTATAGCTACAAAATGTAATTGTGATATAGTTAGAAAAAAAAAAACAAAAAAACACAGATTTTCTGAAATGACTGAAGTGTTTCCTCTGGTTCAGGAAAACACTACTGGAGCTCATTAAGCCAACTATGAAATCAAAGGCAATGTATATCAATAAATGGTCTTTTTTAATGAAAATGCTGTTTTCTGGTGTAAGATATAAAATGTATTTATCCCCGTTCAAACTTGTTTTAAAATCAAGTAAGAACAGTTTTGTATTATTAGTTGCAAACTTCAGAACTTATAAATCATAAGCAGGCTTTTCAACATTTTCAAACAAGATTCTCCATACCAAATTTTGAAATGCAATGCTACATTTTAATGGTGTGAATTGCTTGAAAAAGAAGTCTGTTCTGTGTTTAATCTGTAGGATCTAATCTTCTAACTATCAAAGATGAAGATGAAAATGCCTTCATTCTGGAGGAGTTGCACAGTTTTGGTTATTCTGTGAAAATGGTTTGGCTGAACGTCCTGCATGTTACAGACAGTAAGTTTTATGTGGAAGAGAACTGAACGTAAGAATCTAGGATTTTTTTTTTAATGCTGATACAACCATCTTACAAAATACTGTTACTTTTTGAGATTCTTGTTCTCACTGTTTACTATTTGCTTACAATGTACTAAAAGGATGTGATTGTACTAGGATTCTGAATAGTCAGTATATGTGCATGTATGTGAGTGCCTGGCATGTTGAAGAAGCTGTATGGATTGTGTCAACTGCATTATGTTTTTAAAGTATTCAACAAAGAAAGGAACATAGTAGCCAAACAGGGTAGAAGCCTGGCATTGCTTTTGTACAGTATTGTGAACATGCATGTGAAGGTGAGTTCAACTGAAGAAGTTGTTTATCAAAACACAATGGCATTTTACAGTGATTTATTACTTCTGCCCTTAGATGAAACAGTTTCCTGGTCTGATGGCTCTCCCTTAAATTATTCTAACTGGGGCATCAGGGAGCCTGAATTTGATCATCTTAAGGGGAATTTCTGTATCAGCCTGAGGACTGCGGATGGTGTATGGCAAATATCTCCATGCAGAGAAATAAAGGGATTTGTTTGTAAAAAGAATGCAGGTATGTGCTTCCATTAAAGGAACTGATCATGTTCTTATAACTGTTGTTTTATATTTTCTTTATTGCTCGCTTAGTTTTCATTTAAATAGTCTTTTTGTTTCCTATTAGAGAAAATACCCATGAAAAACAAACCAGTGAGGTTAGCCTTCTGAGGAGCCTGGGCATTTCTTTTGTTACTGCATGCTGTGACAAACTTTCTCTTGTGCATGTGAGCAGAGCCCTTGGTATAGGCAGCTGTAGTGAGCAGTAAGAAGATATGTACGTGAGGGAGCTGAAGTGTTCTGAGAGTCCACTCAAAGTGCCAGAATCACTGCTGGACCCAATAGCTTGGTTCATCCACCGCTGCACACTTCTGCTTACGTATATGTGCTTTCTGCAGTGGATAAATGCTGCTGCTTGTCTATGCCACAATGCCTGTTAACATATTCCACTAAATTTAAGTGATTTTATACAGACAGTAGGCTAGGTCATATTTTACTTGGCCTATTGTAATCCTATTAACATGGGTAAAGTTCAACAAAGAACAGCTGTCTCTTGCATGTTTCTGAATAGATTGTCTTCTGAGTATCAGTGGTACACTGAGCGTATATACTAAATCTTGTTAGTACTGTGGATAATTTTCTGACAGTTCTGGGTTTCTGGGTTCTATTTCAGATCTTAATGCGGCAGAACCCTCTGAAAAATGTAAGTTATTCTTTTTTACTTTCTAATTATTTATTTATTTATTTATTTTGTAAGGAGCAATAACATGTTTTGAGGTGATACTTCATGAGATCTCATTTAATAGTGGAAAAAAAGTTTAATTTAAAATGTGTGACATATAAAGAGTAATGGTGTTTTATGTGGAACATCTGAATTTTTGTACTTAAAATTATATGTGGTTGTAACTGCATTTGTGTAATAACAGTCTCTGCTTTTTCCTTTCAGCATCCTACTCTGGACTTGCTGCTCTGGCTGTTCTCGTAACGTTTGTGATGCTGGCTGCTGTTTCCATTTTTCTGTGGTGCCTCTACAAACAGAACAACAGATTCTTCAGCAGAATACTGTGGGTCAGAAATGCTTATTTTCCACAGATTAATTCTGATGTTCCTGCTCTGGAAGAAAGTATTCTCATTTCTGATTTTGAGAAAGATGACAATTAATCAGTGGGGAGAACCAAGCAGTAATGTATTGTGTTAAATTCCGTGTCCTACAGTGTTTTTTTTGTTGTGTTTTTTTTTTTTTTTTTGTGAGCCAGTTGCTGTCCAAGACCAGCTCCACGTCTTAGCTGGTGGTCAGAATGCCTACATGGTGCTGGAAGAGCAGCAAAGCAGCAGCTGCTGTTCTTTCCCTTCTTGTGAATTTGTTCCATAAGGTTTACAAAGCGAGCAGTGAGGAGCTGAGCACCAGTTGCACCTGCTCTCACAGGCACCAGACCCAGGCTTCCTTGGTGGCAGAGGGTCTGTGCTCCCTTCTCAGGAGACTCAGGGCATGCGCTTCTGGAGGAGTCCTTGCACCCTGGTGGGGAGCGTGCAGGGGCTGCTGCACTTGGACCTCTTATGCTTTGTAGTAGAACGCGGTGAGAATGCACAGAGCCATGGGGAAATCGGCTTCTTTGGGGAAAGCTGCAAACTAAAAATGTTAAAAATGTTATTTTCATACCAAAAAAGCTGCTCATAAACCAGTGTTAAAACTTGTCCTTGAATTTAGGAACTCTGAAACCTACTCCAAGGCTAATGGAGTAGCTCTTCCTAATGCCTATTCCATCCATAGAATGTACTTTTTCATTTGGTGGATTCTTAGCAGGTGGATTTCCAAGTTTGCTGAGATGAGGTTACTTTTGATTGGGAGTGTCAGTGTTGCCATGATGGCTAGTTTACATTATGAAATACCTTTGGCTTGAGATACAGTAGCATATGGATATTGTCGTCCTGAAGTTAATATATTCAGTAGAGATACTTCTGGTGCACTTGTAGAGAAACAATGTTATCTCTCACCTCGGTCATTTCAGAAACTGCATCTCATCAGCCTCTTCCAAAGATGCTTTGGATCAGTATCTGTTTGAAGGAAAACATTATATGAATCTTGTTAAAGTTACGATAATAAACTGCTTTACTGTTCACTTACAGTGCAACTTCAAGCAGTGTTTATGTATGTTCTTCTGAGACCCTGCTCTCCACACATAAGGATGATACAAGGGAGAGCCACATCTGCAGTTGACAAAGGGTGCTGCCCTCCCTTCGCCCAATTCCAGTAATCCCACATAGCACACCTTCAAGGGCCACATTTCTCTGGTCATATCAAGGTGCTAATGGTGCTAATACCATCTTTCATTGGTCAGTTGTTCTCCTGGCTAACAACTGTGCAAGACCTACAGATTCAGGTCATGGTTCTCGACGGTGGATGGTTCTATGGATTCCCACACTCCCAGTCTTTCAGTTACTTTTGTGAAAATATCAAAACTTTTCATGGAGGACTTCTAAATTATTTCTATTGTGAGGTGGGAAAAAAAGGAAAGCCAAATTGCCGTTCACAAAGAGTTACCTGAGCATTGAATAACTGTGCCATTAGTCACCTTTAAAAGCTGCTATGAAGGGCTGTGCGTGTTGTTGTGCTGGTTGGTTTGTTATGGGGTGACTCATTCTAAAAACTGTGCAGGAACCATAAAATGGAGATATGTTTGTGAAAATTCAGCAAGCAGCCAAGACCAAATGCAATGTTTGTGCGCATACAGGGGAATGTCTGACTTCTTTCCAGTTAGATTTCATGTAGCAATTCTTTAGATATGACCAAATAAATGTATTTTCATGTCATAATTATGTATAAGGTTATTCTTTTCTTAATTATTTAATACCTAGAATTGTTCTATACTGGCTTACAGGATACAGAAATGTGGTTTAAAAGACTGCAGATGCATCTTATCAGTATACAACAAAAAAAGTGACCAACTCTCCCTTCCCTGTGAGACTTTCACCTGTTTAAATTTCAGCTGGAGGAGCCTAAGCAACAATCTTCTATTCATCCCATTCACTGACAAGTGTCTATGTTGCCTTTTTGCAGCAGAGTGACTTGAAGAATGTGTTTTGATTGCAAAATTATAAAATATTTTGTCTCAGAGGATGTGCATTTATCAGGCTATTACGCTGTTCCCTAGCTATGCATATGCTGTCACATTTTGACATTGTTAATGAAGGTGTATTTTTTTATTTTTTTAAAAAAAATCTGACATAGATACTCTATCAATTCTTCTTGAAGTATGTTTAGTCATTTTAATATACCTGAAGGTCAGTTATACAGTTGTATAATAAATAATCCTAACATCAGAGTAGAGAATGTTAACACTGAGTGTGATGTAGGTGATCTTGGATTAAGGGAATAGTACTTCAAGCAGTGTTTTCTTCATACATTGAAACGGATTTGAGGAAACAGTGTCATAAATGTTTATTTTAAAATATCTTTTGTCATTTAACTTTTCTAATTATAGATGTTATTCACTTAAGGATGTTATTGCTGATTACTTCCTATTCCTTGTTCTAAATATAAGAAAAATCTTACAGTGAGAACCATCACTCACTGGAATAATATCCTTGGGAATGTGATAATTCACATCACTGTAGGGTTTCAAGAAGCAGTTGGACGTGGTGCTGGGCAATCTCATCCAGGCTTCCTTTTGCTGTGAAAGGTTGAACCTGATAATCTTTAAGGTCCCTTCCACCTGGGCTGTTCTATGATTCTATGGTTTTTACCTTAGCTTCCATTTGTTTTTCCTTAATTCAAGATCCCCTACGCCATTCCTGGTCAGATTACTTGGTGGCTACGTTTTCATGAGTGACCGTGACAGTAACAGCAGTGAGGTTCACTGTATAACTTCAGCTGGGAAATTAAAGCATGAATAATAACTTTTTGGGCTGCAGTTTTTCTTTTGCCAGCTTTAGTGTCTCCCAGCAGCAGTTCCCAGGCTTTGCCCCAGGTTATAGTGTTGGGAGAGGGGTAGCTTGCACCAGACTGCTTCCTGGCTGCTATACAGCTCTTCTCTATTCCTCCCTCCTCCTTTCCTAGCCTTTGCATGTGTGCACACTCAGGGTGACAGACCATGAGGCTGCTTTAGATCTGTGCACTTCGGTCCAGAGGGAGTGTAGGGACGAAATGCTTTTTTGTACTGTGTGTGACTTAACCTGCTCTGCTTCCCTGAGCTCTGCTGCACAAATTTAATTTAGATCCCCGTACATTTTTCTTCCATCACGCTGCCCCTCCTTTAGAGCAGAAACAGGCATTCTCAGTCTCTTGTAATAATAAACCCACTGTAATGAAATCTTGGCATACATTTCCCACAGACCATTTATATGTAAGCAGGCTTTTTTGTTGAAAACCTAAATTGCACACATTTGTTAACTATGCTCAAAATCCTCAGCTCAAAAAAAAAAAAAAAAAAAAAAGAACAACAACAAAAAAACACTCTTCTTGAGCTATAATAACATTTCCTTTGGTAATCAGTGGAATGTTGATTTTAAAACCCTGAGGATCAGTGCTAACCTCACAATTTGATGCAGCCCTCGAGGCTGTCACTGGCAGGAGCAGTTCGCTGTGCTGGCATGATATGAGTTAATATAGAGCTTTGTGCTCAGAAGCGCCATCCCAGTCTGGCCAGTAGATGGTGCACACAGAGCTGACAAAATGACAAAGCGTGAGCCCTTTGCAAGTCACAGGGATCTGCTGGGATCCTTCTGAAGGTTAGTTAAATGCGCAGCAAAACTCCCAAGTTTCAACCCTCTGCAGATGTCAGTATCCCTTAAACCTGCCTGCTACATTACGACGCTGTCTTGTGATAGCTTCTCAAAGCTGAATGCACCGTAATTCTGTATGTTGTTCACACTTTCAGAGCTGCCGATCTCTTTCTGTATCTATTATCTCTTTGCAGAATGACTGTGATTTGGATTCTGATTTTAGAACCTGGAATGCTACCGTGGAGGTAACACCATGGTAATTTATAACCTGATTCTGAACTGCAGTGACTTCTGAAAGCATGAAGCTGGATAATAGTGAGAATTCTGCTGCTTTTTCCTTTGTTTCCAATGGTTATTTTTGTTTGTTGGGTTGTTTCTCTTTTCTCAAACTCAACCAACAAGACAACTCTCCATTCTGATTCTTGGAAATAAATGCTTCAGACCATAGTTTTAATAGAAAGGGGGCTACCCTGTAGATACAAGATAACTAAAGTTAATGCATAGCTGGCTAAAATTTACATTCCTTTGCATGGCAGCAGAGGAAAATGGGGAAAACTTTCTCTGAACTGTTTTTTCAGATGACTGGGGTATATATTTGGGTTTTTCTTACACGGATCTTCATTTCAAGAAATTTAGAAGGTTCTAATCATGCTATAGAGAAGAAAAAAAAGTCTTTGTTTATTCTGTATTTTTTTCTTCAGTGTATACTGAAAGTCATCCCACCAAGCTATATATTCAGACCATTTTTTTTCCTGAAGTGTGATCACAGACCTTTGAACCCGGTAATAACCTGATTAAATCTGCTTTGCTTCTTCCTCCTGCCATAAACTCTGTGTGTATTGCAGCTGAGAAGCACCAGGAAAGCCCTTGCTGGGAGCTGAGAGCAGGCATGCACATAGCTAAGGGAAGAACTGATTCTTACCTCGTCAGCAGCTTCGTGCTGCACGGCTTCACTGACGCTTGATGTGGGACTGCATCCTAGAGCTTGATGCTTCATTCAGGTGTGTAAGCAAGATCCCTAATGCTGCATGCTGTTTGTGAGCTGGGAGAGATAAAAACTAACATAAAGTAAAATAATGTTCCCAGTTATGTATGGCTTAATTTGTTACAGTCCTGTCACAGACTGCAAATAATTCTGCTTTAGTTGCATTTGTTTCTCCTGGGAAGTTTTTGCTGATGCTTGCATGCTTACCTGTTACCTACCTTAAATCTGACACCTACCAGTTTATGTGATCTAATGTTGTACTTTCTAGTATATAAAATTCTGCAGCATCAGAAAGATTCTTTCCGGAAAGACCTGAGAAAAGGTCAAGTTGCAGCTGCTGCTGCATATTCTGTCCTGGGGATCATTAAGAGGCAAACTGAATTACTTTTAAAAATTATTTCAAAAGCAAATACTGAAGATGGAGCTCAATGTGCAGGATATTGCAACTATAAAATCTGTAAGGTGCCTTGCAGTTAAGGGTGAAAACGCGCTGGAGCATCCTGCAGGCTTTCTGTTT